GGCAGTGGCGTCGGCGACGGCGAGGGGCGGGGCGACTTCGGGGAGGAGCCGGCGGTAGCGGGGACGACTTGGCGGCGGGGACGACCTGGCGGCGGCGATGGCAACGGCGAGGGGGGAGAGTTCCGTGCGGTGGCGACGGCGACCTGGCGGCGGCGACGGCAACGGCGAGGGGGGAGAGGTCCTGGCGGCGGCGACGGCAACGGCGAGGGGGGAGAGGTCCTGACGGCGGCGGCGTGGGGCGGGGCGACTTTGGGGAGGAGCCGGCGGTGGCGGGGACGACGGCGACGGCGACTTGGGAAATTTTGGCAGCCTGGCGGCTAGGGTTTCGCGGGAGCCGGGACTTAGAAAATTTTGGCTCCCCGCGCTCCCTATATATAGGCGCAGATCATCGCATGCGGGCGGCTTAAGGGACCGCATGGAAAAATATCTTTCCATGCGGTCGACATAAGCCGGCCGCATGCGAAAAAGATCTTTCCATGCGGGCTGTTAAGCCGGCCGCATGCGAAAAAGATCTTTCCATGCGGGCTGTTAAGCCGGCCGCATGCGAAAAAGATCTTTCCATGCGGGCTGTTAAGCCAGCCGCATAGAAAGATCTTTTTACCAAAAAAACTCATATTTTTTTTTCTCTAAGTAAACTGTCCATATATATTTTTTTCCCAATATTTCGCCACAATTATACATTCCAAATGTTTTTGGCACTAAGAAAACTCATGAAAATTGCTCAAAACTCGTAATCAAATGTTACATGCTAATGATTACAACATAAGGGGGACCTAAATTCATGCACGTACATTTGCTAATGATTACAACATAAGGGGGACCTAAATTCATGCACGTACATTTGGAATACAATGAGAACTAAAGGTTACGAAATAACTATGACTTAATAACCTTGGCAACACCATCTGCTCGAACGTACGACATATTTGCTTCATCGATTGTTCTCTCAACCTTCTTAATTCGCATAGGAAGATCAGTAAACAATGGTACATCATCGAACTGGTTGTAATCATTGGGGTCTTCGATGTTGTCGATGCCGACGATCTGTTGCTTTCCGGATATGACAATAGTTTTTCTTTCATCTGAAGGGTCCTTCACATAAAACACTTGAGCCACACGCTCTGCTAAAACCCATGGATCATCCTTGTGGCCTGTTTTACTGTGATCGACTATCGTTAGCCCGTAGTCATCAACGGAAACCCCTATTGTGTCTTTAACCCATTCACAACGGAGCACAGGGATCTGGATGTTTAGGCCATAGTCCAGTTCCCATATTTCTTGAATGGTCCCATAATACGACCTCTTTTCTCCACTCGTGTCAATCGCTTCGACACGGATCCCACTGTTTTGTGTGGTGCTTTTCATGTCCTTCGTAGTCGTACTCAAGGTAAATCCATTGATGTCGTAACCTTGCCATGAATTGACAATACTTGAAGGCCCACATGCCAATCTTTGTAAAGTAAGTTCCTCCACAGAATCACCAACTGGCAGGTTTAGATCTTTCAACCACAGAGGAAAGCGACGCTTGTGCTCTCTTGATATCCAATCATTGGACCGCCCTGGGAAGCAGGCTTTGATTTCTTCTAGGTGTCGCTCAATGAATGGCTCAACGATAGCGAGCTGTTGAAGAACGCTGTTGTGTGCCGCGGACACCTTTTTGTAATCATTATCGAAGAACTGCTTCCTACCAACAGTACCCCTTCCAGACAATCTACCTTCATGTCGATGAACAGGAATGCCAATGGCATTAGCATCCTTTATGTAGTCCATACAACACTCGACTGCCTCTTCAGTTGTGTATCCCTCTATCATTGATCCTTCCGGGTGAGCGCGATTGCGTACATAGCCTTTGAGGATCGACATGTAACGCTCATAGGCCCACATCTGATGTAAGTATAATGGACCAAGTTCAATAATCTGAGGGACGATGTGAACGATCAAATGCTCCATCATATCTAAAAATGATGGTGGGAAATACATCTCAAGCTGGCATACAGTCTCGACGGCAAATGTCTGAAGCGGACCTAATTCCAAAGGATCAAATACTTTCTGCGAAATTCGATTGAAAAAGTAGCACAACTTTGTTATAACCACCTTTGTATGGACTGGTTTGACTGCCCTTATAGCAATTGGTAGGAACACCGTTAGCAACCTATGACAGTCATGCGCATTGTATCCCGAAATGGACAAATCCTTCATTGATACTAGCTTCCTGATGTTCGATGCGAAACCAGTAGGCACTCTAACCCCTTGTAAACATTTACAGAAGGCTTTTTTCTCATCAAGTGTCAACGAGTAACAAGCAGGAGGAATCTCGGTCTTCCCATTTGGCAGCACTACTAGGTGAAGGTCATGCCGTATGGACAAATCTACAAGGTCGTTACGTGACTTCAATCCATCCTTCGTTTTACTCGGGATGTCCAGCAATGTGCCAACGGTGCTATCAAACACGTTCTTCTCGAGGTGCATAACATCAATTGCATGTCGAATCTCTAGGTCCTTCCAGTAATCTAAGTATTTAAAGAAAATTGAGTGCTTCTTGAAAGGCGACGCAGTATCGTTGTCACCATCAGCTTTCTTCCTCTTTACTGTCTTCTTCTTTCCCTTTCCATATACAACCTTAATCTTCTTTGTTATCTCATACACGTATGTACCACCTCTTGCTACTGGGGCAGTGTCATTCTCCACTGTATTATCGAACAATCTAGCCATCTTACGGTACCTATGTCTTTGTGGTAGGAACCGTCGATGTCGCATGTACACTGTCTTCAAAGACGACGTCAGGTATTTGTATGAAGTTTTCTCCAGACATATCAGACATCCAGTCTTCCCTTTAATCTGCCCAGATAATGAAAAGTTTGCAGGTAGGTCATTGATGGTAACGAATATGATCGCACGTAGATTGAAGTGCTCCCGCTTAAACTCATCCCATAGTCGTAACCCCTCTTTCCAAAGCTCCTCCATGTCCTCCATCAAAGGCTCAAGGAAAACATCTATGTCGATTCCAGGTTGGTTTGGACCTTGTATGAGGATAGTGAGTAGAATGTACTTTCGTTTCTGACATATCCATGTTGGAAGATTATACATTGTGAGAAGGACTGGCCATGTGCTGTGCGAGCTGCTTAAGTCACCAAACGGGTTCATTCCATCAGTGCTCAACGCAAACCTTACATTCCTAGGATCCTTAGCAAATTCTGGGTGTTTTGCATCAAATGTCTTCCACTGGCGAGCGTCGGCGGGATGTCGAATCATACCATCTATTTTCCGGCTCTCTTGATGCCATCTCATCAACTCAGCATCAGTCGGGTTTGAGTACAGACGCTTCAAGCGGTCCTTAATTGGTAGGTACCACATCACCATTGAAGGAATCTTCCCGCGCTTACCCTTATCAGAATCTGGATCGGTACACTCTGAATCTACGGGCCCATTCCCCGTTTTATACCGACTTGTGCCACACGTTGGGCAACATTCCAATTCCGCATATTCTTTACGGTATAATATGCAGTGATTCTTACAAGCATGAATCTTTTCTACACCAAGAGATAAAGGACATATGAGTTTCTTCGCTTGATACGTGTTCGATGGTACAAAGTTAGGCTTAGGAAGCAACACACGCAACAAACTCATCAGATCATTAAAACTTGTGTCCGACCATCCATGTTTAGCCTTCAATCTCAGAAGTTCAAGCACTGAACGCAAGACTGTGAAATCCTTATCACATCCCTTCGTTTCATCGTAAAGAAGATCCTTCGATGCCTTCTCTAATGCTTGCCAATTCTCCAATCCTCGTGACCTGCCCGCTAGCACCTCTGGTTCAACATGGCGTAGCATATCCTCTAAATCAAAACCACCATCGAAATCATCACTATCGGTGGAAACATCGACAACCATTCTTTCACGCGACATGTCTTCGATTATAAAATTCTCTGCCTCATTCATCTCGAAACTTAACTCTTCATCGTCATCTTCCGGATTGGCGAATTCCCCGTGATAGGTCCAAACCTTGTAGTTGGCGGTGAATCCGTACTCCATTATGTGACCCAATATTTCACCAGGATCTACCAACAATTTCTGATTCTTGCAATGACGGCACGGACAAAAGATCTTTGTCATATTCTCCCTCAAAGCATGCTCCTTAGCCTGATCAATAAATTTAGATGCTTCCTTAATAAATATCGGCTGCGTTCTCCGTATCTCATACATCCATGACGACCGATCCATCTAATTATATAAAGGCAAAAAAGTTACAGATAAAAAAATAGACCGCAGGTATTTCATACAAAAGTTTAAATGCATTTGTCTCCCAAAAAAAATACAACAATACATGTAACGTACAATTGATTACATGCAAAATTTGCCCATCAAAACATATATTTTGAAGCTAGATTTTGCAAAAAATAGTTAGAACAAACCTTGTCAAAATATTAAAAAAACTCCACTTTCCACCAACGAAATATAACAAAAATGGAGCCAAATGAAGCAGGATAGAGAGTTCTTCACCTTTCGTATAGAGTTCAAGTAAAAATTTCGAGTTGAAAACCTCCCCCCTAATTGGTGCTTGCTTTAGGAGAAAGAAAGCTTCGTTTTCAAATGGTCAAGCTCGGGCCTGGAGGAGCATATATGGCCGATCATCGCATGCGGTCCCTTAAGCCAGCCGCATGCGAAGATCCATTATCGCATGCGGCTGCTTAGGACAGCCGCATGCGATAATGGGCCTATTTTCGCATGCGGCCGTCTTAAGGAGCCGCATGCCCTAATACATGCGGCCCCTTAAGACGGTCGCATGCGAAAATAGACCTATTATCTCATGCGGCTGTCTTAACCAACCGCATGCGATAATGGATCTTCGCATGCGGCTAATCAACCCGCCCCCGGGGGGGCGGTTTTTGCAGGTGCCGCCACAAGCGGCCCGCATGGAACCTACCGACCCCCTCGTACACCAACCCCCTCGTACAGAAAAACGATTTTTGTAGTAGTGACCGTACGACCCAACCGATGTGATGGGGAGAAACGTTCTCGGGAGGAGGCGTCCCGCGTTCATCAGCGTGCCATGGAGATGGGTCATGGTGGATGTCGTCGCCCCCAGGGACGCCGGATCACATGTAGAGATGATGAGGACGACATTAGCAATTGCCGATGACGATCTATACATTCTTGGTTTCGCTAATCGCACCGGCCATTGGCACGTCATGAAAGATTTTGGAGGTTTACCAGAACCACTCACGAAGCTAACGATTGAACATAGCTATGGCGACCTGGTTGGTAGTTTCCAGAATCTCCACACAGTTCCTCTGGGAAGGGAGTCCGCCGTACAAGCCGTCAGAACACTTGCAAACTACAACAGCGCCATGGCCGAAGCACAACTCAAACTGCCGATTGCCAAGTTTGCGATCATGATATCTGAAGCCCTGCGGTTCCCTTTCATCAGGAATACGTTCAGTACAAATTGGGAGAGCGAGACCTTCATGAAGCCGGACCATGTGAAATACGTGGTTTATTGGGGACGGCTCTCTAAGGCCCTAGTGTGGTGGAAGCAAAGTGGAAATAATTGGTGGCCACGTCCAGACAGCGACCTTGGTGAAGACTTTGAATACATTAATGTCAAAACGTCACAGGATGCTGTGAAGCTAGTTGATTTGCTGATTCGCCCAGCTTCAAGGTACTCCTAGTTTTTTTTAGTTTAATGTATGTATAATTTCAATATAGATAGAAAATAGTAGATTTTGTGCACATTAGTGCACACGCTAGGAATCTCTACCATCTATGTGTTCCTTTATTATATAAGTGCGTGTTATATATATATTAAAATGTGATGAGTACGGTTCATAATAAAGTTCTCAATCTTTTTCTCTCCAATGATTAGAATGTGTAACATTCTCCCTTTGTTGATTTTTTTAATAGACTAGCAGAAAATACCTGTGCGTTGCAACGGAAAAAAACTTAAATAAAAATAAACAATTAGGGTTTAATTTTCACGGTCGACGCCCTTTAAGAAAATATATTCTTCTGTAGACATGCAAGGTATAACATATTCAAAATAGTTTATTTCTTGAACGTAAACCACAACGTCAATTATAATTTATGAAAAAAGGCCTAACTTTTCCTTGTTGATTAAATGTAAATTACCGAAACGCATCCCGACCAAGCAAACTATACTACCTTGTTTATTTTTTATGTTTTTCCTCTACCGATACGTTTCAGTGCATGCGAGCAAGGATAAAAGGAGAGAGAGAGAGATAGAGAGATTGAACTTTTATACTACTATACTAGCTGGGCGCCTGTGAGTTGCGACGGAAAAAAATCTCTATGAAATTTTTAAACAATTTTATACGATCTGCAAAGTATCCACACAATGGATCATTCAATGGCTGCAAGCTTTTCGCCTGTTTTGAACATACTCTTCATCTGACTGCAGCGAATTATCAGCAGACAGTTGAGTTCAAAAGGAAAATTAAAATTCTTTCTGTATTGGACTAAAAAAAACTTGATATATTTATTACTTTTTGAAAAACTTTTTGAGATACTACATTGATTAATCAGAATAGAACGTGATATATTTATTACTTCCTCTGTCCCATGTCCCATAATAAGTTAAACTTTCCTATGTCTTGTTATGTCATATCCAGTACGAAAAGTCAAATGGCATATTTGCAAAACAAGTAATTTGTGAATAAAACGTTTATATACGTGTTCTTAGTGATATGAAAACAAATACAGAAAAATAATGATGAAAAAACCCTCTAAAATCAGCTTTAAATTTAAGGGCTAAAATTTAAATTTTGGCTAATAATTATGCATAAGCGAAAAGATAAGACCCTAGATAAACTTATTTTGGGACGGAAGTAGTACTATCCTTCTGGATAATGTATAGTGAAAGAACTTAATTAAAAGTGCCGGAGGTGTTGTCAGTAGTCAGCACATACCTTATTTCCAAAACAAGAGATCAGTCTTGTTATTCTGTTGCAATGAAAAATAATAGCGTACAACACACGAAAATCCTAAATGATTAACAGAAACAGACGATTAAATAGGGCTCTAAGTGTAAAGCAATATCATGATTATCTTTTACAAGTCATGCAATTTCATATTAGCAAATCTATTTTATACCCCCATAGAATAAGTATTCTACATCTTCTCTCATGGGCAAACCGCAATTCCCCCACCCTTCCTAGAGCCCAATCCTTCCTCCCACCTCGATCAAAGGGCAGTCAAAGCATCCTCCCGCCGGTCAGACCCCAGTCAAACCTGCTTGTATGCTTCCCCACGTCTACCTATTTGATGTCCTCGTCTCACAGGAATTGTGTTGTACCAAGACGATCATACTATAGTAACAAGATTGCTTTCTCGCAGTAACAATATTATAACGTTGTCAAAATATAGTGATGACGGATGTAGTTTTATAAAGCTCTTTTTTTTAAAAGCAATATGGTGAAAACGGTTCAAAAATATAATATGTGATATGAGATATATGATCGTTTAAAGATTAGAATTTCAAATAATCCACTTGTATTTAGTTTGCTACTGTGTATCATGTGTGTGCAAAGTGAAGTATTTTTAGCACTTTGTCATTGTTACGGATAAGGCATACCTTCTATCCTACGACTAATGAAATATGCGGATACGACATACCGTCGTATGTATGGTATACTTCTATATACGATAAGGAAATTAACAGGAGATAATGAAAATTATCCTCACGGGGGCAAGTGAATAACAGAATTCTACTCGGAGAGAATTGGGTTTATATTATATCGTTTTCTCCTAGTTCTACTTGGAGACCAAGGTGATTCACGGTATAAAAAGGCATACCCTGTGAGGGGTCCAGATCACCGAATCTTATGGCCAACACTACCACCATAGTCTTCAAGCCGGAGGATGCAAAGCCTACTCGCTGGGAGATCTCGTCGAATCATCTCGACAAGGATCTCGTCAGTAACATCGGGATCATCTATTCTCATTCTACTATGTGGTTTTCCATATCAATCACATATAAACTGGATTAGGGCTATTACCTTACGAGGGGTCTGAACCAGTATAATCTTTGTCTTCTTGTTTGCTTGATATCGTATTGTGTATATCCTCGTACCAACATACCCCAATACTCCCATCCGGTCTACGGGTATCACATGTCGACACATTTTATGTCAGCTTGCGGCCATGCACCTCTCTAACTAAAGCAATAGTATTACAACGGTACTACCATAAGATTGGGATTATTAAAATCTAGCTCTACACATTCTGTAGTACTATAGAAATACCATTACTACTACATGTTCTATGTTACTACAATTTCCACAGGATGTTACTGTCAACAGTGCAGTAGGGGAGGGAGCCGCCCTTGCCCATCGCCTCCCCTCCCGTCAGAAAGGAGGGCGCCGCCGCCAGCCACCGTCGAGCCGTCCCGTGGCCCCATGGCGAGGGAGAGGAGGTGAGGGGTAAACAGGTGTCGCCGCCCGCGGAAGGAGATCCGCCGATGCTGAGGAGCAGCTTGCCGGCCGCTGCTCCCTAGCCCACCCGTACCGTTGCTCGCGGGTAGAGGGAGAAGGAGAGATGAGGCGGAGAGGATAAGGGAAAGAGAGAGAGAGAGAGAGGGGGGAGGGAGAGGGGTAATGAAAGGGGGAGATAGAGGGGGTGTGGTTCAGCTCAGTCAGCTCTAAAGTCAGTTTTTTTAATAGGCATCATTTTTTTAATAAAATTGGCACCTATAATATTGTTTGAGGCATGACACGAGGGCCTTCGGCCAGATCTGCCCAAACAATCCAACCCGTGAGGAATCAAGTCAAGACCAAGAGGTTTGACTGGGCGAAGCCACATGGCGAACTGTATGGCGAAGATTAAATGACTGAGTCTAAGCTCAACAAAGCATATCGGTCGCGGGCGAAGGCCATGACTGAAGTCCATGGCGAAGCCCCTAGGCAAAGCGTGAAGGCTTCGCCTGAAGAAGCCGCACGGCCCACGGAGGCCTTTCGACATAGCTGGGCCGACCTAGCTAGCCCATTTGGAGCCCATAAATGTAAAGGACACTGTGTGCCCTCACTAATGTCCCTATCATAAGGGTATCCATATAAATTCCCCTGTACAACCTAAACCCTAGAAGGTGTAAGCCTGTATTAAGACTGTAAATAGCCCCCTAGGACCATATAATGGGGGATCCAAAAAATTTTACCAATTAATACAATCGTTTTTACTTTCCAACTACCTGATGAGTGAACCACGTCAAAGCGGTTGTCAATCGACAACAAATATAAATATAGATTTTTTTTAATTTTTAATTTTTTATTAAAAGTTTTACAAAAATAATTTTCTATTTGAAAAATTGACAAAACTAACCTCCCGCTGTGTCAGGCCACTCGGGCTATATACTGAATAAGATACTAAACATGACAGCGTGAAATATTTAGTTGGATGGGGTCTCAAATAAAAATCCAAATGATAGGTAATTAATAACGGTAACCATCCAACCTCATCGCTGCCCTGAAATGTCGAATATCAAACTCAATATAAAACCCAAAGCGCCGAGTAATGAATATAAGAAATCTTCGAAAGAAACAGCTTGCCAGTCAACTTCACTAGTACAGATCCTTCCATCTGTGGTGGCCTCTAACAAGCTTGGAAATAGCGGGCCGTCACAAGAAAGTCATCTCAATCAGGCCGAAAAAGTGCTCGATTAAGATATGGTCGCACAGACATGTTAGATGGGCATAAAACTTAGGCCCGTCACGGATGACACCTATCAGTGAGGGACCGTAGTTTAGGCCCGATTGAGATAACATTCCATATCTCAAACGGGCCTCAAGTTGGGGCTCGTCACAGATGACCATCATCCGTGACGGGCATTAACTATAGATCGTCACATATAAGGGTCCTCTGTGATGGGCTATAGTTTAGGCCCGATTGAGATGAGTGTCATCCGTAACGGACTCTAGTTGAGGCCCGATTGAAATAACAACTAGGCCCGTCACAGATGACTCATCAGTGACGGGCTATATACTAATGCCCGATTGAGATGACTTAATCTCTATCGGGCATTAACTAAAGCCCGTCACCAATGAGTATTTTTCCATTTTTCATATGAAATGTTTATATTTGTAAGTTGAACTATAGCAAAATAATTAATTGCAGTATAATAATTCATTTTATGAGTCAAAATAATTTTACGGGTAGTAAATGATTTCAAATGGAAAAATTATCAACAACAAAGTTGTATAACTTATCAAGATTTACAACTTTTAGTTTGGTCATTTTTCTATATAACATTTTTTGAACAGTTTGAATTTGAATTTGAAAATATGACAACTTCAAACAATATTTTCAAATACTAAATGATTTCAACTGAAAAAGTCATCAACAACAAAATTGTATATCTCATCAATATCTATAACTTTTAGTTTGGTCATTTTTCTATATAACATTTTTTGAATAGTTTGAATTTGAATTTGAAAATATGACAACTTCAAATAATATTTTCAAATAATAAATGATTTCAACTGAAAAAGTCATCAACAACAAAATTGTATAACTCATCAAGATCTAAAACTTTTATTTTTGTCATTTCTTCATCCGATAAAGTGTTAGTAACATTGTTCACAGTTTTTACATATATGTGTTATGGTTTATAAAACCAGATAAGAGATATGTCAATTTTGTGAACAATGTTATTATCACTTTGTCAGATGAAGAAATGACCGTTTTACATCTTGATGAGTTATTCAACTTTGTTGTTGATAACTTTTTCAGTTGAAATCATTTAGTATTTGAAAATATTGTTTGAAATTGTCATATTTTCAAATTCAAATTCAAACTATTCAAAAAATATTATATAGAAAAATAACCAAAATAAAAGTTATAGATCTTGATGAGTTATACAACTTTGTTGTCGATGACTTTTTCAGTTGAAGTCGTTCACTAACAAAAAATTCTATTTGAATTTCTCAAACCTTGAATTTCAAATTTCAAATTGTTCAAATAGAGTTAGATGGAAAAATAATCAAAATAAAAATTTTGCATCTCGATGAGTTCTACAACTTTGGTTCTGGTGACTTTTCCATTTGAAATCATTTATTAATCCCAATTTTTGTTCGAAGTTGTCAAATTTTGAAAATTCAAAATTTGAATCGTCCAAATGAACTTATTTGTACAAAGGACCGATACAATAGTTGTAGATCTCGATGAGTTGTACAATTTTATTGTTTGTGATTTTTGCATTTGACACACAAAAATCAGCCTAAAAATAAATTTAAAGTTCTCATTTATTGAAAATAAAAAATACCACATAAATTAAATATAAACATTTCATATGGAAAATGGAAAAATAATCATCGGTGACGGGCATTATTTGAAACTAAAGAAACGGTTGTCATCAGGTTACCACAAATGTATGATCAAATATGTGTTGGGATGCAATGTACTTCTCTCTCATTCTGCTGAGCTTGCATGTATGTCCATTGACAAATTCAGACAAACAGCTAACAAACTGTTGTTTTACGCTCTATCCATACTATAATATAATGTGTGCATACAATTAAATATTCAAATTTTAAAATGATCAATAATTAGTATAATATAAATTCAATTTTATTTACCGAAAATAATATCAATGAATTGAAATTTAAATTTACTTTCATATGGTTATAAGTTTTTCCTACAAATTTTATACTATATGAGAAATTATAGTCCAAAGATTAGTTTTGAAGACCATATCGGGTTTAACCATGCCTTATATTATAGGATGGATGTAGGAAGTACAAAATGTGATGGGAACATGGAAAAGATGACTTTCCTGAATTTATATTGCGGCAACCAAGGCAACATACATGACCAATGGGGGCCTTCGGGGGTTCTCAGATCACAAATTAGATCCCAAAGAGCAAAAAAGAGCAGGGGTGGCTAATGGGCGGGTGACCGCTCCAGGCGATCACCCCCTATCCCCCCTATACGCTACTCTCTCCCTTCTTCTCTTCCTACTACACCATAAATTTTAAAAAAAATAAAAAAAACAAAGTTGGAAAAAATTATGTATAGAAAATACTATATATAAAAAATATTTGAATTTAAATTCAAATTTGAAACAGGTATATAAACTTTGGGTTTATAAACTTTGTGTCTCTAAACTTTAGGTGTATAAACTTTAGATGTGTAAACTTGAGGTATACAAACTTTAGGTGCATAAATTTACTGAAATAGGAAAGTAATGCGGTGCCAAAAAAGGAACCCACATGGAGGAGGGGGGGATCGGCCCTGATCGCCCCGGGCAATCGCTCGCCCAGTAGCACAACCGAAAAAGAGCCATCCCTCAAACCACTGACAATGAGCCCAAAATTTTGATGAATTGACCATTTTATAAAACTTATTTTAAAAATAACACATGTCAAAAACTAATTTCATAAATAAGCCGTGACAACAGCGGGTCATGCAGGTACCCAAGGAGAGGTCTTCGGGCCATGCGGCATAGGGTGGACCACAAGCTCTAGGCCCACGTGGCTATCTTGTAAATAAAGAAAGAGAGATTCCCGGGATAAGATGGGAGATAGCAGTATAGGGAGTCCATGGAAGTAATTGGTCGTTTGGGGATCACAAAACTCTGGGAGTTGAGAAAATTGGTTTGGTTTGGAAAACATGCTTTAAGGCCAACTCTGGGAGTTGTGAAAACTTGAAAATAAAATTTGTCACTTCTCAGCCCTGACCGAGCTGAGACTTGTGTCACTTTGGTTATAGAAAGCACACACTTAGATTGTTTAAAAATTGAAAACAAAATCGTTTTCAAAATAAACAGTCTTTCCTTGAAGCTTGCAAGAGTGACATAAGTACCCCTGGCTTGCTGAGTATGTAAGTGCTCACCCTTGCTCTCTACATAGTTTGCCAGCTTTGAAGTGAAGTTGAAGTGAAGTGAAGTGAATATTAGGGTTTTGTTCTGGTTCCTAGCAGTTGCCTATGGTATTGGAAGTTAGTTCATCGGTTCCCATTGGCTATGCTGTTGTTGTTGTTTCCGCGTCGCCGGTTTCATTGTCGGGCTTCTCTTGGGAGTTGCAACTTAAGTCAAGTTAAATAAGTCATCTATTTAATTTAAAGATTGCAATGATTCATAATTGTCAATGTGAGTACCAACGCTATGTTATGGGACTAGTGCCGATATCGCAGTCTCGTAGGAGGTGGTTCCCGTCATTTTTCCTACGACATGCTCCTATAAGGTGTCGTTGTATGGTGATGCCAGATTAAGGCGTGACAAAATACTATGCACACGCAGGGCTTTTAAACAACAATTTAGTGAGATCATAGATCTGCCATTGATTTTTCATTTCTTTGAGCGTGTGTAGGGGCGCATTCGCAGGTGTGTGACATGTGTGTCTACAATGTAATCAAAAAATCAAAGTCGCCCTAGTTAAGGGAGGCTAAACGAACTTTCCTCGGAAAAAAAAAGAACGGAGGGGTTTTAGCCGGAATAAGTTCACTTTATGACCCTCAAATGTGATCGAAATCTAATCCGTGACCCTAAACTACAAAACCAGATATCTCGACCCTCAAACTCCTAAAACTGGTGCAATTTGACTCCCTCGGCGGTTTTGAGGGTGGCTTTGCTGACGTGGCACCACGTGGTGCCTACGTGGCGATATTGACCAAGTCTTCATTCCACGTAGCGTTGATGTGGCACCTACGTGGCGGTAGAAATTAAAAATATGCGTGGGACCCATTAGTCATTCACACGAAAAGAAATGTGGGCCCACAGACATGTGGGTCCCACATGTCAGTCCTCCTTCCTCCTCCCTCTCTCCTTTCTCTCTCTTTCTCTCCCCTTCTTCCCTTTGGCCGGTGGCACGCGGCGACAAGCAAGTTTCGGCCGACAGCAGGCGGCGAGAGCGAGCGACGGCGGCGTGCAAGTAAGTCCCGGAGCGGCGGCGGCGCGCAAGTGAGGGGAGCGGCACGCCGTGGCGGAGCACGAGGAGGCGGCGTGAGAAGGCCGAGCGAGGAGGTCGAGTGAGGAGGCGGCGAAGGAAGCCGAGCGGAGAAGGCCACGGTGGAGCGCGAGGAGGCGGCGAAGGAGGCCAGTCGAGCCTCCGGTATCCGCCCCCGGCCCCATCCCTCACGCCGATGGCGGTGGCGCAGCTGCTGCTGGGCGAGGACGGGAGGGGGTACGACCTCGGGGACACCGCCCACGCGTCTCCAGTCCCCATCCACTTGGGAAGCCTTCCTCTTCTCCTCCTCCGGCTGTGGCTCCGCGCCCCTGCCCCCTCACCCGCTCCTGCTCCTCCAGCTCCGCGTCCGCGCGCTCCTCTTCGACAAGGCCTCCGCCGCGCTCCTCCCCCGTGGCGCCTCCCCAGCGGGCCTCAACTCTGTCAACGCCAACTGTGAGCCCCAACTCTTGCATGCCACCGTGCGCCACCGGCCGAAGGGAAGAAGGGGAGAGAGGGAGGAGGAAGAAGGATGACTGACATGTTGCCCCACATGTCAGTAGGCCCATATTTCTTTTTGTGCGAATGACTAATGGGTCCCACATATATTTTTTAATTCTACCGCCACGTAGGTGCCACGTCAATGCCACGTGGAACGAAGACTCGGTCAATATCGCCACGTAGCACCACGTCAGCAAAACCACCCCTAAAACTGTCGAGGGAGTCAAATTGCACCGGTTTTAGGAGTTTGGGGGGGTCGAAATATCCGGTTTTGTAGTTTAGGGCCTATGGAGGGACTTTTTTTTTTTTGTGAGAGGGACCACCTAAACAACCCCTTAGATTTCGATTTGAGGGTCATAAAGTGAACTTATTCCGGTTTTAGCCTGATAAGGCGGCCACGGCCCACGAACTAGTCGAGTCCCCGTAATATAAGCAGAGGCCCTCCGCTCAATCCCCTCATCACCTGCCGCTGCCGCTGAAGCGAATCGCCGCCGCCGTCCTCGAATCGTCGACCCGGTTCGTCTTCCTCCCCGCGCGCGCGATCCATCTATTACAGCCTCGAGGTGAGATAAAATTCCGTTTGTCCTCCTGTTCTAAGGTTGCATGCGCGTTCTCATTGGCTCCAATGGGGATTTTCTTTTCTTCAGTAAATTTCTTGATGTTTGGGGGCGGCCTGGGCCTGCGCGTGCTCCGATGGGGATTTTTTTTAGGTAAACATGCTGATGTTCGCGTAAACTAGGTTTGTGTGTTACCCTAGCGCGTGGTGGTTGGTTGCTTGCAATGCGATTGATTAGGTTTTGCGTAATGGGTTCGATCGGATGGGTTGTGGGGTTGGGCGACCAGAAGATTTATGAGTAGTAGCGTCAGATCAGTTTTAGACAATTAATTGGTTGCATCTTTTCTCTTGATAGTCCGCCTGTTCTACACTTGTGCTACCTGTAGGTAGAGATTGTTAATTTCTCATATATAGCACCATGTGCTGATCCTTAATTTTGTTGGTAATTTGTATATGTAAAATTGTTAAATTTTTCAAACTCTTTTCTGCTCGCTCCAGGCTGTCGATTAATCTCCTGGCTATTTACTTGAGTGTTGCTGCCTATACCAAAGAGCAGTCCATTAGCGCGTGATTAATTAAGTATTAACTTTTTTTAAAAAAATAGATTAATTATATTTTTTAAGCAACTTTCATATATAAACTTTTTGCAAAAAACACTACGTTTTGCAATTTGAAAAGCGTGCGCGCGGAAAACGAGAGAGGTTAGGGAGAGGCAATTAATTATATTTTTTAAGCAACTTTCATATATAAACTTTTTGCAAAAAACACTCCGTTTTGCAATTTGAAAAGCGTGCGCGCGGAAAATGAGAGAGGTTAGGGAGAGGCACAAACGAACACAGATTGTGAACTCAGGCACTTTGGGGTTGATAACTTTGTACTGTAGCAGTACAATGTTTTGTCTATTAAGAACTAAAGGATGGGCCCATAACTAAGATGGGAGGGTGTATAGAGTTATCTGTATATTATTGGTTAAATTAGCATGTAACGTTCTACATATTGGTTTAGTATATGTAAAACCTTTTGCTCTGCTTCAGCTTATTTGTGCTCTGCTTATTGATATCTTTATGTTAACACACAGATATATCCATCTTGCGCTGCCATTGCTTCCAATCAGAGACCGGATTGATCAATGAACAATATGGAGGCGGCACTACCTGAGGACTTGCTGGCCAACGTCCTTGGCCGCCTCCCACCGTGCAGCCTCGCCGTGTCACGCTGTGTCCGCAAGGACTGGCGTGCCCTCATCGACAACCGACGCCTCCTTCGTGCTGACCTCCTCCCTCTCCGCCTCGACGCTTTCTTCTTCAAGGGCCAGATCCTCACGTCTCACCCCTACTTCTTCTCGTCACGCTCTACGGCACGCCGGATCGGTGGCCGCCTCGACTTCCTCGACACCTTCAATGACGAAGATCTACAGATCATGGATCACTGCAATGGCCTGCTCCTGTTCTTCGAGCGGCTCGCCAACCCTGCCACTCGCCAATGGATGCACCTGCCTACCTTCCCGATGTCGCCATGCGTCACGCTGGGCTTGCGCACGGGCTTCTGCCTCGTATGATCCCATGGTATCGCCGCACCACTTTGAGGTGTTTTGTGTCCCTTTGGTTCCCGAAAACATCTTCTATAGAAGCAGCGATAATTTGGACCCCGACAGCAACAGCAGCGTTGATCAGGAGTCATTAGAATGGCCGTTGTCATCGCGGTGCACAACACACGTCTTCTCGTCGAGGAAATGGAGGTGGGAGGAGAGGTCATTTGTCCGCCAACAAGGAGTGGAGCCTGCCAATGAGACCATTGCCGACCTACAATTTCATCCCCAGCAATTCCAACGCCGTGCCTTATATTTGAAGGGAGAAATTTATGTGCAATGCAAGAACAATTCTCTTATGAGGTAAGTGAATAAATCTGTGAGCTTTTTTAATGGTACTAGTAAAAACACTTAGAACTTCAATGATAGAAGGGTTTGTGAACATAATAAATGTTAAAAAAAATCATTTAGGACAAAATATAGTTGGTTCATGAAACAAACTGATGTTGCTGGTGGGTCCTGTAATTATGGACACCTTCACAGCTTGCTACCTAGCACAGAGAGCCAGTCTCCAAGCCAGAAATATAAAACTGAAAAAGAAATACTCGCTCCTTGTATGCATGATTTTACTGAGAAATATAAAACTGAAAAAGAAATACTCGCTCCTTGTATGCATGATTTTACTAACATGCTTTCTTGTTAATGGCTCAACCTCAATTTGCAGAATAACCCTGTCAAATGATAAGTACCAAATGATCAAATCGCCAGTAGAGAGCAAAATTGATGATGGCAACGGCGTCCTTCAGTTGGGAAAATCAGAGAAAGGAGTCTACTTTGTGTTGCTTATGAAGATAATAATTTCCCCCAATTTCAAGTTTGGTTGCTCAATAAATCTTCATCATGTGGTGGTCAGGTTGAGTGGGCGTTGAAGGCTAACATCAGCCTTGAAGCAATTATGGATAATTTTCCTCTTAACACTGACAATAGTTTCAGCAGACCATGGATCCTAAACTATGTGACCGAAGAAGCAATACGAAGGGCACAGGAGGAGGAGGAGGAACTTGAATGGGACTTTGAAAATGGTATCATCCTTGAAACCAAAGATAAGGCGGAAGCACACCATCTTAATAATATTTATTTTATAGGGTTTCATCCTTACAAAGAGATTGCCTTCTTTTGGGTCTCATCATCAAGAGTGATATCCTATCATTTGAATACCTCAAAGGTTCAAGAGTTGGGCATCTTATTCCATTTACCCGGTATAGCGCAGTCATTTCTATACACACCGTGCTGGATGGAACTATTTGAAAATAACAATTAGCTGCTAGCTAGTAGTTACTTTATCAAAGTTAGCACGTATTCATACACATTTAAATAAATATGTTCCCTTTTAATATATATATGTATGAACGATTGTTTAATTTAATAATTCATTCCTAGCTCCTTGCGTTGATAATAATTAGAGTGATGCGTGTCTCCTATTTTATTAGGGTTAAATTGATCCGTGCTATTACAAATGTGCTCTGTTACTGTCACTGTCGTGTTTCGTCGACGGGTCGAGTGGTGATAGATTATACTCTTGTTTTTTTTAAAGTAGATGATGCATCGGAACATGTAAGACACGTTAATGATGGGGCTGTATTTTTTACCATTCGTCCTGTTTTAAAAAGTATATAAATATTATTTATTTTATTGTGACATGTTTTACAATTAAATAAACTTTAAGTGTGACTTATGTTCGCAATTAACACTATTTTTTCAACTAAGATATGATTAAACGTTATTTTAAAAGTCAACTGTACTAAAAAATGGAATTAGTATATATTGAGTAAATTGTACTGCACTTGGCCTACGCATCTACTTCCTCTGTTTCATAATATAAAACTTTCTAGTATTACCCATATTTATATAGATGTTAATGAATCAAGATATGAAGGGATATATAATTATATGCTTCAAACCACTCTTTAATTAAGCTATGTTTTACTTTGAGCTGCCAAAACGCTCCTTAATTACGTGCGACCAAGATAACAACAGCATAATGTTTTAACGAGACGTCAGGCTTGTTCACTTGATAGACAAAATCAATCTTACTAACATTTGGTAATACCGAATTTTAGTTTTTTTTTGTGTGTTATAAATTTTTGGTAGCATTAGATATGTTTAGTCCGAAACCTTTCTAAAATAAATTTGGTGGTGTTTTTTAGAGGAAACTTGTAAGTTCTGTTTTTTAATGGAACTTCATTCCAACCATCACAACCTAGAAAAATTGGACAACTTCACTCTGCAATTGGTTCACTGACATAAAGGTTTCTTTCAGTAAGGTCATTCCAGTTGTTTGTTCAGTGGTTGGTTGCTCTAGAACAACGACGTGCTTCATTAAAAATGAATGCAATCCATTCAGTCGCTTTACTGCAGCCGATCTCCTGTATCAAGAATCAAGAGTCAAGACACTTTTGTTTCATAGTAGTAGCTCATCCATTCCTGCCTTACTTCTGATATCGGCCTTGGCTTTTTTTGCCTGTTTAGTTCCCACTCAGAAACTTTTGACCCTGTCAAATCGAATGTTTGGACACATGTATAGAGTATTAAATATAAAAAAATAATTACACAGATTGCGTGTAAATTGCGAGACGAATCTTTTAAGCCTAATTGCTCCATGATTTGATAATGTGGTGCTACAATAAATATTTGCTAATGACAGATTAATTAGGCTTAATAAATTCGTCTCGTAGTTTACAGGCGGAATATGTAATTTGTTTTGTTATTAGTCTATGTTTAATACTTTAAATGTATGTTCGTATATTTGATGTGACACGCTAAAACTTTGCATCTCTAGTTCTAAACACACAGCCTTTTGGCACTTCTTCTTTTCCTTCTTTGAGCTGTTTATTTAGCAGTTCAGACTTCAGAGTTCAGAGGTCTGCAGGCTGCAGCTGCAGTAAGGCTAAATGGCTGGGGCTTCAGAGTGAGTATGGCTGAGGCTTTTCCTGACAATCAAAATGAAGAGTTATTAGTGCACGATTAATTGAGTAATGATTAATCTCTATCTCTACTATTATAAAAGTTAAAAATATTTTCGCTAAAATTTTCGTACGTCGTACGTATTTAAGTTGATTCTGTCACCCGTATAACTCTAAAATAACTATTATACACCCTCTTCCCCGCCTAACGGCCTAACCCCTCCCCCTCCCTCTCCCGGTCCAACCCAACCCAACTTACCTGTGTTTTCTGAATGCGCGAAACAGAAGGAGCTGAATTAACCTACATGACCTGATTTTTGCCTGAATTCTGCTCTTTTCTTAGACATGTTCTTTGGTATTTTTATGCACCCTGTTTTATTTTTTTCCACACCCTCTATGAAGAACCTTGTTGTATCAGTACTGTACGTACTGTACGTATATGATGCAGTAGTAACTATTGTTAAACAGGAGAAAAATGAAATGTACCGGCCGGACGGAAGAATGGTCATATTTTCTGTGTCAGTCAAAACAGAAGAATGATCATATCTTCACTATGAGAAGTTGCCCATGGCCATTCAAGCCACTATAGTGTAGCACTGAACCATCACAAGCTTGAAAAATTAGACCACTGCACTGAATAATGGCTTGCACAAAGCAATGACATTCTGCAAATGGTTCACTGGCATTAAGGTTTTCTAAACTTTTTCTTCAAACTTTCAACTTTTCTATCACATCAAAATTTTCCTATACACAAACTTTCAACTTTTCTATCACATCGTTTCAATTTCAACCAATCTTCTAATTTTGACGTGAACTAAACCCACCCTAAGATCACTCACTCTAGTTGTTCACTGGGTTGGTTGCCATAGAACCGCACATGCGCCGTGTTTAATTCCAAAATAATTCTTCAAACTTCTAACTTTTCCATCACATCAAAACTTTCATACACACATAAACTTTCAACTTTTCCATCACATCATTCCAATTTCAACCAAACTTTCAATTTTGGTGTGAAGGCTCAGTAAAAATGAATGCAATCCATTCAGTCACTTTACTGCAGCCGATCTCCTGTATCAAGATTCAAGACACTCGCTTGTGTTTCATCACAGTAGTAGTTCATCCCTGCCTGACATCATCTGATATCGCAAATCTTCATGTGTCAGCCTTGGCTTTTACTCGAGCCATTGCCACTTCTTTTTCTTCTTTGAATTAACTGAGCTGTGTACTTGAGCAGTTCAGACTTCAAATTTCAGAGACCTGAGTTCGATTCAGCTGAGGGTGTGTTTAATTCACACCAAAATTGGAAGTTTGGTTAAAATTGGAACGATGTGACGGAAAAGTTGAAAGTTTATGTGTATAGGAAAATTTTGATGTGATGGAAAAGTTGGAAGTTTGAAGAAAAAGTTTGGAACTAAACTCGGCTTGAATTGGTGTTGCTTTTCCTCGCACATAAAACAAGTTGAGATATTAACACATGATTAATTAATTATTAATTATTATAAGCTTAAAAAAATTTTATTTATTTTTTTAAGAAACTTTATATAGAAAATTTTATAACTCAGCGATGGGTCGGGCATATTGGGCTTTTTTTGTGCATATACACACACTAAAAGCCCATTATGATTTCGGCCCAAGGCCCGCTAGCCCGTAATCCGTACGAATTAGGATGCCACGTGGCATCCCTCTCCTCTGCTTCGAGAACTTCCTCTCCGCTCCCTCTCTGCTCTCTCTTTTGGCCCAAGTCCCTATCACATTGAATGTTTAAAAATTAATTTTAAATATTAAACGTAGACTATTAATAAAACTCATCCATAATTTTGGACTAATTTGCGAGACGAATCTAATGAGCCTAATTAATCCATGATTAGCCTATGTGATGCTACAGTAAATATTCTCTAATTATAGATTAATTAGGCTTAAAAAATTTGTCTCGTGAATTAGCTTTTATTTATGTAATTAGTTTTGTAAGTAGTCTATATTTAATACTCTAAATTAGTGTCTAAAGATAGGGACTAAAGTTAAGTCACTGATGTAAACACCACCTTTGTCTCTTCTTCTTCTTCCGCCGGCTTCTCTTCCAAGCCTCTCGCCTTCTCCCTCCCGCGCTCGCCGCCAAAACCCCTCGAAACCCTAGGCTGCTTCGCTTCCTCCTCCTCCTCCTCCGCTCCAATGGCGGACGTGCTCCTCCCGGAGCTCCGCTCTCCTCCTCCTCCGCCGCCGCCGCCGCCACCGACAAATGATGATCGCGCGCGGGCGGTGGACCTGCCATCGCCGACTCCGGAGTGTGACGATCGCTCGCCGCGTCGTGAGCTGGGGCGCTCGCCGGAGGATCACGGCGTGCCGCTCCCTCCCCCGCCACCGCTCGGCTCCTCGCGCCCCGAGCGCCTCGCCAGCGATCGTCCGGAGGAGGGCGCCTCCGCCGCCGCGCAGCCGTGTGGCGGAAGGAGTGAGAGCCCCACGGCGAGGTCCATGTGGCCGCGGAGGCTCTCCCCTGCGTCGTTGCCGCCGCGTGGCGGGAGGAGGAGCGAGAGCCCCACGCCGAGGTCCATCTGGCGGCGGCTCTCCCCGTCCCCGCCCCCGCCGCTGCCGCCCTTGCCTCCCAAGCGGCCGCGCTTGGACGGCCGCCGTAGCCCACCGCGCGGTGGGAGGTGAGGCGGAGGGAGGACGTTTTGGTTTACCTTCTCGGCTCTCGTCGGTGTTTGATTTCTCCTGCGAAGATCTCAAGCTAATGTGTGTTCCGCTCGCGCGTGTTTCGTGCAGATTCGGATTCGAGCACGAGCGAGGCAGGGAAAGGAGCATGAACACTTCGCGTCGCGCTCCAGGTGAGCTATACTTGTTGAACATTTTCATCCTGCCCCTTCTGGGCGCAGGCATTTCCAACCAAAATCGTGCCCTGCTACAAGTTTGCATAGCATTTCTCAAAGCAGAGTTTCTGGTTGTTACTTTGGGATTGGGAAGGGATTTCTCGAGCACTTAGACAGATGGAAACTGATCAGTATGGTTTGAGGTCTCCTTCATCCTGGATTCCTGGTAGCTCAAAATCTCTGGGCTTGCTTGGAGGCCAATGTGAGAATTTTTTTTCTCATTCCATCAAAACAAATATACTCTGTGTACTTCAGTAGTTCTCATGGTGAAATGGTGAGTGTAATTCGTCAGTTAGTGCTTTGGCACGCTTTTCGAGAACGAGGAGCCTGGGACATTAAGCACTTACTAGGTGTCTTGTACTCTTGTGTGATTTCATAATACTCACCTCGGCTGTCAACTCAATGCTATCAGAATTGCAGCATGCATCTTTGTATTAGTGAAAAATTTCTGATGTCCTCAGTTTTAAAAAAGAACTATGCCATCAATCAACACTAATTTTATTGGCACACTAGTAGGTGATTATCTTGTTGAGTTACCTATACACTTTGATAAATAGGAGTTGGCTTCAATACTTGTAAATTTACTTGAGAACAAGAGAGCTAGTGGATTGCTATCAACATCGTGCATGTTTCTTGTTGGCTTACCTCTAGTCACAATTGAAGTTCTTAGTATGAAGCATTTTGACATCGATCTATTATTTATGATTAACCTACTTCTGCAGTATTAGATAAAAAGTTAACATTAATACTCTCTCTCTCTCCCCCTCTCTTCATTAGTAAACCTTATTGGTTATGTGCATGAGGACATAGGCCGGAGATATAAACAATTTCAATGATCTAATAATAATTCATGGTCCTTCATGTGAGTATGTCTTGTAAGAACGACGATTCACTGCTAGAAGTCTTAACACTTACTGCTTTTCTTCTAGATTGCCTGGATTCTGGATGTGATGCCCCCTATAATGGTCAAAGTAACACCCGGAGGTATGTATATGATTGCCCTATCATGGTGGTAGTTTTGATCTGTTAGGTATGTTGATATTGCTATTACTTCCAAGTAATTTGCTAGTGTGGTGTTGCATTTTGTTGAACTTTTCCTTCCTTTTTGTCTTTTTTTCCGTTTTAAATCCCTCATATATTGTTGAGTGGATGGAGTGCCAATTGTATGAGATCTTATGTGATTCCAAATCATTTCAGGAAAGGATTGATGACATACAAACAGTTTACCCAAAAACTTGAAGATGATGTTTCACCGGGTGAAGCTGAGAGCAGGTATTTATTAACAAAAAGTTACACAACATTCCAGAACTTGAATTAATCTGTTGTACTAGATTGCACTTAAAGTTCAGTGAGCTATTTGTCTAAGTACACTGTTATCAACTTGGTTAACAAGGTACCAAGAATACAAGACATCATACATTACTTCTCAGAAACAGGATTATTTTGATCACCATAAGAATGAAGATCGGTATGTTCAAAATGCACTTCCTTTCCTTCTGGTGGTGTTAATTGTACTTTGTTAAGTAAATTGGTATTGCAGGTTCATTTCTTTGTTTTTGTAATTGCAGTTTGAAAGACATGTACCACCCAACAAACTTATTATCTGTTATTGAAAGGTAATAATAAGTTTGCTTAAAGCTTCACTCAGAAGTTTACCTGCTGTCAGAAATTTCGTATTTGAATTCGTATTGAGCAGCATTCATAAACCGAACAGCGCTTTTTTATGTGCGCTATTCATTTCGCTCAGAAAAGGTTGTGTTGCTTGTTGGTTTCTTATGTCTGTTTTTATTTCACTCAGGCGGAATGAACTTTGCAAGGCTGCAGCGAAGAATTTGATTCTTGATTTGCGGAGTGGAACTTTGGACCTGTGAGATGAATCTATGTATCATTTATGTTGTGAATGATTAATCCTATGGTATTTCAAGTTGGTTTTGCTGATATCTTGATTTTCATTGGCATAGTGGTCCTGGAATGACTGCTGGTACAGCAAGTAAATCAGGAAATGACAGTGATGGAATCCCTGCAGATGATGAAGATTATCACAACAAGAGAAGAAGGCATCACAGAGGTCCCCTGGAAGAAACTGAACTAGTTTCAGTTGCTCCTAAAGCTCACCCAGTCAGTTCGCATTATCGACGAATTCAAACTGACATACATCAAACTCTAGCCTTAGTGAAGAAGCTTGATGAAGAGAAGGGTATTGTGGGAAACATCCTGACAACTGGTGATCACACAAAGTCAAATGGTGACAAATCATATGCTGGATCTACAGGGCCTTTAGTTATTGTCCGGGGCTTATCAACTGTTAAGGGCCTTGATGGTTTTGAGCTCCTAGACACTCTCCTTACTTATTTGTGGCATGTCCATGGTATTGATTACTATGGGATGTCTGAGAGTACAAATGCAAAAGGTCTTCGTCATGTGAGAGCTGATACGAAGAATGCCAACATGGACAAAAGCAGCGCTGCTGATTGGGAGAAGAAACTGGATTATTTCTGGCAAGAGAGACTGACAAACGGCAAGGATCCTCTAGTTGCATTGACTGCCAAGGATAAAATTGATGCATCAGCTGATAAAGTTCTAGAATCTTATGTCACAAAGGTTAAGGATGATAACTACGGATGGACATACGGCTGTGGAGCCAAAGGATGTATAAAAGTTTTCCATGCTCCTGACTTTGTTCTCAAACATCTGAACCTCAAGCATCCTGATTTGGTCTCCAAATTGACTTCAAGAGTCCAAGAGGATATCTATTTCCAAAATTATATGAAGTATGTATTTAGATCTCCAAATGCAAATGACAAATTGTTATTTCCGACATGTCAAAAGGTAATGCTTCTGTTGTTGTTTACTTTTGATGCAGTGATCCAAATGCTCCAGGTGGCACACCAGTTATGCAGCAACAATCACCAGTAAGAAACTATACACTGTTTAGCTTGTTCCTTTTCACTGATATGCTTAAGAACATTCCCTTCTTGTTTGTATGGTGGGGTGAGAAAAGCTATAATACTATTCTTAATTAACTCTGAAACTAAACTAATTTATCTGAACTGTTTCTCGGTCTTAGAAGGTTTACATTGCACCGATTGTTAATTTCTTCCGCAATTTCCCCCTTTGAGATGCTTATTTTCATTTTTTAGTTGTTTGTGCTTATCATAAAAACAGTTTGTTTCTTTAGGAGTTTGTGAAATGTTTTTCCATGTCCCATGTTTGACTAACAGATCAATAGAAATTCAATCCATAATTTGTTGTGTTCACCTGTCACTAGTGAAGCTCTATGTTGTAGATCTTTCACCTTATTTCCACATTAATGAGTAATCGATGACAATATTTTACTTCTTGTAATATTTATGTATGTGAAGTCTCTGATGTTTGATACTGTTCGTTCTTCATCATAATCCATGTAACTTCTCTAGTGTTGAATGTTCTTAATTTTGCATTTCAAGTATATTTGCTGGGGGATATTAAACGTGCAGTGTATCACTTGAAACTTGAAAGTGTTGTGTATTAGTTATTGAAATCCTAAACCTGCAGTATAATCCTTATTTATAAGCCCGTTCTGGTTTGCAGGAGCAGCAAGGACCTACACCTTCTGAACTAACGCCTGGTGCTTTTGGCGGGCAGGGTTCCTTCGTTGAAATGCCCACTCCACCAGTACTAATACCTGTGCCTGGTGCTGGGTAGGTTAATTATGTTATGCCAGTTAGCTAAACAATTAAGTACTCTACAAAAAGGAAAAACAAGTCAGTTATCAAGTCCAGGCACAATTCTAACTATGGTTGTCTTGGTTTCAGTCCATTGGGTCCATTTGTTCCTGCACCTCCAGAGGTAGTCATGCAGATGATGCGACCAGTGATGCCCATGTATCCGCCTCGTCCGCCTAACCCTCGTCGTCTGCGAAGGTCAGTACTGATCAACTAAAGTTTGATTAATTTCCCCCTAAAGAACACTAAGCTTAATACTTTGATAAAAAAAAATTGCCGGGTCCGCGGAAGGACGCCGACCTACTTTGATAAAATTTGGTATACGTTAGGAAATGAAAATCCGTTAACAACAACATGGTTAGTTTTTGCACTTTCGAAATGATTTGCTAAATACGATCCCAATGACTATGCAATGCTCCTTCCTCTCTTGTCCTTGCCTGTTTCTGCACTGGTTTACTGCCCTACTATACTTTCTACTTTGTGCCAGCTTCTCTTGTGATCTTGTCCTATTGCATTTGATTGTGGAAGCAGAAAACATGATACACCTTTGTGTCGAACATATGGATATGCTTCGCTGTAGTTTCTGTTGCCTAACTCTCTAAAATTTAAATTCATGATGTTGGATGCAGCTACAAAGATCTTGACGCTCCTGATGATGAAGTCACTCTCGTGGACTACAGAAGTTTGTAGATGCGCGTTTCGTGTTAACCAGCAGCCAGCAGGCTAATTCGGTGATGGTTCCTCCAGACAGCGTAAAATTTTTCTAACAACTGATATGAAAGCACGATTACTTCCCGTTGCTGCCACAATGAGGAGACGGACGACGGATAGGAAATTTTCGTCACGTCTGACACTTAAGATGCGTGTCGCTTGAACGATCAACCATTCTATCATACATACATTGATCTGCCCCTGTGTTTTCTGATACTTGAATGGGCAACAGAAGTTACGGGATTAACATGATCTAATTTGCCACTGTACATGTTTGCTGCAGGATGATGGAAAACTAGTTATTCTTCCCTCTTCTTAGACATGTTCTTTTGGATGCACTCCGTTTAACACCCTATATGAAGCGAGAAAGACCTCTTTCTTCTTTTTTTTCCTATTAACTATATATCTGTCTGGTGGATAATGGTTTGCTTAACACAGACCGCGTTACAATATATGTTCCCTTTGTAGTTTCTATTACTACTCCCTAACCTTTTTTTAGAGAATATCACTCCCTACTCAGCCTCGACGCTTTGAGAGTTCGATCATGTGAAAGACGGAATACGGTTGTCGAACGAAAAGGGTACCATTCACCGATTAATTAGAATACGAACGATTAATTAGAATTATACGAAAATTTAACGTTCATGAATATATGTACAAATTTTATAATATTATATAGTTATTTGAAGATTTAGACATGTACAACTATATAAATCAAATATGTTCATGTTGTTTTATAATTAAAAAGATAAGTAAAACATTAACTCTTCTAACACTGGATTTATATATCACATAGTTTATATATCACATAGTAGTAGAATTGGTTGCATTAAATAAGTAGAATGGAATTCACTTCACTTGCTTATGAAGATGGGCCCACATTGGATGATGGGCTTTTCTTAGTTGTGATGGACCTTAGGATATACGGCCTGGATTGGAGCTGACGTGCCTTGGGCCCAACTTTCTGCGGTATTGCAGCCCATTAAACCTTCCTTGTTATTTTCTGAACGTTGATATATATGTGGTCAGAGCAAAAAATGAGGCAAAATTAACCAGTTAAAAAATGTAGGTCATGGACTGCTGCAGTTAATTCTAGTGGTATTCAAGGTGTGTTCTGTTGCCATATCAACAATGGACAGAATGATAGGTATCTTTTATTTAGTCTTTTATTAAGTCCGGACACAAGTACACAACTGATCTCATATTTGCAAGCAAACACTAGGAATTCAAACAGCCTACAGTATATTACCATAAGAGCTATTTATGCAATGAGATAGTCTGTCTGGATCACTGCTGCTAAAAAAGATGAAGGCTCCATGAAGAATTGTAGGATTACATTAAACTTGGCCTAATGTTGGCACTTACTCAGGATGAGGGACAGGTTTCCCTTATGTCCTTGATCAGTAGTTGGAGGAAACACAAACTGCAGGGGCTTAATAACTCATCAGCGTGCCGAAGATGCAGACTCCATAGGATCTTTCAATTCATTCTGCAGCAATGCACACATGAATATATACATAAGAGAGTACAACAGTTACTGGAGTAGTAAATGGACATGCCTCACCTGAACTGACATAGATACAACCCCAGTACTAACAAATCATACCAGATCATAGTACAAGTTATTGCTTGCTTTGGCAATTGAACCTAACACCCCCATATCTGACTTGGCTGGAACAAGTCAATTTTCAGCAAGAACAGGAGAAGTGCGGCATTCTGGCCTCTTCAATTATTTTACAGTAACATCAGGGGAAAAAAAGCATTGCGATAGGGCTCTCAGATTGCATAACTATCATGTAACTAGAGTATGTTCAGGTGTATATATGCTCCGTTTTGCCATCTCACAGAACTTCTGCACACTGAGAAATCCAGGGACCGATATGAACCAGTAAGCTGCCAGTGATTCTTCAAACTCTAGCTTTTCATATAATACATTGCATATCGAAGCTCAGTTTGTAGCACATTGAACATATAAAATAAATGTCTACAGCCCACCTAAAATGAAACCAATTTTTACATACACTACACAGCTGATTAAATATCAACATGTCCCCACAGAAGTTTCTAAATGAATGGTTATGGTGATAGGGACAATAACATAATAACAGAAGGGAAGACATTTGATAAGTAGGAAATGTCCCAATTACGCACATTGTCCCCCACCATCTTCTGTTCACCTTCACCATGAGAACTATAGAAGAGCCTATGTTCATATGCCACCAATATTCTCATCACAGGTTCACTATTGGGCCTCACGTCCAGTGTGGAGCAATTTGCTGACTGGCCGAAAATGAATCATTGTTACATATCCCATTATTGCATAAATAGTAGAACCAACCATTTGGTTCTTCAACCAAAGCTATTTCACTGTAGAAGCACTCCGATAAAAGCCTGTCATCGCACTGGTAATCTTGTCATTTGTGTGCCTGATTTGGAAGCTCCCAGCCCTCCTGGGCCGGGGAATGAAGAGCGCACTGAGCATCTTCTCCAAACCATCAACTGTGTACTTTACATACTTGCTAGCACTAACATCCTGCTCCACCAGTGGCCCATAGTTCTGCATATAACTCCGGTAAGCAGGAACAATTGCCTGAACCACAAGACCACATGTCTTCTCCCTCAAGTCCTTCTCTGGTATAACCCATGCAGATTGTTTACGGAACATCTCATCAAAGCTCGCATTGAATGTTTTAAGGCGCTGCTTCACCAGGTCCTTTGCCGTGGCCCGGCCCTTGGAGAACAAGATTAGCCCCTCCCGGTTGAGCAGCGGTGAAACCACCCCCCAACTATCCCTCATAAACACCGTCAGATAGTAGTCCTTAAACTGTTCATGCTCTTGCAGCCACGCATCACCCAAAAGCTCGCCTAACCTAGTAGCCTTCAAGTTCTTAAAGAAATGCCAGTGTGTGTTCATCATGAAGAGATATGACAGTGTCACATTGTCATATGCCTTTGACCAGACATCAAAATTAGCTTCAAGGGCCTTGACGATGTTAAGCACCGCGTTAACAAGCATCTTGTCACTGAATGTCTCTTTGCGCCAACTGCGATGGATGGTGAGAACTTGCGCAAGCACAGGCCTGTACTTCTCACTAAGGAGGCGATTGCAGTACTCAACCACAAAGCTAACTAGTCGCGGCACACCCCCATCAGGTGGGGGAGGCATGTGCCGCTGCAGCTCCACCTGCACAAGCAACTCCTCAAAGATCTCAACAGCACCATCCACTAACAACTTCACAAGGTCCCTTGTTTGGTTCTGAATCTCTACACACGCCTTCTTTCCACCAAACAACCGGTTGAAGTCCAACCTTAGCTTATTCAAAGAATCAAACACCTCCAGCAAACGCAGGAGCTTAATGGGGTCCTTCTTCGCATCAGCAGCCGCACGACCAAAGCTCAAGAAATCAAGAATGCCGGCGTGCGCTGCAACATCAGCGAAGCACGCTGATGCGTCATCCTTGCGCTGCCCAAACACCTTGTTGCAGAGCTGTCGCTCGGACTCAAGAAGGCAGCGCACCACAAACTCCAAATGCCGCCCCCACAACTCAACTCCAGGGCCCAACGCCTGCGCGACGTCGACCGGGTTTCGCAAGTAATCGAGGCCAAGGGCACGGAGGCTGGCACTCACCACGCCTCCGCGGGCATCAGCATACACGGACAAACAACGGTCCTGCCTGCCATTGGCAATGAGGCGGTCAAGAATCAGGCTGAGCTTGTGAACGGTCGCGGCCGGGATGAGAGACGGCGCGGCAGTAGATGCAGAGGTTGTGTTCAGCTGCTGCATCGCGAGCGGGAGCGGTGCAGAGTGGTCGGCGAGAAGGCGGCGGAACTCTGCCTCGAGCATGTCCAGAGCGGCCGCCAGGAGGCCACCGTCGAGGTCACCGGAAGGTTTCTTGAGCCCCTCGAGGGTGACGGCGAGGTCGGCGAGGAACCTTGGGTCAGCGAGGTCATGGTCGCCGAGGTACTCGACGATGTCCGCAAGCCACTGCGCGGCGAGGCCGGAGTTATCGGAGAGGAACCTGAGGGCCTCCTCGAGGCGGCCGAGCACGGCGAGGTAACCCGCGAGGTCCCCGGCGACGGCGCCCGCGGCGAGGAGCGGCGGCTCGAGGCCGTGCACGGCGTCGAACACCTTGAGCACGGCCGCGGCGGGGCCGACGGCGCGGTCGATGTGGGGCCCCGCCGCGGCCAGCTCGGCCCGCGGCGCACGGATCGGGCGCACGGCGGCCTCCAGCGCCGGCAGCGCGAGCTGGATCTCCTCCACCCGCGGCCCCGCCCGCGCCAGCGCCTGCCCCAGCGCCCGCGACTTCTCCACCCCGGCACGCAGCGACCGCGCCGCCGCCGCCACGCTCTCCATCTCCCCCGCGCCGCCGCCGCTACAGGCTACAGAGCGAGATGGCGGCAACCCCGCCGCCGCCGCCGGAGACCGCAATGTAGACGAGGAGTCCTCCTCCGGTCCTCCCCTTTCTCTCTCTCTCCTCCACGCGGCTTCGAGTTCGTCTTGGTGGGAGGAGAGAGGTTTGGGGGGTTTAGGTTGAGGAGAAGGAGAAGGTGGTAGAAAGAGAAGAGAGAGAAAGAAGCCAAGGAGAGGAAGGGGAAAGGCATGTTTGAGAATGGATGGACGCATAGTTTTCTTTTTCTTTTTTAACAACTCGTAGTATTAATATGTGTTATATCGTTAATTTATTTTAATGAATTATATATTACTTTATTTTTTTTAAATAAGTTTATTTTTTACACATCCCACACATACTAATAAAAATAAAATATATATATAATTTACCTACTTTATCAAATCGCAATATAATTATTTCACAATTATCTATTTTTAATGTAATTATTCTCTATTTTCATAAACTCTAATACAACAATTACTTAAAGGGGCAATTGTTTGAGTACAAATAAGAGGGGAAAATGGGCTTGTTATGAGACAGAGAGAGTAGAGAACGGGGAGTATTATTTATGATACTGTATTATTTTCTTGACAACAGAATGTAAGCATACTGCATGCTCAACAAATGAAGAACAGAATTAGCTCATAGTCTTCATAAAACATCTCTATTAGTAAAAACACAATGAGTCCATTTGCAATTAACAGGTCTATCAATTATATAATTTTATATTTATCACTTATTTTGACCGGTTTATCAGTTATGATTAAAACAAGTATATATAGTCATGGATCATGGATGTAGCATTGTTTGAACCACGGTAGCTGGAGTCTACTTGCATATACTTCTACGTCCGGCATGTAACCCACTTGCGAATTCGTAGCAGTATTTTAGTGCTATTTACATGGTAATCATACACACATTATTATATTTCTCTTTCGAATAAAAAGAAGCATGTCAGTAGCTGGATCTTGATCTTACATGAATCATGACCAATATTGAAACATTGTCAAAAGGGAAAATATATTCATATGATCATTACATGTGGAATGCCAGAATATATATTGGATCCAAACCCAATGGGCAATGGCCCAGGCACGTGCCCCTTGCAGCACTGCTACAAGGTGACAAATCACAACGGGCTCAAGAGGCAAACATTCCAGTAGGACCCCTTTTTTTTTCTTCTCACTTTCTACCGGACTAGCACATGCGTATCATCTGCCTGAAGATTTCTGAATTCGTAACATGAAAAAAGTTTGGACTTTGGAACCATATGTAATAATCAAGTTCACATTATTTGTTTAAAAAATTCAATCCCTAAAGATTTGATGCCAGATTGAAACGATGTTTATAATAGTATCTAATCAAAGTTGTAGTTTGGCTCTTTGTAATCTGGCATACTCACTCCAGTTTGACAGGCTTGGATGGCCTTTTGCTCATGTGAAATCCGGCCACAATTTGCATGGATTACGGCTAATTTTTGTCAAAAGCTGTGGTTAGGGACCAACAAGATTAGTGGGCCGCATGTTTCGGCCCAGTTAAACTAAAATTGCCCTTTTGGTGGGCTTTTTCCTGGGCCTTTTTTCTTTCTGAATTTCTGAACATGAAACTGAACTTTCTCTTGTTCTGCTACACTCATCACCTCTGATATTCCTTTTCTTTTCTTTCTTCTTCTTTTGTCTTTTGGAATATTTTCATCATCTCTTTCTCTTTTTTTGCCAACTCATCAGATTTTGTCACAGTATGCAAAAGGCAAAAGAAAAAAAAAGAAGATAAAAAGAAAACATTTTGCGGTACAGAGAGAATACATCTTGATTGATGGTCCTGAAGATCGCCTAGTACACGAGCCACATTCCTCTTGGAAGAAACTGCTGCGAGAATCTCACCTTTTGTACAACCTTTTTAGAGTCCATGAACACTATCTAGCAGCTGGCACACACTGATATGTGCTCAGAATCAAGTCCCATGCTGTCTCAACAAACGACATAACCTACTGTTCATAGACTAAGTCACGAGTATTTTTCTTGTACCCAACTATTCGTGACACCTGTTTGGCAAAATCATGCGTTCCAACTCAGGGTCCGTTCAGATCTATTTGGAACGTTAAATGGCAAAAGTTTTGGTGGCAAAAGATTTGGCATGGAGTTGATGTTTAGATGCATTTTAAAGTTTTGTCATTTTAGCACTTGAGAGAGAGAGCGTGGTCCTGGAGCATTTTTTGGAAAATTTGCTACTCTAGACTAGCAAATGACAAATACCAAATTGCCAACTTTTACTACTCGTGTTTAGATCCAAAATAACAAAAAGTACAATCCCCTAACCCTGTAGAATAAAATGGCAGACTACCTTGCAAAGAAATCTAGAAATACCAATCTTCGAGTTACTACCCAAACCATGTATGTTTGTCAAAATATATCTCATATATGTCATCAAAGATGCTGTCATGTTAAGGAAGCTCTCAACTCAGCTCTAGTAGCTGATGATGTAAACCTAATCCATGTCTTTTAATGTTTAATATATTATGTTCTTAAAAAAAAATAACCCTGTAGTTCTACGGCCGCGTTTAAACCAAAGGTTCGACTGAATTGATTTATCAGACACGAAACGAGACAAATCATTAGCAAGTATTAATTATTAAGTATCACTATAAAATTTTTTTAAAAATATTTATTTGATTTTTTTTAAAAAACTTATGTATATATATTTATGAAAAACGAGTAAGTAGTCCATCCAAGTAGTTGATATAAACTCAGCCGTACATGTGCATGTGTTTTTCCAATTAACCAATTTGGATTTATTTATTTTTTGGAATTGAATTAACTCACCGAAATATATATTCAGTGGTGGCCAAACCAACTATTGGATAAGTTTGACCGTCAACCAGGCTTATTGTTATTAGCCAATGACAAATGCTATTAAATTGTTTAGGCTCAATGTCGACGCCGCTAGCTAGCTTCATCACTGTATATATTGACCAATTGTTATTTGAAAATAGACATACACAAATAAGTTTTTTTCTTCATTCCATTAATAATATTCAGAGTTAGGTTTTACAAGGAGCTGCAGCCAAAAACCATGGGAGATTCATCCACTGATTTTGCAATGATGTTTTAAAGATGACTTGTCCATCTTATTTTTCTTTCTTTCTTTCTATTTTTTATTTTAGAGAGCAACCTGTCCAACTTCCACTTTGCAGCATGGAGGAGGACATGGCAATGGAGAAGAAAGAATTGAGAAACCTCACCTGATGGATACAAGGGTTGAAAGGTGTTTGGTCTCTTCTTTCCACGTCACACGTCTTCATCCCTCTCTGCGTCAACTTGGCACTATGAATAGAAAACGAGATGTCACATATCTCTCACCATGTCTACCACTAGAGCTACAGTTGGTGCTCAAAAAACAAAAGCCATTATTAGAGTTTGCTACTTTTTTGCTGGTCTTTCTCATCTTTAGCTTAAACGAGTACTACTACTTTTTTTTTAATTAGCTGACACGTAATGATGCTACATGTGTACATGTTAATAAAGCGTGTACAATTAATTAACTAATTACTAAACAATATCTGTTGCACAAATACATAGTAGGATGTGTTTGACATGAGAGAAAAGGAGAAAATTGAGAAGATACGTAAAACAAGATGAGTCATTAGCATATGATTAAATATTATTTAAGCTTGAAAATATGATTAAGTTACTTTAATATAATTTTTAAAGCAAATTTTCTATACATTTTTTTTAAAAAAATACGCATTGTTTAAATGGGAAGCGTGCAAGTGAAAAAGAGAGATTTCTTTTCTCTTTATCCTCCTAAATCATCCGGTTATTGGTTATTAAACGGGAAACCTCTATTAAGGGGATTGCTATTCATTGAAGGTTTTTCTCTTTCTTATCTTCAAGTACTCTTGATTAATTAGCTGACACGTAATGATGTTGTATGTAAGCAAAGTGTGCAATTAACTAATAAAAAAAGAGGGTTTATTATATAATATCTAAATTATCTAGCTGTTCGTTATTGAACGGGAAACATCTATTAAATAGATGGTTATTCATCGTATAAAGGTTTCGCTTTTTTTATCTTGAAGTACTTTTGGTTAAACAGCTGCCATGTTATGATGTTACATGTGTTCATTTTGAGTAAAGTGTAAAATTAACTTATTAAGCAGTAGGAATTAATAGGTCCATTAAACAACATCTAAAGCATTCAACACACATGATTACTGAAATGAAACCTTTATTAAAGCCATCCTCAATATGGTGCTTACACGAGAGCTGGCAAGAAAAAGGTATTTCTTTAGCCACATTGATGATTCGACCATACGTTAAATCATTAGCAGTCAGTGCTTTATCAATTATGGATATCTATTGGTATATATGCTTAGGGCAACACCAATTTATATAGCTAAAATAATCCATATAGATGGGACCCACATTTGTGGACTTTAACTATTGCAACATTCACAATGTATATAGGTAGTAAGTAGTAGGAGGAGGAGAGAGGAAATAGAGACAAATGACATATTTTATTCTATATGGGCAGCCCATATGCTTATGGATGACTTTTGCTATTTCTCTCCTATGGACTACTTTTACAATGTGGTTAGGTAGCTGAATGTATTATTTTATTGACTATGGACTGGTTTTAAAGTACATTGTGGATGCCCTTATTGATATATCTATGTCTAATGGTAGCATATTCTAATTCATATATCTGACACTAATTTCTCATCTAAAACACCCGTTTAAATTGTTTAGTTAAGACAGCTTAATGGCGTGGCAACTTTTTTTTTCTTCTTCTAAACACACACGGTTAATCATTTTGTATTGGATGTGTCTAAGAAGACTGCTAGTCATAGAAGGGTTATCAGATATAACCCACTATTGCCAATGAGTGACCTTTCTAATTTGATTAAAAAAGAAATCGTTGTATGAATAACAAAATACAATTGAGTGTTCACAAAGGTCTCATCAATCAAAACATGCTGCAAAAGCTAAACCAATTACCACCAAGCAATAAGACACCCAAATCCAATTGGAATTGACCAAACCAAGAGTTCATCGTACTGTCCACAAACTTATTAAAAAAGCACACACCAAAATGAGCAATGTTAGTTGCTATAGTAGATTAATGGGAGTGTTTGAGAGGAGAGAAAAGAAGAAAACTGAGAAGACACCCAAAACGAGATAAACCATTAGGATATGATTAATTAAATTAATTATTTAAACTTAAAATAAGATTAATATGATTTTTAAAAATAACTTTTCTATATAAAATTTTTACAAACAAAACACCGTTTAGTAGTTCGAGAACCACGCATATAGAAAATGAGGTCTCCCGATCAACTTGCAAGAAACAAAGATTATTACGTCATCGTCCCAAATTAGTTGTCTTTCTAAAATACTGTAAAATTTATCTCAAAATAGTTGCCACTCTTATGTATACTATGATAGTTGTATCAATCTATTCTCATTTAAATTTCTTTTTATTTTAATCATATCTCATCTTTCTGCCCATGTAAATAAGGAACATTATAGGCTTTTATTCTTATATTTTAATATATGAATTTGTTGACGGGTTATATACATATAGATGGTATGGAGGCGGAATCAGGATATATGATCTACGAGACGCCGGATAACTGATTAGTTAGTGTGAGACGGATGAAGCAGCAGGTGAGAGAGCCAAAAACCAGAGAGAAAGCAAGCAAACCACAGACCAAAAAAACAAAAAACAAAAAAAGCCAACGGCGCAATGCAAATAAACGGAGGTGTACACGCAAACTGCAAACGAAGCCTATGGCCGGTGACCATCCATCCATCCGTTGACCCGGTCTCCTCCCCGCCACGTCACCACCCGCCGATCATTCCCATCCACTCCTCTTCTTCCTCCTCCTCCTCTCTCTCTCTCTACCTCGCCATCGCTCTCCTCCTCCTCCTCCATCCATTCCCCTCCTCCTCCTCCTCCTCCCATGCATGGGAGGCCGTCGAGGCCATTAGCTTCCTCCTCGTCGTCGTCGTCGTCCCGCGTCTTCTCCTTCTTCTTGGCGCCGCGGGTTTTCTTGTTCTTGGTGGTGGTGGTGGTCGTCGTCTTCTTGCCGGGTCGGTCGTCTTGCTGGTGGCTGGAGGGCACGGAGGAGTTGGAGGAGGAGATGGGGTTTGCCGGGGACTGCTCGCCGGTCAGCGGTGGCGGGCTCAGGTGCGTTCCTTCGCTCGATCTTGGGCTTTCTTGACTTGACCCTCTTTTGTGTTGCCGTGGTTTCGTGTTAGGGGGAAGATCCAAGAGGAGGAGGAGGAGGAGGAGAAGGATGACAAGTTTTTCATGGCGCGGTCAGGGGCTTTGTGCTTGATTTGATTGGCGGCTAACTATCGAGTAGTGATTCTTGAATCAGAGGCTAGGACATGAGGTTTCAGTGGCGGATTTTGAATTAGATCTGCCCGATTTTGCTCTGAATTAGCTTAGCCTAATCGGGTTCCAGCTCCTGGCTGGTGTGAGGATGTGGCCATGATTTTGAATTTGAGGAGTGTTTGAAAACGAAAAGTCTAATCCTTTGTAAGGGCATATGGTAGAGGAATTAACCTTTTTCTTGTTTGATGTGTCTGTGTGTAGCAACTGATTTTTATGGAGTGTTATTAGTTGTAGGGATCTGTAGTCTGATCTGATTTGGTAGGAGCTCCAAAAAAAAAAAAACATTCATGAAATAACATGTGAGAAATTGATTTATGCAAACAAGTTCTTTTTTTGTCCATTTAGTATGTAGTAACAGTTTTGCGCCATCGGCATAAATTTTCCTGCAAATATTATCCTATTAATGTAACTGAGAACATACAGTACTGCTAGCTAATAAAGATAACACATTTGATTGTCACACGAAATTAAGTGCACTGGAGTCCATGATTTTAGATTTTGCGTATGACTAATTAATAAATGTTCCCCTTTTCTGTTGACAGTGAAAACGGCAAGTTCAGTTATGGGTATGCAAGTGCTCCTGGGAAAAGGGCTTCAATGGAGGATTTCTACGAGACGAGAATCGATGGTGTTGATGGAGAGACCATTGGATTATTTGGCGTATTCGACGGTACTGTACAGTTCCACGAGAAATATTATTAATTGTTTGGGTTTTGGTATGTCAGGACATCCTTGATCAACTTACTTGGTTGTACATATAGGCCATGGCGGAGCTCGAGCGGCTGAATATGTCAAGCAGCACCTTTTCAGCAATTTAATTAAGCATCCAAAGTTCATCAGTGATATCAAGTCCGCTATCGGTATGGCATTAATAATTCATGCATTACGGAGCAAAAATAATTGTAGCCAACCTAAAAGGTGGTTGTGATTTCTCTGTACTTTTCTTGCAGCTGAAACGTACAACCATACAGATTCAGAATTTCTGAAAGCCGAAAGTAGTCACACTAGGGATGCTGGCTCAACTGCCTCAACAGCTATTCTTGTAGGCGATCGCTTGCTGGTTGCTAATGTTGGAGATTCTAGAGCAGTTGTTTGTAGAGGCGGGGATGGTAAGTCACTAAATCTAATGTGTGTAACATACTTCAGTTAGTGTCCAGTGTTTTCCTCTATGTCCAATTTCAGCAGGATGCTTGAGAAGGCATTTGCTGTCTTTCTTCCAATTTCCATGGTTGGGGTACATGGCAGTTCAAATTATCTGAATAACAGGATTTCATATTAGTATTATTTAACACATGTTAATCAATCATAATATTTCTCCTGTCCACCCTTGCAGCAATTGCAGTTTCAAGGGATCACAAACCCGACCAGTCAGATGAGAGACAAAGAATTGAGGACGCTGGGGGCTTCGTGATGTGGGCTGGTAATTTCATGATTCCTTTGAAATTATCTATTTTGCTTTGTACTTGTAATGATCATTGGTTCTTTCTAACGGTTGAACGACTTTGCAGGGACGTGGCGTGTTGGTGGTGTTCTTGCTGTTTCTCGAGCATTTGGTGATAAGCTATTGAAGCAGTATGTAGTTGCTGATCCAGAGATCAAGGTTTGACTTAATTTGTTTGCTTAGCTCTCAACTAAAGCCTTCTATCTGCAAAATAATATTCATCATCGTAATTGGCATTCCCATGCATGTTACTCTAAAGTAGTCCACCAATGAACTCTACTTTCTACCTAAGTTCTTCATTGCTTTTATGCAAGAAAGCAAACAATGAGCCTGCTCCATCAACATATCATTTATCTTTCCATTTGGTAAAAGAAATGCATCTTGTTTTATTTACAGGAGGAGATTGTCGATAGCTCCCTTGAGTTCCTCATCCTTGCTAGCGATGGACTTTGGGATGTTGTAAGTAACAAGGTAACAACAGAAATTTCTTGAGTCTCCTTCACCCGCTTGTATGTTGCCATTGGCGCCTTATATATGTTACTCAATACATGAAACCCAAATTCTATTTCCAGGAAGCTGTTGACATGGTGAGGCCTATTCAGGATCCCGAACAGGCAGCGAAGAGGCTTCTCCAGGAGGCGTACCAAAGGGGTAGCGCCGATAACATCACCGTTGTTATTGTCCGCTTTTTGGAGGGAACAACGACTGGTGGTGGACCAAGTAGGGAGGCCGCCAGCGACCAAAACTCATAGTTTCTCCCAGGCAGCAGCATGGCTTGTTCCTGTCTGTCATATCTGATGCTCAAGGTAGACGATTACAGTGGCGGCACCACCCACCATGCTGCCAAGAACTGACCCGGCCCGAATTTCGTCCTCGCTTTCATGCTCCTGGCTGACCTTAGGTGGTGATGGTGGTGGTAATGTAGGAGCAGAATGGCGATGGGGCCAGTGTTGTTACATATGATATGATCGAAGGTGTATCGTGTCTTATATATAACTTTGCAATGTAGATTCTATGCTTGTGTTCCATGCTAGGTCTTTTTTTTTCTTTTTTAGCATCAAATGCATGTAATAGAAGTAAATTTAAACGATTTGAACGAAGTTATACACTGCAGTATGTAACGAAATCTTTGCGTTTGTATTTCTGATGCCATGAGCATTATGATTTCTCATAAGCTCCGAGGGTCAAAACTCCAAAATCTGTCTGGTTTTGTGGTTATGCATCAGGAGGAAAGCTTGTATCAATAGCTCTCTTTGCTTGTGGTCATTGTGGATTTGTAGGGAAGGAAAATAAGAAAAAAGAAAACTCCCGATTAGGGGTGAATACGGTCACCGACCGAGTGTTGTTTCCGTAAAAGGGTACCATTTTGGACCGTACCCTTTTTTGCTATTTATAAATTTTGTTTTTCTAATTTCTTTTTACATCGTATTAATGTTGACATTGAATATATGGTCAATTAACGGTCGATCGAGCATCGTTTCTGAAGATAAGCTATTGATTCCGACCATTTCCGATCATTTTCACGCTACTCCCGAATGTCTCGTGGTTCCATGCACAAAAACATATTCGATTTTTCTGTACATGAAAGATTTTCTGTACAAAAACATATTCGATTTGACAGTTTGACACACACCACGATTTATTATTATGCATAAAGAGACAGATTAGCGATAAATTACCGACCTTGTTAAGATCGTACTAAAGCTACACCAGCAGCGTGAATATAACCATAAACACGAGGATTTAAACCTGATAGGTAAAATGGAGGCAATCGTCTTGCTCAAGCGCTCCATGTATTCAAAATGGCTGCAGCGATGCAGAAATGAGAGGGAAAATTAGAGCAGAGCAGAGCAAATCAGCTGCTCCTGTCTCTCAGTTAATTTTGTACCAGGCATGCACAGTAAGTAGTGTTGATTGATTGATACAGCGGTTTTAAACTTTGTTTTTTTATTTCCTGATTTGAAATTGAACAAGAGTAGAGAGCTTGAGAACAAACCTGTTTGTGTAATTCTATCCCAGATCGGCAAGGAACTCCCTGCATCCAGTGGAAAAACCTAGCAAAAGACTGCCCTAACTCTGCATCAAGTAGCATCGGTTACAAGCAGAATATGATGTTTACTACCAGGACAGACATTACTTACTCCAGATTAATGATAATAAAATTCAGAATACATGCATGGTAAATTGGTAACAGCATGAGAACCAATGCTGGAAAACGGATTAACCATACAAGAAAGATGACAGTTAGGATCACTGGACAATCTAACAACACATTGAGTGCAGCATGTGTCCTGTTCTGCTAGTAGAAGACTCATAGTAGCATGGGTGCAGTATTTAGTTATAGAATGAAAGACCCAGGATATCTAACATGTATATTGCATGCCAGACATAAGTCACTAATACATAAGTAACATCATCATGATTAATAAATAAGTAACATAAGTCACTAAGCATGACATTTGATAAAGACAGGGATGTTGAATAAACAGTGGCAGAAAGTAATTCGACGAAGATAGCAATGTTGAGACAGTTTCAGTTAACTTTGCAGCTCACTAGGCCTGTACTGAAATGAAATTGAGTTCAGCAAGAAAATACCTTGTGCTTGAACTGAACCAAGATTCATTGTGAATAAATCTTTCAAGTGCACTTGAAGAAGAAGGCCAAGCTTCCCCGGCAAAGAGTGGTTGAAGAAACCCAGAATCTTCTGACTCAATGTTCAGCTTAACACCGCAATTACCAGCAAATGCCATTTCAAGAACACTCGTATTAAGACCTCCATCACTAAGCAATTCCTAAACGGCCTCAAAACCTTTCTTTAAGATATCCTAGGTCAGGTCAATGCGCAGCAAAACTCCATCCTTGCCAAGCTTCAAATCAAGAGTTACTGTAAATGTTTTTTTTCAAACAACCAAACAGATTGGTTGGTGTTATATTTATAGAAGGGGTTAAGTTACACAGCCGAAGACTGGATGAAAAGGAAAAAAAACTGTACAATTCTGACGGCAAACAAGCTTGCACGTCAGACCTTTCTACTCCTCATGGCAACAATCTTGCAAACAAGCTTTGCACCGGCCAAGCTCCAATAGCCTAACTCATCTTGGATGCAATTGGTTATTTGATAAGTTGTTGTCTTTTTTCCTCTGAAGATTCTCACATTCTCTTCTTTCCATATCTCCTAGGCAATGAGCAAAAAGACTGATTTGAGCGCTTTGTGTTTTGTTGTCTTCAGGTTGCTAGTCCCTTGCGTCTACTAATCCAACAGGTCTTTGCTAGCACTCCACTTCTGGATGATGTGCCCTTGCCACTCCACCATTATATCATGGCAAGTCACATAAGCACTGATGACCAGATTTCCAGGGCCCTGACCCAATTTTCACATAAATTTTTTCTTTTTTTCCTCGTATATTCCCTCAAATTTTCACATGTTTTTTTTATTCCACCTATTCTTCGTCATTTTTCCCATTCCCCCTTATTTTTCTTTTTTTCTTTTCTTTTTTCCTTTTCATTCATTTTTAGCATTTTCTTGGCCTTATATTTCAAATTTTTTGGACCAAACATGCTAATGGGCCTATGCTGGCCCATACACCACATTTGGGCTCATGGCCTCCTTGGATTATGTTTCGGCCTAGGTCTCAACACGTGGGTCGGCACGACACGGTCCGCTACAGAAAACCGCGCTATTACAAAGTCAGTGCCATGCTGGTCCAGGCTGCCCGTTTGGACACCTATAGTCTTATCTTCCCTCTCACAACGCCGTCGGAGCAATATGCCAAAATGGACTTGGCCCTGTGCCGTCGTCAAGATGCAGCCATGCCGATGCAGGTCTCCATTTCATGATTTCATCTCCATCGATCCACACGCGCGGCGCAGCCAGGGATGTGCTCACTTTGTTCGTAAGCAATAAAGATGGGGATTAAGTAAAGCCATGTAAAACGATAAAATTATTAGTAATTGATTATTTGTTGGGATGTAATTATTAGTACAAACTTAAAAGCTGATTTATTTGATATTTTAGAACAATTTTTATATGAAAACATTTTTATAAGAAACGTATTGTTTAGCAGCTTTCAGCTTGAAAAACGTGTTAACGAGAGTGGGAGTAGATTCTGTATTTTAATTAGAAACGAAAGGATATCCAGCTCCTCTGGGTTTTGACGAACCGTACCATGAACAATCCATGGATAATATATCCAGCTGATCAACACAACTACTTTTGGTCAATTCCTCCATCTCACTCTCGCTCCTTTTTTTTTTTCTTGTCTTGGTCTCTTTTTTTTTTCCCATCTACATAATTGCATATGTACATATGCTTTGACAAGATCATACGTACGGTCGGTCGATGACGTCGTGGTCAGACAAAATATGTCACCAAATGTGACCGTGACACAGCTGACAACATCATTTTATACAAGAGCAGAAACAATGTACTAGTACTACGCTTCTGATGAATTGCGAGACCAAATATTTTGTTTGTTTTTGCATGATCATCACTTGTCATGCGTACGTACCTTCGATCTATTTTAGTGAGTGTTCAATGAACCATACATATTAGTATTGTTTTTGTTAATTAAGTATCTCACCTACTTAGATCCTCTTATATATGTTCTCTCTTGATCTCCTCTGATGTTACCTATAAATAGCTACTACTACTATTTCTCTTTTTGAGAGACCAAATTAGCTAGTAGCTACTTCTTGATGTTTTTTTAGATGTCTTGTATGTTAATTGCCTTCTAATTAAACGTCAAACTCCACCATATACAAAATCCTTTTACACTTTCACTTTGTGGATTAGTAGAAATTAGCACCTATACATATATATACTACATATGATAAGTGAACATGGAGCATGAGTCAAAAAGTGCAAAATCTCTGACCTTATCTAAGCCGCTTTTCTTCAGAAGGACCTTTCATTAGCCGAATCAGCTCTGGATTATTGATCGTTAGCTGCTTTAACTTCAGCATCACTGAAAAAGAAAGAAATTAACAAAGAGAGATTAAAACCACAGTATATGTGTGGTTGGTTCGTGACAGCTTCCGGGCTTTTGACGCCATCTAACAGCTGACAATTTCAAGAACCATATAAAGTCTGCACCTTCTTCATATCATCGAAGCAAATCAAGACTAATCGATCTCTGCATGCAATCATCGTACAATCAATCGATTAATTACTTCCACGATATTGACGAAACAAACGTATTTCTTCAGCTAGCCATGGAACAGGTCTTTTTAAAATATTACTCCTAATCAATTTGCAGTATACATCTAAAATAGAGTGGAATGGGTACAAAAGCAGCTCTAGACCTGATCTTCTGCTACAATTTGCTGCAGTGAAGTCTTTTTTTTTTCACATCGTACGTACTAGCTAATTAATTACTTAACTAGCTAGATCACCTGAAACAGTCACTTGATCAATCTTGTTTTAGACTTTTTAGATGACTTTGTCAGTTGAGCTACTGATGATTTAGAACACAGTAAGAGTTTGGATAATTAAAACGAATACATGCACATAAATATAATATTAGCATCGATCTTGGACGTTATCAACGCCCCTATGGCGTATTTAGTATTTACTGCTTTAGGGATCATATTTCAAGAACATGGAAGGGTGTTTATTTTTGTATTGACATATTTATTAATTATTTTAATATTTAAAAATAGTGACAGGATATATAATAACATCATCGTGACGTGATTGCTAATATGTAGACCCATGGACAATGGGTCTCACATGTCAGTAGTGACGATGCTGTGGTGTACAGTTTACGCGAAAATTCTTTTTCTTTCAAGTATGTAGATATTTTATCGTGTTATTTACTTATTTTTCCTCGTCTCTTGAAAGATCTGTAAAGCCCTTTTTTTACACCTTTTGTGAAAAAGCAATATGTCTCCTTTTGCTAACAAAAATTGCTGTCCGATCATGGCTTTTAGGATTTCATGTCTGCTGGTTGGGTGGACTACACAATTTTCAGCAACTACGGCACATAATATCCACAACACCAGCGTCGACGAATTTCGAAACCCAATCATAATATCGCATGACGGTCATATCCACGAATATGGTGTCAAAATCAAGAGATCTTTGTTCATCTAGTTTCAAGAAAAAACATATCTCTTTTACATGGCCCTAGACCCATTCAGCGCGCATTATTGTTTACTTCTCCAATGGGGTCCATTAATCACTCCATTTCACATGAGTAAGCCATGAAAATGAAGGCAAAGAAAATTTTAACCACCATATATATATTTAGTCAGATTATTCTCCCTGCAAGTTATCTCAGCTAGATTTTCCTTCAACAACCTATGTTGTTAGCTGTAATATTTGCCAAAGACACGTAATCCCTTATTGCAACAACCAAGCAGCATACTGGACTCATGCACTACTAATCATGCTCTAATTTCAAAAAAAAATACTAATCATGCTCTTGGAATATAATTAAGCTTAATTAATTGTTTGTCTTTGCTATGCGGCTGCTTGCTGTCTCCGACATTGACCATGCTATGATCAACTTACACACGTGTGCGTGCGCGCACACATCACTACATTTTTTTCCCGGTCGATTTTCCGACTCTCGCATAATTTTTTAAAGATATTTTTGCGTGATATGTTGGACTTCTAGACTTAAAAAATTTTAAATATATAGTGGCGTAATACAACAAATGTATTATATTATTCCTAGCTATTTGAAATCAAGTCAGCGTTATTAACTTACATATATGAAACCTGTGACACAAAATATCTAAGTCGCGATTTTGGCTATAACTAGTAAGGCTGCTTATATATAGGAAAATATCATGTGAAAATAAACCAAGTGTTGGAAACTCGTAAAAATCATACATAAAAGTTTTATAAATTCATAAAAAATTACTAGAGATAGGTGTAGATATGAAATATATTCTCACCAAATATCAATTCCAAACTCAACTTCATTTGAGAGAAACAAAAGTAACAAATTTTAGGTGAATAGTCTCATATTACTCACCCTAAATTTGTCCTTTTTGTTACTCCCAAATAAAATTAAGTTTGAACTTGAGATTTGGTGATAATGTATATCATATCTACACCTAACTATCTCCAATAATTTTGTTTCATAAATTTGCAAAAGTTTTAGGTAAGATTTTCAAGAGTTTTCAATACTACTAATTAGCTAGTTTTCACCGAATATATACTCGTTTGTATGTTCCAAATCGTACAAGTTAGTCAAACCGTACTAAATATGTCTGTTCAAAATGTTGGACTAGATTGTCTAATTAAGTCATTTTTTTCTTAAGTAGTGGTAAAGTCTAGGGATGACATGCATGAACGACCGTACCAATTTTCCACGTGTACATACTGCCTCCTTGCTATGCATATATGCTGCAGCAAGACAGCAAATTAAGCTAAGGTTAATTGCCAAATTAATTATATTGGTTATTTGGTCTCCTACTTGACCAGGATATTAGTAATGCCAAGATCGTACGTGCAAGTAAGCGGATTTTTTTACTAGTATAATTTTCTCACGTTTGATCAATTATTAGCCTACGACCAGATACTTAGGTACATCTGACTAATTAATTAACAGTGGCACGTACATATACGTACCATATATCACCTGGTGTTTATTGCTTAATATATCTCTGTCTTGACTTGTACCATAACTTCGAAACACATGAAATATAATTAATAATTCGTCTGTAAAGGATCGATGTACCAGGCCAGCATTGCGTCCCGATGGACCCCAAATCAAACTGTAACAACCGGTCAATTATCGATTTTCGACTGGTTATTTCATTTACATGGCGGTCAGAACGTCAGATTATCCCTTACTCCCGAGCCCCATTGAGACAAAGTATTTATAGAATAATTTTGTAGAATATAAATTTTATAGGATTTTTTTCTATCTAGATAACACTTTAAAATATAGGATTATACCCAATTTAATTTGTTGACAAAATAAGACGGATGGTCAAACATTAAAAAAAAAACCATAACTGCATTTAAAATGGGATGGATGAAGTACATCCTTTACAGATGAATTATTAATTATATTTATGATTATTGACTTTTTAACAGAGTTTTCTGACTTAATTTGAGAAACATCAATCCGTACTTGCATACGTACATCAGTACATGCATGTACGTATAGCAGCCTAGCGGGATTGACCCGAAATTGAGGTGCTTGGTGAGCTCAAGTAGCATGCGTACTGGAGTGTTGACTACGTGATTATACTATTCATCACCAGTGATTTTTTTAATTATATATTTAGTTTAGTATGAACGAAATTAAGTTGTGTGGTATATCTATGATGCACAATACTTTGATGATATGGAATGTTTCAGTTTATATTTTAAAAAGATTCAAGTTCAAAGATAAATAGTGGAAACTACATATCTAGAGATAGGTGGTAGCTAGATAGTTAATTGCATTTCAATAAAACTCCATCGAACCCTGTTAGAGCATGGCCAACTGCAATCCAAAACTGTGTTCCATTCAAATTTCATTTTAATCTCTAAGGATTCAAACATATACTTCTCTCCGGGAGATATCCTAAACTTAACTTTCTATAATAATAATAATAATAATAATAATAATAATAATAATAATAATAATAATAATAATAATAATAATAATAATAATAATAATAATAATAATAATAATAATAATAATAATAATAATAACGCCAGTTATGTTTTCAAAATTAAAGTTGTGTATATATAATCACAATTCGTTCATCCACATGCAATTAAATTGACGGTTAATTTGAACATATATTGGACTGCACAGCGTTAATTAATTCAGTCGTTCGATCGAGTTCGTTGATCAATTTGCAGCACGCAGTCTGCGAATGCAAACACGTAAGCAAACATGGACATATTTGGTCAGTTGATCAATCGATCGACCATATATATATATCGTTTTCAATCAACGTGCACGTGCTACGCAGCCCTCGTTGATTAATTATCACTCCTAATAACTGTATAATTTTGGGCGATTATTAACGTTAATCCCTACCTGATAATCACACGTACACACATTGATTTGATTGTCAGTTAATTATAATTAGTCCGTAGCTAGGGCGACGTCTTCCAACCCCACCAACAGTAAACACCCTGCTAGCCACGGTGATTTTATATATTAATTATTTCACATTTTCACTGCGTACTGTAAAGTATAGTCAAAAGTATTTTAAACTTGGACTAATAATATGGCTACAATTTGTGCTAAAAAATATATGGTTACAATTAATTGGTGTTCCACATATGGAAGAGTAATTCTATTTTAACATATATAATAGAAATTATATTGTTACTCTAGTTTAGCGGTCTTAACTCAAAAATTGTATTTCTTTATAAATAAAAGTACATCGTAGACCTGTACATATACCAGTTTTATTTTTCAAAACAGGAGAAGCAATTCAGCAATAATGTTGTGTACTTGACGCTTGAAATGTTTATTAGCCGTTGTAAAATTAAATAAAACTTAAACTGTTGCGAGGATATATATAATTTTCTATAAAAAAATACTATTATGCTCATAATAATTACTAGTGCTTAGTTCCACTAGGTTGTAAAGTTAGTCAGACAACATCTTACTACACACCATGCAAGAAGATGTACTCCCTTCATTTCAAAATATTTTGTTTCTTTACACGACAAAGCTTTGGCCAACTATTGCTCTACTATACTATTATTATGATATAATTAACATGAAATTTAAGGTACTCACTCCTTCCACTCTAAAATAAGTTCATCTTTGGCATTGGGTATTCAAAATAAGGTGGAGGAAAAAAAACTAAAATGTTGTTCATATTAGCGAAAGTAGTATTGACATGTGGGTAGGTAAGGAGTAGATAAAAGTTAGCGAAGGAACAAAACTTATTGATTTATGATTTGTGAATCAAGAGTAAGGAAGGAGATAATAGGGGAACTTATTCTAAAAGAAAGGGTATAGGCATAGAGCCTAGAAATAAAATTATTTTAGGACTGAGGAGTAGTTATAATTATTTTTTAATAACACAAATAATATCTTGATAGAATATATATAATATTTATCAATTATCAGCGCCTTTTCTAAGAAAACAAAATACATCTTCTATTTTGGGACGGAGGGCCATATTGTTATTCCCTCCATCAAAAAAATATTAAGCATATTTTTTTAGTTTTTTAAATAATATGATCATATTTATATTATCTAAGACTTAAATAAATATATTATCTTTTCGTTTTGTAATGCTAGATTAAATCCTTGAACAGACCATACCAACTAATCCATATGTTCCATATTGATCATCATATTAATTTTTTCACCAAAATTAAGGAAAACTTAAAAACTTAACTTCCTTGTATTTTATCTAATGTGCGTATGTGGTAGAGAAAATTAAAAAAAAGCTTTTAACTCCCCATGCACAAGAAATATGTGCTTTATTGTACTACCCGGAATGCTTGCATATATGTACTCCCTCCAGTTTTATTTTAATTGACGTTTTTGGACAATGACACGGTCTACAATATATATCTTTAACCTTATTTTTCTATTATAATATATACAATAAATAAATGCATGTTTACTTTAATTATAGTGTTTTGAAAGACAAATCTATATACGTTGTTCTAGTTTCTTTAAACTAAATATTTTTAAAGTTATCGATGGTCAAAGTTATAAAAGTTTGACCTCAACCTTATCCAAAACGTGAATTATTATAGAACCGGAGGGAGTATAGATGTAGTAACATTGCACATCAAACGAAGGGGCCATGGATCAAGGTTATATGGTGATCAATTTGGAATTTTTGACTTTTCATTGTATGATGATTAATATGAAAACGATAAAAATATCTTAATACTCGTTGGTGGCATACATACATTGCTAGTTTTTTTTTATTGATCTTTGATGACAAAACAAATACGTATGACACTTTAGCATCTTGTTTCATAAAAAACTAACCTTTTTGGTACTAGATTGATTTTTTTATGGGCTGGAGGGGTACACTTTTGGATAGAGGGAGGGAGTGAGCAAACATGAGCCAACAGTTAGCGATGTTGTTGGTGTGCAGGGAGCGAGCAAACATGAGCCAACGCATTGCGAAAGCCAATAAAATTGGTCAGTTTCAAATTCATTAATTGTCACCCAAGTTTAGCTAGCATATCTAGATCTTGACCAAAATCAGACTTGTCTACACAGTCCTACACCTGTGGCTGTGCCGCTTCGGTTTCCTGTCTCCCAGTCCAACCACCCCATTAATCCACCTAATTAACCAAATTAATTACTGATAATCACTGCTAGTATTACCGCATAAACCTCCACTGTTAAGTTACTTAACCTAATTTCCCCTTTAATCCACACACGTAACCGCAAGCGACCACGTCGATCCATCGATTGGCTTCGCGCGCCATATAAATTTGCTTCAATTCACCGGAGAAGCCATCAAACCAACCACCATTGGCGCCATGTCGAGCTCGAGCTTGACGACGACCAGCAGCATGGACTCCGTCGTCGACGGCGGCCTCGACACGCGCCTCTCTCTCGCCGTCGGCTGCTGCCCGCCGCGGAGGAGGCCGGTGTTGCTGTTCGGTGAGGTGCTCCCGTCGCCGGAGAAGAAGGTGGCGGCGGCGGCGGTGGTGGCTGCTGGGAAGCGAGGCCGAGAGCAGAGGGGTGAGGCTGAGGCTGAAGCTACGACGACGAGGCAGCGGCGGAGCTGCAAGAAGGGCAGGAGGGGGAGGGGAGACGACGATGACGACGACGGTGATCGCCGGAGCCCGAGCGGCGGCGGCGGTGACGAGGAAGGCGCGAGCAGGAAGAAGCTCCGGCTCACCGGCGAGCAGGCCACGCTTCTCGAGGACAGCTTCCGCGCCCACAACATCCTCTCCCATGTAAGTCACAAAATTACTCCAAATCCACGCGATCCAAATTCAATATATTCATACATGCAGATTTTATCTTAGCTTTTATTATAAAAACCTTTTCAAGTTCGTAATAACTAAAACTCAATTAATCTTGCGCTAATAGTTTTCTCATTTTGTATGTGTGCTGACTTTATCTTCATTTTAATCTATTTCAAACGCCACCATAGAACATTAGAACAGACAAATTATTGCACATGGTTTCGTGAAAAGGATGTTTGTTTCATCCGAAATTTTGATCAGAAATGTGATTGAATTTTGGAATCAAATTCAAACAGGCGGAGAAGCAGGAGCTGGCGGGGAAGCTGGGGCTGAGCGCGAGGCAGGTGGAGGTGTGGTTCCAGAACAGGAGGGCGAGGACGAAGCTGAAGCAGACGGAGGCCGACTGCGACCTGCTCCGCCGCTGGTGCGACCACCTCGCCGCCGACAACGCCCGCCTCCGCCGCGACCTCGCCGAGCTGCGCCGCTCCTCCTCCTCGCCGCCGGTGTCCGGCCTCGCCGTGGCCACGCCCGTCGTCTGCCCCTCCTGCGCCCACGACGACAAGCGCCGCCTCGCCTTCGCCACCGCCGCCGCCGCCGCCGGCGACATGGCCAGTAACTGATCGAGCTGGGCTCCTGCTTGCCGGCCATCACAAACACTGTTTAATTAATTAATTAGACACGAACAATTATTTATATTAAGGTTGATTTTGCTAGTACTAGTTTAGCTAGCTAGCTAGCTAGCTACCACGGGCTTAATAATTCGTTTGGATTATTGGGAAAATTTTATACTCTTTATCAATTAGGAACATGATTAATTTTGCATTTTTACTGACCAATACATATGTTTCGTGTGTGTGTGTGTCTACATACATACATACATACATACATACATACATATATATATATATATATATATATATATATATATATATATATATATATATATATATGTATGTATGTATGTATGTATGTATGTATGTATGTATGTATGTATGTATGTATGTATGTATGTATGTATGTATGTATGTATGCATGTATATATACACACATACATATTTGGTACAATCAGTAAGTTGATTTTTCTGTCACTCATGTGCTTGATTATTGTTTCTATATTTTTTTTCATGCGAATCTCATATTTAATTCCATGAAGAGATGCATCTTCTCTGAATTCGTTTAGATCGGATTGAACAGAAATGGCTAGGTGAAAGATCACAATTTTTTTTATCAGTCGCAACAGTTTCATATTCAGAGTCTCAGGTGGTGTTTGGATCGAGGGACTTAACTTTAGTCCATGTATTTAGACACTAATTTAGAGTATTAAATATAGACTACTTATAAAACTAATTACATAAATGAAAGCTAATTCACGAGACAAATTTTTTAAGCCTAATTAATCTATAATTAGAGAATGTTTACTGTAGCATCACATAAGCTAATCATGGATTAAATAGGCTCAATAGATTCGTTTTGTGAATTAGTCCAAGATTATAGATGGGTTTTATTAATAGTCTACGTTTAATACTTATAATTAGTGTCCAAATATCTGATGTAATAGGAACTTAAAAGTTTTAGTCACATCTAAACAGGTCCGAAGACTCGTTAGGAAATAGCACATGCGGAGGATTTCTTCAACTCGGTAGCCTTTGCATTCACTTCCATCAGTTAAACCAAGCATGTTATAAGCCAAAATGGAGAAAAATAATTATATGTTATCTGTTACTACAAACATTATTAATAATCAATAACCACTAATTAAATGACTAGGAGAGGAGGGCAAATACACTGCATACAAGCATACAATTCACAAGCTTAGTATAGATATGTTTGGGCCATTTTGGAGGCCATGTGTATGGTTGAACAGAAAGCCCAAACAACACCAGCTAGGCCCTATTTGCACAAAAACAGCAGTAATGATTATGAATTCAAAAACCAAAACAAAAGAAAATGTTTCAAAAACCTTCAGGAGGCAAAATTCCCAAACCTCCATGAATCAAACATCCATCCCCTGCTCTCCATGTGCTACTCTGAAATAACATTTCTCAGCTACCCAAAAAAAATCATGCGTTCCAAATATTGTTTGTACTGCATAAAAGATGAAATCCTTCCAACTTTTCAAGAGAGATTGGATGGAACAAGCAAGTGAAACAAGTGATGGATTGGATGCTCTGTTTTTCATCCAACCAACTGATGAAGAATCCTTCCTCTTGTGGAGTCAGAACAAACACCCTCGCAGCGAAAAGGCGATGGAGAATCTGATCGAATCAGACACAGTTCTTGTTATTGGCCCTGACCAGAAAACAAAAGCAAGAAACCAAACTACACGGACAGAATATCCAAAGCTGAAGTGATCATGATCATGCATGAATCATACTGGAGGACATAAAACAGAAATCTTTTTCACCAGCAATATATACATATATATATGATATAGTAGCATTGTGGTAGCTTCAGATGATCATTCATGGTGAGCAAAACAAGAGAAGAAAGCCGAGGATTGTTACTGATAATCATACTATGTGTCAGCTACTGCTAATTAGTACTTCCCCCGCTCTAAAATATAAGCATTTATGCGTGTTTTTCAAAATGAATAGGCGGAGAAATGTTCGGAAATATTTTAAAAAACACGGAGAAATGCTTATATTTTGAAATGCGGGTATTACTTACTACTGATGAAGTGTCAGTAATTACTGCTAATATAATATGCAGCAGTGATGCAAGAGATTGATAGAGATTAGGAAATGGTCGTCGTCGTCTTTGATGTTCTTCTCCTTTCTTGGCCGCCATGGCTGGCAATGGCAATGGCGTGAGAGCTCGCTTTGATTTGGCTGTACACGCGCCGCGCGCTCATCGGTTGTGAAGAGGGTTGGAGCCGGTGGGGACGACCCTCTCGTCGGCGGCGGCGGCGGCGGGCGGCGACCACCCGCGGCCCGCGGCGGCGGGGCCGGTGGCGCCGCCTCTACTGCTCCTCTGCTTCTTGCACCGGGAGGCGGCGGCGGCGGCGGCGTCGAAGGCGGCGGTGGAGGAGGCGACGACGACGCGGCCTCCACCGGTGTGCGCCATGCCGCCGCCGCCGATAGGCACGCCGCGCGCGGCGGCGGCGGCGAGCAGCACGAGCGCCAGGCACGCCGCCGGGAGGGAGTACTTCCACCGCCGCCGCCACCTCATGGCACGGCCACGTCGCCACATCGCGCTCGCGCCAATGCCAAGCCGGGGCAAGCAAGCGCACGCGCGAACGACAGACGCCGGCGGCGCCGGCGGCGAGAGGCGAGCCGGCAACGGCGTGGCTCCGACGAGCTTGACGCGTAGCGAAGTAGCGAAGCTGCAGAAGGAGAGGAAACGAGAGAAGAAGAGAAGAGACAACTTTGGCTTGCAAAACCCGTTTATATGGAGTACCTCTTTGTCACAATATTTGGCGCTTAAAATAATATACTCGTCCAAACTTTTAAAATTTTGACTAATTAGAGAGTAGTGCATGATTTGATTTATTTTTAAGGTGGGCGAATAATAAATTATGTTTGTTACTTGAGTAAATTTCACGAAACTACATAGTTAAAACGTCGTATTACAAAACTACAGATTTAATACAAGACTTTTCAAAAAAAACTACAGATTTAAGGCCAAGCATAAAAAAGATAGATTTGATACTCGAATTATCACAAAACTACATATGTTACGGTGTAAATTTCTACCACTACTATTTTGTCAGAGTTATAAATGTTGTAGTTTTGTAGTTAACTTGGTGCAAAACATATAGTTTTGTGATATTTTTATTACTAAAAATGTAATTTTATGATACTCCATCTTAAATATGTAGTTTTTCGATAAATTTGGTCCTAAATATGTAGTTTTGTGATACATCGTCTTAAATATTTATTTTTATGTTACATCGTGTTAAAATCTATAGTTTTGTGATAGCTTGAGTACATGTAGTTTTGTGAATTTTACTCTTGTTATTTTGTATTAGTGAAATGTCTGTACGTTAGATATTTGTTTCGTGAAATAATATAGTACCACATGTGACAAACTAACATTAAGTCATGACATCTCTTGAATTAGTTTTTTAGAAAAAAAAACATTAGCCCTCCTTTGGAATAGAGAAATTTTGTAAACAAATTTGAGGAAATGAAGGTGTGAAAATATTCATGTGTTCAAAATGAACCCTTATGCCCTGTTTGGCTAATGGGTTAAGGAAATGATTTTCCACCCACCAAAGAGTGTGTATTTAAATCCTAGCCATCCATTATCCCTCTCTTATTTCATCCTAACCCTTCACCCATTTTCCTACCTCAATTCCACTCCTCTCCCCATTATCCAAACACACTGTTAATATTGACTATTTTGTTGATACCAAATGTGGAGTGTATGGACCATCCTACTAAGAAAAAGATGATGGGAAATTTAGGCCCAATATGTAATTTTCTGAATATTGGAATCCATTACACTTGACCAATAAAAGCATTGATTTTGTGATCAGAGAGCTAGAACAGGAGGTGCATAAAAGAGGGGGTCAAAGAGGGACTCCTAGGATTAACAGTAGGAAAAGCTGCAAGGCCAGCCCCATCCCTTTGATGCAGCACTGCCACCAAACCACATTGATGAGCCTTCAATCACCTATATGCCTCAGAGAACACTGAGAAGACTAGAGAGAAAACCACAGCATATGGGGAGAGACCTACTTAAAGCAAAGGTGTAGACCATTGAGGCCCTTGTGATGGAATGGAATGGAATGGAAATGTACATCATGGGTTGTGTTGTGCACTTGTGCCTCACCCTTCCAGTGCTCATCCAGTGCTATATGTATCCATGACATTTGTTACAATGTGCCCATTCTCATTTCATACACCAATTTGCTAGGTTCCTCTCTTTGGGGGCCAATGTGTGTACTTCTTGTATTATCCTAATTGTATGTGTAGTTTACACTAAGGTACTTTTCTGGAAGATTGTACTTAAGCCCACCCAAAAAGAGAACCATGGAACTAGAAGATCTCATGCTTTGTCATTGACTCATTGCTCTTCACTTTGGTCGAAAAAAAATGGTTTCATACCAGCAGAAGATCGAAAGTTTGATTGTGTATATGCCACCGAACTTTTTCGGTACTGTTTGATGATCTTGGAAAAATGCGTTAATGTTTTTTCTTTACAATAAAGGAAGCTTTATTGATATAAAACAATTAAATCAAGATGATACAATAATCTTAGAACCACTTTTGACTTATGCATATCTAGAATACATATAGTCTAAAATGTTTCTGGTAAACATAATGGACACACTAATGACTATCTATCCGTAGACTAAATCAGCACGTATATACCTAGGTAAAAAAAAGTTTCCTAACCACCTAGTCCAAATTTGACAGCCCACATAAACTAAATCATGTGATCCTGTGAATAACCAAGTAGATAATTATTTTTCTTCTTGTAAAAAATCACAATATTTCTACTTAGCCATAAAGACTAACAATGTAGCAATGCACAATGATTGTCTTAGGTAGTACATCAAACAAAAATGATCCTTTTCTTAATTCTTCAAAATTCATGGGTAATAAAAACAAGGAAAGGAGATGGAAAGTACACAACTCCATGTGGCTTTCCATGCTCATTATCCTCTATATCAAACAAATGACCCTTTTCAATTCTTCAAAATTCATGGCCAATAAAAACAAGGAAAGGAGATGGTAAAGTACACAACTCCATGGCTTTTCATGCTCACTATCCTTACAGGAGGATTAGACATGTCCCTTTTTTCCACCAGAAGGAAATAATTGATATGTTCTCCAGCTTTGGTGGTAGTAGGGCTTTCGGTTCTGTCACGTTGCCATCACTGTTGATGCCATCACCTTGGTACGTGCTGAGTTATATGCTTCATTCAATGCAAAGCGTAGCTTGTACATGCCGGCCGTACTGTGGCCCATCAGGTAGAGCCAGGCAGGCCACAGGACAAAGATTTGTTCAATGATTCCATCAATATCAACATCAATGTTTACAATTGTTTTTTTAAAAAAAACAATTGGCTTGATCAGACCAGAATGATCTTTGAAGTGATGTCTTTCTCAATTGCTTTGGTTTTTTTTTGACACGAGTGTTAATCTTGATGCCTATTGCAGTAGTTTAGTACTATCTGTTTACCCATCGTTTTACCAAGAGCTGACTATAACCCATAATAATATTTATTAGCAAACAAAAAAAATTATAGGTAAAACTTTGATGTATGTTTTTAACGATTTGAAGGCCAGTGCTAAACAATAAGCTATGGTGACAAAACATTAAAATTTAATTTTGGATGCAGCTGATAAGCTGTAGAACGATGAAGCTGGAATTCAAATGTAGGGGCTGTAAATGGAGCTTGTTATTGTATAGTTTCGTCTAATTTGCTTAATGATGACAGATTGTTCAGGAAGAGATTTAGGCAGCGTTCGAGAGGGTGAGGGAGTGAGTTTGTTTGTTTCGTTTTCCGCGCGCACGTTTCCCAAACTACTAAACGGTGTGTTTTTTGTAAAAATTTTCTATAGGAAATTTGCTTTAAAAAAATCATATTAATCCATTTTTTAAATTTAAAATAGTTAATACTCAATTAATCATGAGCAAATAGCTCACCTCGTTTTGCGTATCCTCCTAATCTCCTCAATCCCCTTCTCCTCAAATACACCCTTAGTACTCGTTCTTGGCCATTTCATGTTGCACACAGCTAGTACTACCTCCGTCCCATTATAAGTGCAGCCATGTTTTTTCACGCCCAATTTTGACCGTCCGTCTTATTTGAAAATTTTTTAAAAAAAAATTAAAAACATAAGTCACGAGTAAAGTACTATCCATGTTTTATCATCTCATAACAATAAAAATATTAATTATAAAAATTTTTTTAAATAAGACAACGAACAAAGTTGGACGCGAAAACTTATGGTTGTACTTATAATGGGACAGAGGGAGTAAGAGGATGCATTTCCCCCAAAAAAAAGGAAACAGCATTTGAATATGAGGTTATCAGATTAGTGACCCACATGATCAGATGTTGCCATTCCCATACCTAAAAGTTTGGTTTCTTAATAACTGGCTTTGATGTCGACTGTCACCGGAAGATTTGTGGAAGTTAGTGAAATTGCTGCTGCTTCTCTCTCTCTATCTCTCTTTAAGGTGCTCCTGTGTGTAACTTGGTTGGTTCGTTGCATAGCCATTGTCCCGGCGCGATTAATAGAGAGGCTGACGGATCAGTGTGCCGGAGACGCAAAGCCTGGTAAATTGTCTCCAGGTACTAGTGGCTGGCTTGCTGCTACTGCTTCAGTTCTTCTCCTCTCTTTTTTTTCTTCCTGAGACATTGTAGTAATGGCACTGTTCATCTTGATGTTCTGATAGAACGGTTCGATGATCCTCCAGTACTCTGCCTGCAGTGAGAGTGTGAGGTGAGTGATATGATTCAGGAACGACAAAGGAAGAAAAGAAAAGGATGCAATCAGCAGAGCAAAGCTGGTACAGGATGGATGCAGCCATGAAAGGACATGTATGAAGTAATATAGTGGTGAAACCCTACTTCATCTATTGCAGTTTATGGCTCTTTTGAATGCAGAAATTTCATCTATTGGAGTAGTATTTTCATAGGAGTCAGTTCAATTTTCAAAAAAATTGTAACTATATTCTTCTGTACCGAATAGCTGAATAGATGAAAAATGTGATAATTATTCGAGGATATAAGCGAATGAATTAACTATTATAGAGTTGAAAATAGATTTAAATCAATACTTTAAGAAACTCATGTATAAAAAGTTCTTATAAAAATAGCATCGTTTAGAAGGTCAGAAAGCATATGCCCCTCTATCCATTCATATATGCACTGAAAAAGAACACACTAGTCAGGCTATTACTCTTATAACTATACAATAACAACACCAGGAAATAAGTCTAGACAAATATAGATGATTCTTAGAATGCTTCAGGCCGAATAAAAATATTAAGTGATTTTTAGAATGCTTCAGGCCGAATAAAAACAAGAGACATACAGTGTTGCTACATGAATGAAACCTGTAGCCAGGGACTGCTATATACTGTCTCTGTAGCAGTATAAATAGCACACGAGTATTATTTGTAGTTGTACTGGCAATGCCAGAGCAGCATCAGCATGAGAGTATTGCGTGCTGCCATAGACGCATGCAGGAGCAGGAGCTGTTCGATGAGCAGTGACACTGTGACAGTTAAGAGTGAGAGTGCTTCATTCAGTTCTCCCAACAGCAATGCAGGCCGGACACCGGACATGCAATACAGTAACACACTAACACCAGAGTATCTCACCTCTACCAACTGCCTCACTGTTGTTGTAGCAGCATCAACTGTAATTTCATAGCAATAACGGTTCAGATTTCAGAAGGCATGGTAAGATTATACAACGGAAACACATTGGTTACTGCTTAAAATACTCCCCCTCTCAAAATTTTGATAGAGATGCTACTCGTTCAATATTGCCTCCAGGTTACATTTTACAACATAACATGTCAACACCCTTGAGAGATGTCAAGCCCCTCTCCGTGTGGTGGTTAATGCTATCTAACAACAATATATTGCATACGAAGCAGCAGCACTAACAACCATGCAATGAGGTAGTATCAGGAGATCTTTCTTCAAGATGGCTACGGAGGAGCTTCAGCTTGTGCTTATAATGTTGTATCTTAGGTGCCATAAAACAATAGCAACATACGAATTTCTCCTAGAACAATCATATTTCTCCTCTGTAGCCTCCACCGCCATAGTAATCTCTTCTAGAGCCCGCGATCGCCATGGACTTCTGGTGCTCCAGCTTTGGACAGTCGGTAACACGATGGCCAAGACCACCACAGTATGCACATCCCTTAACACCGCTCTCCTTGGCCATGGTTTCCTCATCTTCCAATGGGTCATTGAGCTCAGCCAACACTGGCGGTATTCTTTGCTTAGCTTCCTTAAGCAAGTGCTTAAGGTCAAGAAGGGTAGTCTCCGTTTGATTCTTGTTTATGAAGGTTGTTGCTATTCCAGTTTTCCCACATCGACCAGTTCGACCAATCCGGTGAACATAGTTTTCTATTTCAGCAGGCATATCATAGTTAATCACATGCTGGATATCAGGGAAATCAAGACCTTTCGAGGCAACATCAGTAGCCACCAAAACATCCTTCTTTCCATTCTTGAAGAACTCGATTGCATTCTCTCTTTCCTCTTGATCCTTTCCTCCATGGATTGCAACAGCCTCTACACCCTTCAGAAGAAGATACTCATGGATATAGTCGACATCAGCTTTGTTTTCACAAAAGACAAGAACTGGAGGTGGAGTCTTCTGGAGGCATTCCAGGAGATATATAATTCTGGCATCCTCCTTGACATACTCAACTTCTTGGATGACATCCAGATTTGCCGCACCAGCTCTACCAACATTCACAATAACAGGTTTCACAAGGGCACTCTTCGCAAAGTTTTGAATCTTCTTCGGCATAGTGGCAGAAAATAGAAGTGTCTGCCTTTGTGCCTTGAAATGGTCAAAAACCTCACGGATATCATCCTCAAACCCAAGATCGACAAGCCTATCAGCTTCATCCAAGGTCAAGTACCTGTACAAATCATAAAAGGGCGTTAAGCAAACTGTAAAGCACGTGTTCCTAACATTAAGATATCCTCTAGTCCAACACAATGTTTTTCGAACAAAACAGAATCTGAAACGATAACAGGCAGTACTGGGACATATTATTATATGCTAACTCACCTAGATTGCTGATAGACAGTTGGAACCTGCATCTTAACTAAATCAAACAGGTAAGGCATATTGGCATTTTGGCGCAGTAGAACTATGAAATAAAATGGCACATGGATGCCTGGGTGGGAATAGCAAGTCTCCCATGTTTCATATTCCCTCTGTCCCAAAATGTAAGCATTTCTAGAGGCTTTCACGGAAAGAAATTAAGTAGTAGGATTGAATGGTGGCAATACTTTGGGACAAATTTTGTAATCAAGAAATAGCTACAGTTTGGGGATTGAGGGAGTATACAGCTATTGAAGCCAAAAATATTAATATTTAGAACCTATATATATCATCAAAGAATAAATAATGATGACTGACATGTGAGGTCTTACAACCAAAATTCAAACATCATGACACAATACTTTGGTGAGATGTGACGAAATGTATACACTTCACCATGTACATATATTACATATTCAGGGATAGTTGTTTATTTAATTATTTATCAGTACAGATGGAAAAAGAAACAGTTGTGTTCAGAAGAAATTTTCAATATGCACTGCAGGGACAATGATTTGATTAAGTATCAAAGTAGCATGTATATCCTCAAGAATTCACTTTGATTTAAAATATCATAATTCAGAGCTGGTTGTCCACTAAGAGGACTTCAAAAGTGCAGGATAATAATATAGTCTTGGAGCTTCGGACAATTAAGAGTGAAACAACTCTAGGCCCAACGAAGAGTAAAAAATCTGAAGGTCTTGAGTTTTTGTGTTTCTCTCTACTATTACTCTATTTAGTGTGTACAGTGCAACTCTAACCCTTGGCACAGAACGAGTCATGCGTTTTATACATGAAAGTTTTCACTTCTAACTCACAAAATTTTACACATCTATAAACTATTAAAGTGTCTGTGTCTATTATGTTGAAGCTATGAGAACAACCCATTGTACAGGGAAGGCATACACATTAGCTAAAGCGTAGTACTAGTTCCACCATTTATGTGGTAAGAAGAATATGAAACTATGACATAAATATAATATATATATTCTGCTTGTGGTAGAAAGCACCAAATTCATTGAAAACATCCAGAACTCACCTGCAATTGTCGAGGTTCATCTTTTTCTTGGCAAGTAAATCCTTGAGTCGGCCAGGTGTAGCCACCACAATATGTACTCCCTTCTTGACCACATCCAGCTGCGCCCTCATATCGACACCCCCAATGCAAAGCAACGGGCGTATCTCCGGGTACCCAGCCTCCTTAAGTGGAACAAGGAACTGCTCAATGACATCGTACGTTTGCTTGGCCAGCTCTCGCGATGGACAGATGATCATCCCAAATGGCCCTTCACCCGGCACGATTGGCATCATCATCTCCTCCTGTAATGCCACCATGATGAGCGGCAGCACAAACACCAACGTCTTCCCGGACCCTGTGAAGGCAATGCCAATCATGTCGCGCCCGGAGAGCACCACGGGCAATCCCTGCACCTGGATGGGAGTGGGCTGGACGATGCCCTTCTCGCGGAGCTTGCGCAGCATGGGCTCGGGCAGGCGGAGGTCGCGGAAGTCCCGAGCGGGCGGCGGCACGTCGTCCCCGTCCACGAGGATGTGCCACTTGCGGCGGAGCTCGTCGGCCTTGGCGCGCGGCATGCGGCGGAGGCGGAGCGGCGGCTTCCACCCCGTCTTGAGCGGGTCGGAGTAGGTGATCCCCTTGGCGAGCTCGCGCACCGACATGAGCGTCTTGCGGTCGGAGAGGTGCTCGATCATCTCCTTCTCCTGCATGATGAGCTGCTCCGTGTGGGTCACCTCCGGCGCGGCCCGCTTGAGCTGCGTCGCCTTGACGAGGAGGCTGGGCTTCGCGGAGGCTTCGAGGCCGCCACCGCCACCGCCGGCTGAGGGCTGGTTCGGCGGTGGGGGAGGGGGAGGCGGGAGATCCGAGGCGGCCTCCGCGGCGGAGGAGGATGGGGGCGCGGGCTTGGAGAGGCGGAGGCGGCGGAGGCGGTCGGCCTCCATGGCCCGGCGCTTGGCGACGGGGATGTACTCCTCGTAGTTGTCTTCGTCATCGGAGTTGGCGGCGGCGGCGGTCGCCGGCGAGGAGGCCGTGGCGGCGGCCATGGCGGGGGGATTAGGGTTTGGAGAGGGAGGCGGAGATGGGGAATTCGCGAGGAGGAAGAATCGACTTGATCCGATCGGGTTTTTTTTTTTCTTTTTCTTTTTCGTTTTTTTCTTCTGTCGAGATTGAGAGCTGAGACGCGTATCGATTTACCGACATGAGATCGTGATGGAGATTGGGCCGTAAGAGCTGGATCCTGGCCCATAACTACATGTGCCTCAATCTCAACCCAGGCTGAATATACAGCCCAATAACCCATCTTGTGTTGTACTCCATCCATAAAAAAACAAGGGACCACCTATACATTTGTCGACAAATTTTCTACTAAAAATTTGACAGATGTAATTATAGTACAATCGTAGTGTAATTACAATGTAACTTGTATGTAATTACACTGTAACTTGCATGTAACTACAGTGTAACTTGTATGTAAGTTTCACGTAATTTTGAATCGTTGGATCTATTACAAGATTTGTTCTATGGAGGAAGAAAAAAATCACATCACACACATATATGAAAGAATTTATTCCCACGACCTCTATTTTACTGAAATAACATGTTACCGAGAGATTCTTGAAAGTTACATACAAGTTACATTATAGTTACAGTGTAATTACATGCAAGTTACAGTGTAATTACACTACGATTGTACTGTAATTACATCTGACAAATATTAGGGGGAGAAATTTGATGACAAATATCTAGCAAAATCGAAAAACAATATATCATCCAATATTATATTGATTTTTTTTTGACGAGGGAGTAAGTAATTGTCTCCTTTGTTTAATGATAATGTCTTCAATGTGTGACTTTGACTTTCATTTGTAAGGTAAAATAATTACTTTCTCCTTTTGCATTTATTTGGCATTATTGGCTTTTTCATTGTTTTCCCTTTGACCACTAAGCATTTAAAAAAGATTAATATGTGATGAATGAAATACTATTTCTATGTTTAGGATGAAACACACTTTGGTGATATAATATATTTTCTATAAATATTTTGTAAAATAAGACGATTGGTAAGAATTTTGTTGTGATCGTCTAATATGTGGTTGTTTTGTCTATGCAAAAGGGTCATACATAAGCATGTAAGGTTAATATTGACATATAAGAACTGGATAAGGTAACATGGATTGAAGGGTTCCAAGTGATATACAGAAGTGTGTTCGACTTTTATCGGTGTGCAGTAACTAAATGAGGAACACAGGTGGCTTTTTGTATTTGGGCCCTGTTTAGTTCCAAAGTTTTTTTTTTCCAAACTTCTAACTTTCCATCACATCAAACCTTTTATACACACAACTTTTCTATCACATCGTACCAATTTCAACGAAACTTCCAAACTTCAGTGTGAACTAAACACAGCCTTGGTTTGAGCCAGGGGCGGATCTACGACCTGGTGACCCTAGACGTCCAGGCTCGTCAACGAATAATCTATTATTAAAAGTCCATCCTATTAAAAGATTAAATAAAATCTCTATAGTAAATACTGCTATCTATAGTAAAGTGTATTTGGACTTTAAAATATTTATAGCTTCGTTACTGATTTGAGTAACACAAATAGTTCATTATGTTTGGTTTACGAGATAGGATGTGACAAAACATAATTGTGTAGGATTTTTTTCACGTTGAACAACTGAATGAGAAACACGAATAACTGAATGAAGAACACGGAAGATTAAGGTGTCGTTGTACGTAACACCCCTAAACTTATGATCTCTAGTACCCTAGACTTATAATCTCTACTGGGAAGGAGAGGTAATTAATCATATCTGGGAAGGAGAGGTAATCATATGCTTTGCTCAGTTGTAGCTTAGCTGTATACATCCGATTGGATGTAGAGGCTAGGTTTATCATATTTTCTAAAATAAATATGCTTAGTTGTAGCAATCTCAGTTCAAGCATTTTTACTTTGCTATAATAACAGATCAAATTATATAACAACATGGTTTTGTAAAATTAAAACGTGCTGTTTTGCGAAATTTACTAAGTTTATAATCGTTGCATTCGGTAAAAGATGTTTATACGACATCCGGAATGCAATATGTGCTAATGTGCAAGCATTTGTGTGTTTGATTCGTGTAACTGTTTCTGAATTACTCATATTTCACCATCTCATTATTCGCGTGATAATTGATCATTAGAATTTGAGAATTGGAACATATATAAAGGACACAAACATATATATATATATATATATATATATATATATATATATATATATATATACGAGGAAGCGATGCGATATCAGTGCAGAAATTTTTCTGAAACAAAATGAGTACATCATCCTCCTCTATCATCTCCCTCCTTAATTAAATCATCACAGAATAATCATATATTTACTCCGTGATGCAGTAGTATAGTGTGTGACGAAAAGTCGGAGCAGTAAATAAATAAATCCAAAAGGCGAATTTACGAAGCAAGCAAGCATTAGTGGTTATTAATCTCCTTCAATTAAGGCCTCCTCCTCCTTAATCAACGGCGAGGGTGGTAGTGCTGCGGCTTGGCGGCGGCGCCGTCGCCGGCGGGCTTGGCGTCCATGACGGTCTCGAAGGCGCCGACGAGCGCCTTCACCCTGCTGCACTGCCGCTTCTCCAGGAGCTTGCTCCGCGCCTCCTCGATCACGTCGTTGCTCCGCCGCGCCATCTCCCGCCGGCGAGGCTGCTCCTCCTCCGACCTCTTCTCCATCGCCGTCTTCACCCTGCTCCCCTTGAACCTCCGCACCAGCTCGTCGCCGTCGGCGTCGTCGTCACGCTGCTTCTTGATCGCCTCCTTCACCACCGCCACGAACTTGTCATCCTCCTTCACCACCGCGAAGAACTTGTCCTCCTCCTTCACCACCACGACGAACTTGTCCTCCTCCGTCGAGGAGGCGGCGGCAGGCGAGTCGGTGGGCACTGGAGTAGCAGCGGCGTCGCCTTTCTTGGGCTCGTCGTCGTCGACCACCTCCTCCTCTTCGATGATGGTGGTGGCGGTGGTCGCGATCTCCTTCTCCGGCTCCGGCGACTTGATCGTGTTCGGCTCTTCTTCCTCCACCGCCGCGACGGCGATCACCACCGGCGTGTTCGCCTCGTGTATGATCTTCTCCGGGACGACCTCCTGCTGATCTTGCCTTGCGCCGCCGCCATGGACGTCGTCGTCGGTGGTAGTGATCGCATCCAAGGAAGGCACGCTCGCCGACGACTCGGAGCCCTTGCCGTTGACCGAGGCCGAGATGTCGCCGCCGCCGCCGCCGACGCCGACGATGACGTCGTCCTTGCTCTTCCTCCGGCGAGACGACTTGCTGCGGCGGAACGCGCGGGACGCGCGCTGCATGAGCTTCCTCGGCGACAGCATCGACGAGTAGTAGGACAGCGGCTTGGCCGTCGCCGCCTTGTCCTTGTGGGTGGCGGCCGGCGGCGGCGAGTCGTCGTCGGTCCTGATCGTCATGCAGCTGATGGACAGCGACCTGAGGTGGTGGCGCGACGGCGCCGGGGTGGCGGGCGTCGACGCCGAGGCCCGCGGCGGCTGCTGGTGGTGGCGGCGCGAGGCGTTGGAGCTGGACGGCGGCGAGGTGGGCGCCTTGCCGCTCGCGCTCCGCGGCAGCCGCGACGGCGACGGCGACGTCGACGAGGAGGCCATGGGCTGCTTCGGCGACGACATTGTGATTGTGTTAGGGCAAACGAGAAAAACATATATATTACGATTAAATATGAACTTAGATCTATCTTTCTAAAGCTGGCTCATCTCATGCGGTGTTAAATTTTAAGATGAATCTAATGAAATTATACATAAGAAAAAAAATAGCAAAAAGGAAAGAAAAGACACAAATCCAATTTGCATGGACTTCCCAATTATCTATAATATTCATAAGAAATAAATACCAAGAAGTAAACAAAAGAGACATATCATCTTAATTCACATATACCGTATTTGCTTTTAACGGTTCCACTATTAATCGTGACATATGCAAACATATACTCCGTATTGTGTTGATCACCAAGATTACCAAGATTGATAGTCGTTAAATTCAGTATTTACCCTGATTTTTTTTAGATGATGAACCGATCACAGTAACAAAAGAGAAAGTGATTTATGGATTAAAAAGGCCAAATAAAAAGGCTTCTTGTTTGTTTAGGTTAGACGTTTTAGCTTATAAGCCCAACAAAGAGAGGCCATAATCCAAACTTCAATTAATAAAGAAAACTCACAACAAGATTCTACATCTACATATATATTCTTTTTCTTAAAAAAAGATGCATACAATAATCCTTTTATTCAGCTCCGGTGTATAATGACATAATGAAATCCCTACATGGTAGGTGGCTCATACCGTGATAAATCTTGACGTGCACATATTAGCATTGCTCACACCATAACACACTTGAACAACATCGTACGTATAGCATCTCTCTATTTTTTTTTCAATAACATTAATTGTTTAGCAAGCATCTAATGTGAATCTCATTTTTTTTTTCAAAACTAGAAGAAAGAGTGAATCTCTAACAGAAGCGCAATACAATTATCTATTTTTCTTTTTCCAAAACCAATACATTATTATCACATTTTGTTTTCAATATTCTTGCATTTCAAACAAGCCTCCAAAGACAATAGCCACCAATAACAATAACGAGTTACCTTGAGCTGAGTGGTCACCTTCATTTCTTCAGATATGAAGATGCGATGATGGATTTGCACACACTACACAAATGCTATGAAAAATGAAGGAGGCCGAGAGCCATTCAAAGGCCCTCAGATGGCCTAAAACTACACGATGATGAGTTTGTGGGAGAGATGATGGTAGAGGAGGAGGCTATCGAGAAGGTAACAAATAGGCGAATTTTAAGATCTATAATAATAGAGAGAAAGACGGAGAAGCAAACAATTAATTAGAGTCCTACAAAATTACATGTGTTAAAGAAAACCATGCTAATATTTGTATGGTCGACAATTTTTCAGTGTGATGGTTACATGTTAGAAGCTATTTTGACTTGGCATATATAGTTAGATCCATTGACAGCCACCGCTTAAATCCAGCAGAACCAATAAAACAACATTTGTGTGCATGTATACCAATCTACAATGGGTTTCCATATTATGCATCTAGCTTAAATTAAGCCCTAAAATGACATTACTGGATGGCCACATCGAAATAACACTAAAGTCAAAACCACAGTGTAGATTAAAAAAATAAATAACCAAATCAATCCAGCACTGATTAATAAAAAGCTACCCAGCCTTGCAACTGAAGTAATGAATCGAATCAAATATATATATATATATATATATATATATATATATATATATATATATATATATATATATATCTTCTTCCAAAAATGAATAAACCAATCATGAACAGTCATACCATCTATTGCTTTTTTTTTAAGAACCATTGGGAAGAATGGATCGTCAAATCAAGAGAAATTGATTTATTATCAGGTAGCCATTCTTTTCTTTTTATCATCTTTTACTATCCCTCCTTGGAGGTAAAGCATCTCCATCTAGATTCTAGAAGCAAAGGCCATCGACTAATCACTGCCGTCGAAACACAAGTGAACGGTTCGATGCGATAACGGAAAGGCACGCGAATACAAGTGGCCAAGTGGACGGTTCGATGCGATAACAGAAAGGCACGCGTATTCGTAGCAAGAAAAAAAAAAGTACTCCCCATCTCAAAATATAATATTTTCAGAATAGTATCAAGGCAAATCATTTTAACTTACATTATTAATAGTAAAAAATAAAAAGAAGTAATCATGTAAAATTGATGATACTAGATTTATTATTAAATAAACTACTCCCTCCGTCCCATAATATAAGAGATTTTGATTTTTTCTTCCATATTTGACCACTCGTCTTATTGAAATTTTTTTTGTATTTGTTATTTATTTTATTTGTGACTTACTTTATTACCCAAAGTACAACTTTTCGTTTTTTATATTTGCACAAATTTTTTGAATAAGATGAGTGGTTAAACAGTGTAAGCATCGAAAGTTCACGTTTTTGGTTTTATAGCACCGAAAGTTACCGGTTCACTTTAATAGCACCCAAAGTTCACCATGTTCCCATTTTTAACACTTCCGTCAATTCTCGATCGTTTTCCGTCCGTCTTGATCCAGCCACACACACGATATGACGTTTCTACCCCTCACAAGCACAAGTATAATGCATGTCAATGAGGGGTAGAAATGTCACATCATGTGTGTGGCTGGATCTATAACGATCAAGACGGACGGAAAAATTGACGGAAGTGCTAAAAATGGGAACATGGTGAACTTTGTATGCTATTAAAGTGAACCGGTAACTTTCGGTGCTATAAAACCAAAAACGTGAACTTTCGATGCTATATAGCAAATTTTGCCAAAGTTAAAATCCCATAGGGAGTATCATAATATGCAAAACTTTTATTGAAAATATATTACTTTTATAGATATTTATAGATATTATTGGATAAAGTAGCATAACACTAAGACGGTGTTGAAATAGGAAAATGATTATATTTTAAGTCCGAGGGAGTATTAAAATATAAAAAAGGGGAGGCGAGGAACGCGAGAAGAGAAAGCAGTAGAGTGGTAGGCGAGTCGCTGGGCAGCGAGGGAGACAGCGCGGCGGCGAGGAGATCCAAGCGGCGGCGGGCGGAGATGGCGGCGGAGGGGAAGACGAGGGTGGTGGTGGTCGGCGGCGGCATCGCCGGATCGCTCCTTGCCAAGACCATGCAGCCCCACGCCGACGTCGTCCTCCTCGATCCGTAAGCCTAGCCTCGCCTCGCCTCGCCTCCGCAAGTTCCCCTCAGGCTCGCCCCGTGCTTGTGGAAATGCCTGCTCCTAGTGTATCGTTGGGATCTAGCTTGTTCTAGCGATTGTTTTTTTTTTATGGAAGACATGTCACTGGATTGGATGCTGCCGTACTGGGCTGACAAGTGCATTTAGCTGCTACTATGATTTTAGGTGTAGGAAAATGCGCGCTGATTTTAGGTTGGGAAGCCATGTTTCTGCGTTTTCCTAGCATTTGTCTGGCCCCAGGTAATCGAGGATGTTTCTGAAGCATCATAATTCATAGAGCCGTAGAGGATGAATACGAATTTCATCAATTTAAGTTTTGAAAAATGCGGGGAACAGCCTGAAAGGGTTGCATGTTCTGTTCAAACTAAGAGAAATTTTACGGTCCTTAAGAAAGTACCTTAAGCTACTAAGATTTTACACTAAAAATTTTGGTACCTCGAGATACCTAGTACCTGGAGATAACAAATTTTACACTAGAAAATATGGTACCTCCCGGTACCTTTTTAAGGATGGTAAAATTACTCTCAAACTAATTGCATAACGAACTCTACATGACTGTTTTCCATTTAACTTCAATCAACAACATACGGGATGGGTGTAATTGTTTCCTCGATTTCGCTGGCATGTACTTTGCGGTCCAGTGAGTTAATGCCATAAGATGAGTTTCCACTTACTTTTTGTTGATTGTGATTTTTTTTTGTGCTCGCCCAAGTTGCTCATCCTTCTGTACAATAAGTTATAGCATCTCAAATGATGCACAAGTAGGCTTGTTCATATAGAATGCAGATCAGTTTTGCTGAAAGTTTAATGGTTATGTCCTCTGCGAATCTATGCAGACAATAAACAAGCTTCATACCCTTACACTTAAGTATCATCAATCATGTCATAATCGGCTATATCTTCTGATGACAGGAAGGACTATTTAGAGATCCCTTGGGCTGAATTGAGATCAATGGTTGAACCCTCTTTTGCTGAGAGATCATTAATCTATCACAGAGATTATCTCACCAATGCAACTATTGTAACCTCTTCTGCAGTCAATATCACAGAACAAGCCGTGCTGACCGCTGATGGTCAATCTCTTGCGTATGATTATCTAGTTATAGCAACTGGCCACGCATTAACTTCTCCTGGGAGCAGAAGCGAGAGGATAAAAGAATTCCAAAGAGGTAACTGGAGTTCAAGCACATAGTGAAAAGTTGATTTCTGACCTTATCTTCCTACTTATGCTTTGTAATCTTGTTGTAGATAAAGGGAAGATTGAATCCTCCGAATCAGTTCTGATAATTGGAGGCGGCCCAACTGGTGTTGAGCTAGCTGGAGAGATTGCAGTAGATTACCCAGAGAAGAAGGTGACCCTTGTCCATAGAGGATCACGGTTACTAGAATTTATTGGAGACAAAGCTTCCAAAAAGTGTCTTGATTGGCTCACTTCAAAGAAAGTAGATGTGCTTTTCCAGCAGTCGATTGACTTGGATTCATTATCGAACACAGAGAAGTTGTACAGAACATCAGCTGGAGAAACAGTAACAGCTGATTGCCACTTTGTGTGTATCGGTAAGCCACTCAGTTCATCATGGCTACATGATACCATTCTAAAGGAATCCTTGGACAACAAGGGAAGACTAATGGTGGAAAAGGATTTAAGAATAAAAGGTTATAATAACATTTTTGCAATTGGTGACATCACAGATATTCCTGTAAGTCTACTTTAAACTTGCACATTCTGTTATTCGATCTACTTGCAGATGTTCCATTATTCCCTCTGTTTGAGAATGTTCTGTACAACTGAGAGTTCTTATTTTGGCTACTACTGAGGGAGGATGAATTGATTTTCTTTTCCCACCATTTGGCACATATCATTGACTAAATCAAGATACAGCTCAAACTTGAACATAATCAAATATTCTGCTTGTCCTTGTAGACTGATACATTGATTACATGAATGCACATCTGGTGTGTTGTGATGAGTATACACTGCTTTTTATTCATATCTAAAAGCCTATATCTTTTTTTACTTAAGAAAACATTTCCTCCCATAGTATCCCCTAATGGAACTTTCTGTGATTCGTATATCACTTTCTGGGTATTGAAACACTTTGAAATACGAATCTGAAGTTTGACTTTTGCATGTCCAAAAGAACTGTACATTAACAGTAACACCCGTTAATTTTTCAGGAAATTAAGCAAGGTTACCTTGCCCATAAGCATGCTCTGCTAGTAGCAAAGAACTTGAGATTATTGATTAAAGGTTCTCCTAACAGCAAACTGGAGACTTACAGCCCTGGATTTGCATTGGCACTTATCTCTCTTGGAAGGAACGAAGGGTTGGCTCAGTTGCCGTTCCTCACACTCGGTGGCTGCTTACCAGGCAAGATTAAATCTCGAGATCTGTTTATTGGTAGGACAAGGAAGCAGATGGGTCTAAATGCTTGAAGTCTTTCTTTTCAAACAAATATGCTTCGCCCATATTGTGCTGTATCTGCACAAGTAAAGAATGATGGTGTGAAATTGTGAATAGCAATGGACTATGTGCATTTACTTTGTATGCTGAGATCTTTTGCCATTGTAATGGGTGTGACAATCAATTCATGGATTTGTTTGTTGGTTGGCAACTGAATGCTACATTTGCTTGTCTGTAATGATATTATTATTGTCGGCGACGAATATTTGATACCAAAAGGGCTCCTGTATGAAAAAGAGAAGATACTTGTATGCACGGATTTTGGAACCTCCACCGGTAAGCACATAACTTGTCCGAATTTTTTATTTTTTTCAATTCTTTGTGAAGTTGGTCAAAATTATTCAAAGGTTCAAATGATTTCGGCCAAAAACAAGCATCGAAATTCCCGAAAACTAGTGTGATTTTTCCTAACATAAAAAATATGTGTCAGAGTGCTGCTGTATAGCATTTCCGTTAGGAATAAGTTCACCGGAGGTCCCTTAACTTAACAGCGAGATTTTTTTTAGTCCCTCAACCACAATACCAAAAATGTTCGCCCCTAAATTCATTCAAACCGTTCACCGGAGGTCCCTTAGCAGTATAGGTGGGTGGTTTCGCTGACGTGGTATCCTAGTCAGAAAAAAAAATCGTGAGGCCCACATGTCAGTTGCACTTTTTTTTTCTTTTCTTTTCTTCTTCTCTTCTCTTTTCTCTCTTCTCTTTCTCTTCTTCTTCTTCAGTGTGAGTGAGGCCGGTGGAGTGGCGATGCGCGGGCGGCGGGTCCGCGCGACAGCCGAGCGGTGGCGGGAGGCGGCAGGCGAGCGCGACCGGCGGGCGAGCACGGAGGAAGGAAGTGGAGGAGGAGGAAGAGTGGCATGGGGAGGAGGAATGTGTAGCGGCCGAGCGCGGCGGCGGGCGAGCGGACGAGCACGACAGGCGGAGGAGGGGGCCGCAACGGCGGAGGTGGCCGAAGAAGGAGCGTGGCGGCGGTGGGCGAGCTCCGCCGGCCTACTCCGCCAGCCGCGTCGTCGTCGGCGGCGAGAGCCGCCCCCACCGGAGCCCCTGGAGAGCTTAGGGGCGACGGCGGATGAGCACGACGGCGCGCCGCCGACCGAAGCAGTCGCCGCCACCGCGTCTCCAGCTGCAGACGCCATGGAGGCCGAAGAGGGCGGCATGGCCATCGTGTACGACGCGCGGCTGCCTCGGCTGCGGTGGAGGAGGTGGAGGACGCCACCGCGACCTATTCCGTGTTCCGCAACGAGATCACGGCGGCTAGGGACGCGCTCGTCGATACCCGCCGCCGCGCTGGCCCGCCGCCCGCCCATCGTTGCTCCGTCAGCGCGGCCGCCCTCGCCTGCCGCCGCCCGCCGCCGCTTGTCTGCCGCGCGGACTCGCCGCCGCGCTGGCCCGCCGCCCGCCCATCGTTGCTCCGTCCGCGCGGACGCCCTCGCCTGCCGCCGCCCGTCGCTGCTTGTCTGCCGCGCGGACCCGCCGCCGCGCTCGCCCGCCGCCCGCCCATCGTTGCTCCGTCCGCGCGGACGCCCTCGCCTGCCGCCGCCTGTCGCTGCTTGTCTGCCGCGCGGACCCGCCGCCGCGCTCGCCCGTCGCCCGCCCATCTTTGCTCCGTCCGCGCGGCCGCCCTCGCCTGCCGCCGCCCGCCGCGCGGACCCTCCGCCCGCGCTCGCCTGCCGCCACCCGCCGCTGCTCGCTCGCCCGCCGCCCGCCCATCGCCTTTCCGCCCGCCGGCCTCACTCGAAGAAGAAAAGAAAGAGAAGAGAGAAAAGAGGAGGAGGAGAAGAAAAGAAAAGAAAAAAAAAGATGTGCCACTGACATGTGAGCCCCACGTACTATATTAATTTTTTTTTCTGACTAGGATGCCATGTCAGCGAAACCACCCACATATATTGCCAATGGACCTCTGGTGAACGGTTTGAATAAGTTTAGGGACGAACATTTCTGATATTATGGTTGAGGGACCTCAAAAAAATCTCGCTGTTAAGTTGAGGGACCTCCGGTGAACTTATTCCGGCAAAGTACACCGAAGGTCCCTCAACTTGTCATCCGGATAAAAAACGTCCTCGAACCACAAAACCAGATATATAGAGTCCCTTAACTATACAAAACCAGTCACCCGAGATCCTTCGGTAGTTTTGACCCGGTTTTGGTCTACGTGGCGGCTGAGTCAGCGTGGAACCCACGTGGGCCCCACTTGTCAGGATGCCACGTAAGCCGGCCTCTCCCCCTCCTCTTTCTCAGTTCCTCCTCTCTATCTGCCTGATGAGCGCGAGCGGCGAGGCTTCCAGGCGAGCAGATGGCTGAGGACTCGGCAAGCAGATGGCCGAGGACCACGACGCGGAAGGGGTCCGGATGACAGGCGAGGGCGCGGCCGACGGCTGCGACGCCCACAGCCTCGCCGGCGGAGAGGAGGAGATCGGCGACCAGCGCCGCCGCCGCCGCGCTTCCTCCACGCACCGGCCACCACCGCCTCCAAGGGGACCTCGCCGTGGGCGGCGGCCATCGTCGACCTCGCCGCCCCTAGGGCCCTCCACGCCGGCGCACGAAGGGCTCGCCGCGGAGGACGAGCGGCGTGGAGCTCCAGACGCGCCGCCAGCGGGAGGCGAGCGCGGCGGTGCGAGTCGCGTCCTTGACGGGGAGGCGGGCGACGCGGAGGTCGTCGGGGAGAGTGCTAACGCTGTCCTCGCCGTCATAGCCCTCGGCGGCGGAAAGCGTGGCGCCGTTGCCGGAGGCGGGATGGCCGAGGAACCACCGGAGGCGGCCTCTGACTTGGAGGCGGCCTTGGACGTCGCGAGGACAGCGGCGAGCCCCTCGTGCGCCAGCGTGCAGGGCCCTAGGGGCGCCGAGGTCGACGATGGCCGCCGCCCAGGGGCGTCCTCCCGGCGTCCAGGACGGAGGTCGCCATGAAGGTCGTGTCGCTGTCGCACGACGCGGAGCAGGGGATGAGGCAGTTCGTCACCGAGGTCGTCAGCGTCGGCCGCTTCCGCCACCGCAACGTCGTGCCGCTGCTCGGCTACTGCCGCCGGAGAGGCGAGCTCCTGCTTGTCTACGACTACATGCCGAACGGCGGCCTGGACCAGTGGTTGCACGGCCAGGGTGCGCCGCTGCTGGGCTAGGCGCAGCACGTTCGCGCCATCAGAGGCGTCGCCGCCGGCCTGCTCTGCCTCCACAAGGGCTGGGAGCAGGTGGTCGTACACCGCGACGTCAAGGCAAGCAACGTGACAACGTGCTCCTCGACGGCGAGATGGACGCGCGGCTTGGCGACTTCGGGCTGGCGAGGCTGTACGGCCGCGCCGCCGCCCATGGCGCGGTGGCTGCTGGCGCGTGGAGGAAGCGCGGCGGAGCCCGAGCCGTCAGGCTCGCGGTCGCGGAGGATGGCCGGCGCGCCGGTCGACGGGCTCAAGCACCGGTCGACGTCGACGAGCCGGCGACCGCGAGGGTGCTGCACGAGGAGGAAGAGAAGGAGGCGCCAGCGTGGCCTCCCTCCGCCTCCTCTCGGCCTCCTCCGCCTCCTCTCGGCTGCGAGCCGCCGTCTCAGCCGCTCCACGCTGCTACTAGGCTACTAGCTGGGCAGCTGGCTTCTTCCACCCCGCCGCGGCAGCGCCGGAGCCCCGGCGAGGTCCGACCCCGTCGACGCGGAAGCGAACCCAAGGATGCCGCCGGTGGGCGCCCGACGCGGCCGGTGTCCGGCGTGGCCCGCCCCGTTCCGCCGCCTTGGCAGCGCGCGCGCGCGCCCTTCCGAGGGCGGCCGTATGCCCACAAGGTATTCGATGGATTGACCGACCTGTTCTGTTCATGCAGTAGCGGGAAACGATTCGTTCACCATCTAGTTTGGCGTGGAAGGTATTCTACGGATCTTTCTTTGACATGCGTTTTTTTGTTTGTTTGCTCAATGACATCCAATCAGGTGTTCAGGCTAGCTGCAACCGTGCGTGATTTTACTTTGGCTTCACTTTTTTATCCATGGATTTTATATTCCAGTTAGTAATCCGAGTTCCTCTCTTAATTTAGTTCATCTAAGAAGACGTTGTCCTGTCCTTCGGGCAACCATATACCTGCAACGATGTCTCGGAATAGCTTCTAGTCCACTCCAGGTATCTGTGCAAAAGCTTCAGGATATATGTATACAAATGCACGCACAACATGTCGGCTATAAGTCTATCTGCAAATTCGATCTCTTTCTGGACAACACAACAACAACAACACCACACCAGTACATCACAAAGAAAATCCCTGTGCCCACGAAAGAGAGCAATTAAGGCATGAGTGGGGGAGCGGAGATGATCGCAGGCGCTGTCGTGCAGCGTGTTGCCGGCATGCTGGGTGATAACGCCTGGGAGAGGATCCAGCTGCTGTGGAACTTCCAAGAGGATGTCCAAGATATGAAGAGCAAGATGACTGACCTCAAGGTTGCACTTAGCTATGCAGACAAGCACTCTAGAGAGACTGACGACGACGCATTGGTGCTACGACATTGGCTCAACAAGTACAAGTCTGTTGCCTACGACATGGAAGACACGTTGGATGAGTTGTTGACTAATGCGATGATATGGGAAAATAACCCATGCACGGTGCGTTCCCTTCACATGCTTGAGGTTAATTAATTATCTGATTGGGAAAAGCATATATACTCTTAGCTGTTAAAACTTATACATAGGAGAATGTATTTAATTGTATTATTGTAAGAAGCACACACTCTTCATTTGTTGTCAATACTAAGACTGTGATTTGTGAACCATTAATGAGCTGGTCCAGCTATAGTTTCCTACATGGCTGCATTGTGAACAGGCACCACCAAACATTTGATATTTCATATTTGTGAACATATACCACCACGTTTTGGTTGTCACCGTTGGTATACACAACATGGCCAGGCATTCTCACTGTTATAAGTTAATTTTCCAAAAATAGAAAAAGTATTTATGTCCTAGGTATGAGTCTACTTCATAAAAAATATAATCACCCATTCTTTCTGAATAAGAGATACAGTTGTGGTTATTTGACTAAATTAGAAAATGCTACAGGTTAAATTGTTCTTCTCATCAATCAACCCACTCATTGTGCGCATCACCATGTCAAGTAAGATGAGAAATATTCGGATGAAGTTAGATAAGATTGCTGAGGACCAGAAGAAATTCCCCTCTATGCAATTGGCTAACCCAACTGGACAAGACAGTACCGATAAGTGGAGAGAAACCTTTATTGGTCACACAGACGAAATTGAGATGGTAGGGAGGGCAAGAGAGAAGAAAGAGATATTAATCAAGGTGTTGCAGAACGATGGAGGCCAAGAAATCTCTATCATTCCTGTTGTTGGCCTTGGTGGTATGGGTAAGACTACATTGGCCAAAGCTGTTTACACTGACAAGGAGACACATATGTTTGATGTGAAAGCATGGGTCCATGTCTCAATGGAATTTCAGCTAAATAAGATTGTGTCTGGCATTATATCTCATGTAGAGGGCAGCACTCCAGCTAATATTGCTGATCTACAATATTTAAAATCTCAGCTGGATCGCATACTCTGCAACAAGTTATATCTCATAATCCTAGATGACTTATGGGAGGAAGGGTGGTCTAAGTTGGAGAAGCTGATGGAAATGTTGCAATCTGGAAAGAAAGGAAGCAAGATAATAGTGACCACCCGTAGTGAAAAGGTTGTAAATACATTATCTACCATTCGTTTATCATATTTTCATACCGTTGATCCAATTAAACTGGTGGGTATGTCAATTGATGAATGTTGGTTTATCATGAAGCCTCGCAATATGGAAAATTGTGAATTCTCTGACCTTGTAGACATTGGAAAAGAAATTGCACAACGATGCAGTGGAGTACCTCTAGTTGCTAAGGCTCTTGGTTATGTGATGCAGAAGCACCGCACAAGAGAAGAATGGATGGAAATTAAAAATAGTAACATTCTGGATACCAAGGATGATGAGGAAGGAATTCTGAAGGGTTTGCTGCTAAGCTATTACCACATGCCTCCACAACTTAAACTTTGTTTCATGTACTGCTCTATGTTTCCTATGAGCCACGTTATAGATCATGATTGCTTGATCCAGCAATGGATTGCTTTAGGATTTATTCAAGATACTGATGGGCAACCACTTCAGAAGGTTGCTATGGAATATGTTAATGAATTATTGGGGATGTCCTTCCTTACAATCTTCACTTCTCCTACAGTATGTAAAAATGATGCCTACCTCATTGAATTATGCAATTGAAATTATTTGTCTTGAAGATCTGAATTATGCTCTCCTTTTTTATTGCCAAGGTGCTGGCTTCAAGGATGTTATTCAAGCCCACACTCAAACTTCATATGCATGATATGGTACATGAGCTTGCAAGACATGTTGCTGGTAATGAATTCTCTCACACAAATGGTGCAGAAAACAGAAATACTAAAAGGGACAATTTGAATTTCCACTATCATTTATTGTTAAATCAAAACGAGACATCATCAGCCTATAAGTCTTTGGCAACAAAGGTCAGGGCCCTGCATTTTAGGGGATGCGATAAAATGCATCTTCCTAAGCAAGCATTTTCACATACATTATGTTTGAGAGTTTTGGATTTGGGTGGACGCCAAGTGTCAGAGCTACCAAGTTCTGTTTATAAACTAAAGCTATTAAGATATCTTGATGCTTCTAGCCTTCGTATCTCAAGCTTTTCTAAATCCTTCAACCATCTATTGAACTTGCAAGCCTTGATACTTTCAAATACTTACCTAAAGACATTGCCCACAAACATTGGTTGCCTCCAAAAGCTGCAATACTTTGACCTATCAGGGTGTGCCAACCTTAATGAGCTTCCCACCTCTTTTGGGGACCTTAGTAGTCTTCTCTTCCTAAACTTAGCAAGTTGCCATGAATTGGAGGCGCTTCCAATGTCCTTCGGCAATCTGAATAGACTTCAGTTTCTGAGCCTATCAGATTGCTACAAACTCAACTCACTGCCAGAATCTTGTTGTCAACTTCATGATCTGGCACATCTTGATCTGTCGGATTGCTATAACCTTGGAAAGCTCCCAGACTGCATTGATCAACTCTCTAAGCTTGAGTATTTGAACATGACAAGTTGTTCCAAGGTTCAAGCGTTGCCCGAGTCTCTATGCAAGCTCACGATGTTAAGGCATCTAAATTTGTCATATTGTCTAAGGCTAGAAAATCTGCCCTCATGTATTGGTGATTTACAGCTTCAAAGTTTAGACATTCAAGGCTCCTTTCTCCTTAGAGACCTGCCGAATAGCATTTTTAACATGTCCACACTTAAAACTGTTGATGGAACATTCACATATTTAGTATCTTCTAAAGTAGAAAAACTGAGGGAGAATCTGAAATTGGAAGGCTGTTGTAAGCTGGATGGAGGAAGCACTGACCTATGCAGTCGGATTACGGAACTAAAAAAGACACACTGCCATGAATTAGAGATACAAGGTCTTGAGGATTTTAAGCATTTGGAAGGGATAGAGCATGCTATACTTCTCAACAGCTTGAAGCTTACAAAGTTGATTTTTTCATGGCAACCGAAGCAGTATACAAATGAAACGGCTCATCACAAAACGGTGCTTGGGATGCTCGTGCCTCCTAGAAGTGTCCATCACCTTGCTATCAAAGGTTATTGTGGCATCGAGTTACCTAAGTGGATGTTGGATATTCGTTCCTACCTACCTCATCTTACCACCATCTTTCTGCACGGTCTGATGGAATGCAACCGCCTCCCTCCACTTGGGTGCCTACCACACCTGAGAGCATTGTTAATGACCAAAATGCCTAAAATCAAGAGTGTTGGTCCAGAATTTTATGGAGACTACGGAAGCTGCCAGAAGCTAAGAATGATTATCTTGGCTTCAATGGACAATTTGGAAGAGTGGTGGACAACTAGATCATCTAAACAAGATAACGAATTATCATTAATCCCTGATTTACAGATGTTGTGGGCTTCCGATTGTCCAAAGTTGAAATTCCTGCCTTATCCACCAAGGAGCTTGACATGGTTCATAGAGAATAGCAATCACGTGTTGCCAGAACATGGGTTTGGGAACCTTACATCTGCTACTTATCCACTTCATCTTTCCATCGAGCGTGCACCCAATTCTCGCGAAATGTGGCGTAGGGCTCAGCACCTTTCTTCAATCGAGTCTCTTACTCTCATGTCTATAGCTGGCCTTAGAGCCCTGCCAGAGGCTATTCAGTGCTTCACGTCCCTCTGGAGACTCAGTATATTGGGATGTGGTGAGTTGGAGACGCTGCCGGAATGGCTAGGAGATTATTTCACTTGTCTGGAAGAGATTTCGATCGACACTTGCCCAATGCTGTCTTCACTGCCGGAAAGCATACGACGCCTCACTAAGCTGAAGAAGTTACGGATCACCAACTGCCCTGTATTGTCAGAGAAGTGCCAAGGAGAGGACAGGCACAAGATTGCTCATATTCTAGAGCCCATATTCCTGTAAAAGAAGCTCCCACCTAGATCAGCAGGCATACAGGCCGAGATGTAGCATGCATGGTGAGATGAGACATATATATCCCTCTTGATTGCTAGTAGTAGTAAAATGCGTGCCAGTTTTCCTCAACTTTTGTGACTCTTGTCTGCATATTGCAGGTTGGCTGATACTGTTAGCAGGGTAAGTTTACAAAACTTTTAAGGTAATATGAAAAACTATTTGATCTTTCACCAGCGGATCTATATTTGAACTAGAGGGCTGGGACCTCATACGTGCAGGCAATTGGACCGTAAAGCGAAAGCGGCTGCTTATGTACATATATTCCTCGACTACATATGCTGCTTGTGCCACTACCAGACTTCATACTTCAGAGCTATCCTGAGGGTGGTTATTTTTCCGTGATTTGTTGGTCACTTTTTGGCTATTGAAATACTTGGGCTGGTATAAGCATCATAAATTTCGCTTTTGCATCCAAAGAAGTTGTGCATTAACAGTAGCACCCGTTAATTTTCAGGAAATTAAGTGAGGTTACCTTGCCCAGGCTCTGCTAGTAGCAAAGAATCTTGAGACTTATTGATTAAAGGTTCTTGTAACAGCAAACTGGAGATCTAAACCACTGGATTTCCGTTGGCACTTGTCTCTCTTGAAGAAACGAAAGGGTTGGCTCAGTTGTCGTTCATCACTCTCAGTGGCTGCTTACCAGGCTGGATTAAATCTCGATATCTGTTTGTCAGTAAGACAAGTTAGCAGATGGGTAAGCATGATGCCCATTTCCTTTTTATTTTCACGCAGATATGCTTCTTGAGTTGTTGCTGTGTTGTGTTCTTAGTATGTTGTATCTGCACAAGTATATGATGATGGTGTGAATAGTAATGAACAAAGTGCATATACCTTGTAAACAGAGATTTTCTGGCCCATTGTAATGGTTGTGATAATCATTTATGCATTTGTTCGTTGGCAACTGAACAGTACATCTGCTTGTGTGTAATCACATCATTAATGTCAGCAATGAATATCTGATACCCAAGAGGCACCTGTATGAAAAAAGAATATACATATCTTGTCGACTGCAATGTTGCAAACACATCCATGAAAAGATGCTCTGAGTGATCCTGAACTGGATGTAACATAACGGTGCTTTCTCAGAAAGAAAATGAGAGAGAGGAAGATCCTGAGCCTGGCAAGAACAGCTATGCAACTGTGCAAGTACAAGCCTTGAAATCTTGAAAGGTACATCCTGTCGATTTCACTCCTTTTTGCCCTGTATTCATGAGCCGTGAAGAGGAGACATCTCATTGCAATCCTGAATTTTGGGAGTGTGTGTGGCAGATGCTCAATTTGTTTGGTCTTTGTCCTATGAGGTTTAGGTTAGGTTCCTGGCTCTTCAACTTTGACCTGTCTGTATGAGGGCAGGTCAGCTGGAATTTCTTGGAATTTTTGCAAGTTGTGTACTTCACTTGTACTACCGAATCAGCCAAATTTTAAGCAGTATTTGTTACTACCATTCACAAGTTTTATTATAGAGATGACATGATGGTTAGTTGATGACCCAATTAAAGTGACCATTCATTCATGTCTTTTTTTTTTAAAGTGATCATCCATGTCTCTTTTGGGGAAGAAACAAAGTTCTCTCTGTTGATGGATTATGTTATTAGACTTGACATGAACCTGGCTTATCTTATCTGCTTAGGATGATTGGATGCACATTGCACACACAAAAACTGAGAAATATATATACAAATATAATACAAACTGGCCATATCCCAACCAAATTCGCAATTCAAGTTCAGCTAAATCTTGAGGTGGAGAAACTAATCACCAATTTGGTTTCTCATCTTCTTGTGATATCAACCTCTATGATGAACCTGGCCTAACTCCAGACCATGGTGCAGCCAAAAGGCTCAAAAGAACAAGGCCCCACAGAACCAGACACAATGTGGTGCTGTCTGATTTGTGAAGTCAGTAGATAGGTTGCAACCAGTGAAACACCTAAACCTACCCTGTAAATAGTGTAATCAAACTCCAGAACCCTCTCTATGTAGCAGTTTTGTATAGGCCAGAAGAAATCATATCATCTTATCCTAAATCTTCCAATAACCAAAATATATATCACATCAGGTCGATGCCATCATCCTAACCACTCCTGCAAAGTAGCCATCACAAACCATTTACATTAGTTTCTTCTTCACACAGTATACATGGATTCTCTTTTCAGAAAAAGTAAAGTGCACCTTAGTTAGAAGCCTGAAGTTGGACATGCATTTTCATTCACATATTTTATATTTGCATGGTTTTTAATATCTCAAGTGGATGTACATGTATATGTATTTATGATTTGCAAATCCATTGGTTTTGACCTTTCAGAAAAAAAAATAATCTGATGGATAAACCTGCAAAATAGCAAAGCTGTTGCTTGCTAGACTCACCACAGACAGGATCCCTCTGAATCTGAATTCAGGAGATCTTGCATTAGTTGTAACCCAACTTCTTATATACATGTGTCTCAACTATATGAGTAGTTGCAACCATATAAAATCCCTGCATTAAGCTTTGCAAAGCTGTGAGATAATGCTTAATGCTAATGCCTCTAGTTAGTGCTATCTGAGTGGAGTGATTAGTGATTAGTTGGTCTAAAGAAAAAGATTGATATCACCAATTGTGCATTGACACTCATGAACAAAACAATCAGCTTTTTGTGACTTTGTCCCCATGCTATGATTGGTACCATACAAGTATACATGGATATTTTATATTGTAGCCATATTTTACCATGCATGTTGGCACACCTGACCTGAAATGGAACAGTGCTCTCTTGTCTCCCAACTGTTTGCCTGTGACATTTCCTTGGCTCCATCGCAGGAAAAAAACAATTTTTTAACACAGTACGAAAATATATACTCATATAAAGTGCGCACGCATTCCAATGAATACACATACACCCTATTCATATACCCATATGAACATCTTCGAAAGATTATGTCAGTATATCTTGATATTAACGAAGTCATTCATATAAGTACATGGGAAAGACTTAGTCAACATGATTGACGAGTCACCAAACACCTCACTTTCGATGAACACATTATCTAATACTGAAAAAATAATTAACTTTAAATACGAACACTCATACCGAGTTGTAGATTCCAACCTAGATAAATGAGTAGGTTTCACAACTAACGTAATCAAACTAAGCTGCTCAATTGTATTCATAGAGATTATTATCTAAGTTTATATGTACATACTGTCTATATTAATGTGCCACTTGGGCTAAGAAACAGATACACACACACAAACAAATATTAATGTTTTATCTAAATAACCAACCAAAAAATATTTAATGCTTTTATATCCAAATAATCCAACTACGATGCTGACATTCAGGCCGCCCGTTTCGCTTGCTCCAGTTTTTTTTTCTCACGTGCACGCCTACTCCACATTACTACCCATGCAGTACAGTACCTTCCCCCGGGCCCACATGTCATAGAGCGGGGGTACGTACAGGCACTGTACGCGTAGGATTCTCCCAGGCCAGTAGTACACCCGAAACACGCAAAGCAACAACCACTACCCAGTTCGGCCTTAACGGGTCGGGTTTTGAACTCCCGGACCCGCTAAGCCCTCCGCTAATAACCTCGCCTCGCCTCGGATCCAACCAAGAAGGAATCCAAGCCAAGCCAAAGGTGGCCCATTTCTCGGCTTCTCGCTGCTCTTGCTTTGCTTCGCTTCTCCTCCTCTTCCTCCTCCTTCCTCGGCGGCTGCTCCGGCTCGGATTCCGGTGAGCCGTCGCGTTCGTGGTACGGCGGAGGAAGCGAGGTTGCGCCCTTTCCGACCGTTTCTTGGCTATCCGCCCCGATTGGAGAAAGCTGGGTGTTTCTTTTTTCTTTCTTTTTTTGGTTCAGGGATCAGAGAAGTTCAGAACTGGTGGAGGTGCTCATATCCGCGAGGTTGATGTCTCTCCCTCTTTCCATTTCATTTTGGTTTAGTCCAAGAACTTGTGTTGCTTGATGCTGTGTGGTATGTGGTGGAGTTGCTGCGATTTTGATGTGTTTTTGGAGTGATCGGTTGTTCAGTTGTCATTTGGGGATTTTTGGAAGTTTTCGGGTTTTGGGATCGGCGAGGAGGCCGAAATTTGGAGCGTTTTGTGCGTAATTCGTTGGATTGATTACGAGTGAGAGGCGATTGATTCTCCTTTCAGTAGAGAGATTATTTTCGTCCCAAGAATAGTTTTCATGGCGTTACAGTTTTGTCTACGAATTTATTGCGTGTGTGGGTTAGTGATTTTACAGCTATAAAATGTGTTTATTAGTGGTGGTTAGTCAAAAGGTTTAGAGGGATTATTACTTGACAAGAGTATGTGGATAGACGAGTGATGTCAGCACATAAACCTTATCAATGATCATGTCATCATACATGGAGTGCGGTCCCAATCCTTTTTTTAATCTATCTTGAAAATGTATTTTTGTGCACTAAGGTTAATTAATTAATTAATTAATTAAATCATGGTCTTTCATTGGCTAAACTTTGTTCTTTGTAGTGGTTTGTCTGAGTTTTAACGACATTCGACAATGGCTGCTGTGGATAGTATACGATGGCCTTAATATTCTTAAAAAAATATGCGAGGTTTGTTCAGGACTTAACTACTCAAGTAGTTAACAATTATTAGTGTTTTCGTTCCTTTCAATAAAAAATATATTAGGGTTGTTTGGCTTATCTTGAATCAGTGTTGGTCGTCCTGTTGGACTTTTTGTCAGGCGACTCATTTTGTAGTAAAGCATATTTGTTTCACTGCTGATGACTCTAATATGTCAGGATTACTGTTGATTCTAGTGTCAGTTTCAAAGCAGTTAATCTGTTATCTGAATAATAACATGCTCCTGTAGCCAACCTGTCACCGTTTATGCTGATTGTTCTTGCTTGCTCATTCATCTCTTGTCATCGATTCTCTAGGCTTTGTTGAAACTGAATAAAATTTCAATCTCTGTAGTCAGTACCACCTAATCATATGGAGGATTATCCAAGTGGGAGATCAAAAGCAGCTATTGGATTTCTCAGAAGAGGTGGTGGTTTCTCTTCGAGAAATCAAAGCACTGAAGAGAGGACCATTCAGAACTATGATGGACCAGGAATCACCACAAGACTCAATCCGATGAAAACCAGGCTGTCTGATAATCAGGAGAGACCAAGATACCTACGTGACTCATTCAGATCTTCAACCTCAATGGCCATTCATGGAAGCTCTTCCAAAGTTCCGCTTAGGAAATTCGGTGACGAAAAACGAAGGCAAACGTTGTTGGCAGGGGTAGACATTGCTGAAAGTAGCAGCAGAAATGCTGGGGGCAAACATCTGGAGGGTAGTAATAAGAGAATCGTTGTCGATGATAGGAGTTCAGATGTTCTGCATACTGAAACAGAAGGCTTGGCTACTGAACAAGACCAATTGATAGCACCCAATGCTGGAGTTTCTGATTCTGCTAGTTCGTCAGATATTTCTGAACATGCAGTTGAATCCTTGGTAAGGAGTGCTGCTCCAAGTTCTAGAACCCGTAGACAGAAGGACAAAGAATTGAATTTGGGTCAATCAGGAGTTTGCTCTTCGTCATGTACTAACAGGCCTACTATATCAAGATATGCTCCTGCCGATGTGAAGCGACCGTGTAATCATGCTAGCGGAGTACAACAGCATGGTCATAACAATCTGGACTGTACTTCAGTACCTAATTTTCTGCCATCAGGTTGCTCATCTGGTTCTGTTTATAGCAGGAGGTTTGATGCAATGAGAAAAAGGACTTCTGATGGGGGAAGTTTTTCTAGATCAAGGGGCTTAAGTGGAACGGCTAGCTTAGACGATTCACCTCCTGCATACCCTGCCATTGCTGGTCCTAGAATCAGAACAACTACAACTGAACGGGCTTCACAACAAAATGCACTAAGAAGCAGAAGGAATTTTCAGGATTCAGCAGTGTCAGTAAGGACAAGAAGACCTCCTTGGGGTGCTAGGTTCAGGATCTCTGAGGAAAGAGAGGATGGCATGATTTCTCAGCGTGATTCTTCCATAGGGAATCAACAGTCAGATCAGGTGCATTCATCTTCGGAAGAGGCCTCTACAGAGAGCTCCTCAAGACCATTCTCTGCAGAATTACCTCATGCAATTTACTCATCTAGAGGAGAGGGATCAAATGCTTTCACTGCAAGGAGAAGAAGATCAAGCTCCCTTTATGAGGAAAGACCTCCACAGACATTCCATGATCTTTTCAGAGAAAGAAATGGCCGAAGACACATATCCATAGAAGGAATTGCAGAGGTCATTTTATAGCAGCTCCGTTTTTTTCTCTCTTTCCGAAGATAGATTTTATGTAGGATTACATCACTATTTTTACTCCACATGCAGGTATTACTAGCTCTGGACAGGATTGAACAAGAAGCAGAACTGACTTATGAGGTTAGTTTCTTTGCCTTTGTGTCAAAATAATTCCTTGTGATTGACTTTTCACTTGGAATCTGGATAAATTTTGGCAGCAATTGATGGTGTTGGAGACAAATATATTGCTTGGTGCTTTCACCTCCCATGATCAGCATAGTGACATGCGCATGGATATCGACAACATGTCCTATGAGGTATTTTTTTTACTATGTTTGTTTGGACCTGGCAAAAACTTTGTTAGTTTGTTCCTAAATATTTTCATATAAGAAGTGCTTTTAATTAAGTAAACGGTCATTCATGGCTCAACTTCTAGCATGTACTTATTTTAGAGTAATTTCGTTCCCTCCTTCTGAACAGGAATTATTAGCATTAGGAGACAGAATAGGCTCTGTTAGCACCGCTCTTTCTGAGGAGCAATTTGTGAAATGCCTCAGAAGAAGTATATATATACCAGTGGCTACAAAAGCAAACGCGCAAGTTGTAGACGACATCAAATGCAGCATATGCCAGGTATCTTGTCATCATCTAAGCATCAAATGTTGTGTTGCACCTTTTTTAGGGAGTCTACTGCTACTAATGCATAGTGAAAGACTGAAAGTGAAACTGAAGACCGAATCTACGCTTCCACTATCTTACATTCTTATGAAATGAACTGTTACTTCGCTCTTGCCAATTTATTGAACACTATTTATGATTGATTTTGCGTCATCCCTACTACTTGCTGATGATTCTTTTTAACATACTTGTTACTACAATTAACCTACAGTGTCCACAGATGTTCAGAGCTCAGACAACTGTTGTATCTACTTCCTCTGTTTCACATTATAAGATGTTTTTGGTTTTTGAATAGATTCATGCATGGATCCATGTATGTGCTTCGTATGTGTTCAAATTTATATGGATGCTAGTGAATCTGGACGAGGATGGAGAAACCAAAACGTCTTATAATATGAAAGGGATGGAGTAGTACTCAGTTTTGTAAAACCTGCATCTGAAACCTCCATCACCCTTCCAACAACGGCAATCGATTCTGTGCCTGTAAAAAATAGCCATTAAAGGATTCATCAATTGGTTTGAACATAAGAAATAAAAGGGATTACTTTGGTAAATCGTCACAGTAATGGGAATATTTGTCTATTCCAGGAGGAGTACATAGAGGGTGAAGAAGTTGGACGGCTGGGATGTGAGCATCAGTACCATGTGTGCTGCATTCACCAGTGGCTCAGGCAGAAGAACTGGTGTCCAATATGCAAAGCTTCAGCTGAACCTTCTACTGTGAGCTAATCCCACCTGGGAGATTCAAGCTTGTAAATATTTATCATGGATTTGGTGTCCATCTTTTTGTGGAAACTGTAAATAATCTTGACCTTGTTCACTCCAATTTGTGATTATCAAATCAGCTGTGCTCTGAAAACAAAAATAATCCTTCAATGTTTCTCATGGTTAAAAAAAAAAGCTTTTCTATGTTTATGTTGGGGTACCTCTCCCAATGCAGGGGTTGTTCTAGAGGGTTTGAGGGTGGACCACCCTTGATTTTGGCCCAAAAAGATCCCTTCTTCATATGGCCCAAATCCACTACATAAACACGGCATACTAAACTATTTATATTGTGTATTTTTGAACTTTTAGACTCGAGTTAGTTGGCCCTGTTCGATCTCCCGTTTGGGAGATACTACACCGTCCCAGAAAAAAGTTTGTTTGGGAGACACGTATATGTCCTGGTTTGTAGGTAGGATTGGATTCTTTTTTGGATGGAGGGGTATATTTTTGTTGCACGCAAAACGATAAACCTCATTAGCACATAATTAATTAAATATTAACTATTATAAATTTGAAAAATGGATTTATTTGCTTTTTTAAACAACTTCTATATAGAAACTTTTTTTTAAAACAAACGTATCATTTAACATTTTAAAAAGCGTGCTAACGAAATACGAGGAAGTTGAATTTGGAGTTGAAGAAATAGAATTGAGCCCGTAATGTTGCGATATTATTACTGTATTTCTATCATATTTTGAGCAAATTTTGTATATGTATATTGAGTTTGCATCATTATGTGATTTTAGAGTGTGAAGTAGGACCACCGAACGAAAAAATCCTAAAGCCGTCACTGACCCGAAGTATAACTTAGCGGTACTGTACATCAAAACATAGTAAGCTGTATACATCAACCTTCAACCTAAAAGATTAAACTTATTAGAAAGAGTAAACTCTCCACTTATATTTGACTTTCTTTTTCCTAGCTTTTTGCACTTTCGACTATTCTACGGAACAAACGCTGCTTTCAATTATCAAAATGTATAACTACGTTGTATACACCAAATATAGTAAGCTGTACGCATCAACGTTCAATCTAAAAGATTGAAACTATAAGAAAGAGTAAACACTCCACTTATATTCGATTAGCTTTGGCACTTTTGACTATTCTACTTAACAAGTGCTGCTTTCAATTGTCGATAAAAATGTAGCCAGGCAAACTGTACCTCCCATAAATGACACAACAGTACTATGGATGCCGAGTGACATGGTCTTTCTCAAGAAATGAAATGATGGACAAATGCACTCACTTCTCGAGCTTTTAAAGGTACGATTTTTTTATTAAAAAAATTTCTCAGAAAATTGTTTTAAATATATTTTCAAAATTATAATATTTATTTTATTTTTTATACCCTCAAATAATTACCACAAATCACACGTTGGCCTTGGAATATATACTCCCTCCGATCCAAAAAGATTGTTACTCTATGATTCAAAATTTCATTCCTTCCTATCTCTAACTACTGGTCCGCTCCCAACTACACATTAATTAATAAGAGGATCTATAGTATTTGTTTCTCGAACTTTAATCTATGCTAAACAATTTACAATGATAATCTTTTTTTAAAGACGGAGGAGTACTATATAGGAGCACGCAGCTGCAATATGCTTGATCACAAAATAAAGAAAAAACACCCAAATTAAAGTATTTGCAGTAAATATGTCTACATGAAAAAAATATGTTATTCCAGCTAGAAAAGCCACGCAGTTTAAACTTGAGATGACTCTAGTACCATATTGAGTTGCATAAACAAATCAGTTGATAATTGATTGTTCCAAAATTCAGTATTTGTGATATGTGGATCTCTAATTGGCCGAAACCTAAAGAGGATAATTTACTTATGTTTCAACCCTTCCTAGCTTTTGCACCTTTCAACTTTTCTATCAGAAAGTACTGCTTTCAAATATCAATCAAAATGGAAAAAGAAAATAAAAAGACAGAAAGGTATGCATCAAGCTGGCCAAATTGCGCATCCTACACATTACATATACAATGTATGGACGGTAAGTTACATCTTTGGCCCTGGAAGATACTGAAAATATATTGGCAACCACAGTACACTTTAAATCATAACTTGGAAAAGAAGTACCCAAATTGTCCACAGTAACCGAAATATCTATATGAGAAAAGTCACCACATGCAAGACATGCAAACTTTTTTTTCTGTCTTTTCCTTTTGCCCTCTCAGTCCAATCCAACCATATGATGGTTTGAAAAACTCTCCAAATAGTTATGAAAAAATCTTGAAAAATTTACTACACTCATACAACATATATATCTACAAAATCTTAGCTCCAAAATCAACTCATAGATTAAGATACAGGAATGACAAATTTAGCGTATGAACAGTGGTACCGTTCATACCTGAATTTGTATTATTTATTTCTCAATGTGTCGGGTTGAATTCAAACTTATTTTTTTGTGAATTAATAGATATCACTGTACTCTACGTCATCAATTTTGTAAAGATTTTTTTAAAACTATTTGTATCAAATTTAAAATAAAAAGGTACTCCTTCCGTCAAAAAAAAGATAACCTATGAAGGTGTCCAGATTTATTGTACTAGGAGGGATCCCTCCTAGGTTGATCCCTCCTAGGTTGCCTTTTTTTTTAGGACGGATGGAGTACACAGTAGAACATCCTCCTCGAGAGATTAGAATCCATTCCAATGCTGATGATTCATTGGATAATCAAATGTTTCAATCGTCCGTTAGATTTTTCCTACAATATATCTGGACAGGGGACATTTCTAAATTCATAGAATTATGATATATCATATTAGTACTAGATTCTTACTCCCTACAGGCTGATACTCCCTCCGTTTCATATTGTAAGACTTTATAGCATTGCCTATATTCATGTAGAAGTTAATGAATCTAGGCATATATATATATATATATATATATATATATATATATATATATATATATATATATATATATATGAATGTGGGCAATGGTAGAAAGTTTTACACTGTGAAACGGAGGAAGTAATACTTATTGTTTTAGATAAGGGTGAGGTCAAACTATAGAATCTTTTATTATGAATCATTAATCATTTTTAAAATATTTGTCTTTTAAATATGGTGACTACATGTATAGAGTAGTCTTAAAAAATACTTTAATAAAATCATATATTCGTTGACACTTTTATACATATTATAATAGAAAAAAAGTTTTAAATTGGTTTTTTTTGGAGACCGTGCTCTGTCCAAAACGATAAGTATTATCAACCCGGAGGGAATATATTTTAGGACGAAAGCAAATAATACTTGAAAAGAAAGGAGAGTTGTCCTAGCTACTTCTAATGGCACAGGCTTTGCTTTGCAGGTTCATCGCGGACTTGCTACAAGTTGCCACAGCTGCTCGTGCTCAACGTCAGTGGACAGATCACAGCCGTCCACACCTCCCGCCTCCGCAGATCCGACGGCCCAGATCTCCCCAAGGCCCCCACCCCCACCTTCCCCTCCCCCCCTCCCTCCTCCCCCATCGTCCACTCGTTCGTCGCTTGCCGCTTCGTCTTCCTCCTCCCACCCACGAATTAATCCTCCTCCATTTTTGCTAATCCCGACCTCTCTCCCTCGCTAATCCGCCGCGACGCGCACGCGCGCGCAGTACAAATCCGCGCCGCCGACCTCGCCTCGCCGAGCTTGCGAGGTGGTTCCCCGTTCGGCCCCCGGGGGGCCCGCCATGGGCTAGGGTTTGCGGGCGATGGAGTGGGACAGCGACTCGGAGGGGAGCGGAGACGAGGAGGAGGAGGAGGAGGAGGAGGAGGAGGAGGGGGTTGAGGTGGGGGGAGGTGGGGATGGGGGCGTGGGCGTGGGAGTCGGTGGGGGATTCGCGCTGGCGATCGAGGGGGTGCTGGGCGCGTGCGGGCTGGTGGTGTCGGACGCGCTGGAGCCGGATTTCCCCATCATCTACGTCAACCGCGGCTTCGAGGACGCCACCGGGTACCGCGCCGAGGAGGTGCTCGGGAGGAACTGGTGCGTCTTTGTGCGCTCTGAATTTTCCTGATTCAATCCTTAAATGGCATTTTTCCAGTTCCAGCCTTTTTGTCTGCTCTGCTGTTGTTGTGATTTTGATCACATGATATGATAGGCGGGCGATAATGACAAGTTATGTGTTTCTGCAGTGATAGGAAAATCGGTAGTAATCCACACTGAACTATCATAAATTGGAAAATTGTTGTTGAATTGTCGATTTGGACTACGGATATGATGATTGCAAACTGAATATAGTGTTGCATACAGGGCCTGTGTACACGATTGGTTTTGGTTGTAAATTGCACCATAGTAGTGGGCTTAGATGGAACATGCTGAGGACTCCAATGTTGTGTCTTCATAGCGCTGAGTTGGTCCACCACACCGATTGGTCATGTTAGTTTTGCCGGAGCACGCTTCGTATGTCTCATATGACAGAAATCACCGGGAATTTTGGTTCAGGGTCCTGATGCTATTTCCTTCCTTAGAGCATGTGTTCTGGATTTGCATCGGCTATGTTAGTCTGTTGGATATGGTACCCATAGGATAGGAGGGGATCCCAAGTGTATAACATGCTAGCAGTCTTCACAGAGATTTTTTTTTCTCTAAGTCTATGATAGGTTTATCATCTGATGCTCTTGCTAGTAGTGTTTATGGTCGTAGTGCTTGTTAAACTGCTTGATTTTGAAAGTTGGCCGAGGTAGATCGTCAGCATGACACATTATGTGAGTATTCTGTTCTTAGTTGTTCAAGTGTCTATGTGTTTCTTTTCCTGCCTGTAGTAGTTCTGTGGTAGAATATTATTATCTGGCTGTTCACTAGGCTCTTTCCTTTTGGTTGTAGATGCCTACTGTAATTCCAGTTTTATCAGTATTTGTTATTAGAAGTGCAATTTATATTTATCATGCATGATGCCAGTTACTTAATACATGCAATACCACACAAGTGATGGATTAAAATAAACTGTTTTCTCCTGCCATTTGTACTAGCACCTTAGCAAAACTGGTATCCTTCCCTTATGGCATTAGGTGGTGTTTGGATCCAGGGACTTAACTTTAGTCTCTATATTTAGACACTAATTTATAGTATTAAATATAGACTATTTACAAAACTAATTACATAAATGAAAGCTAATTTGCGAGATAATTTTTTTAAGCCTAATTAATCCATAATTAGAGAATATTTACTGTAGCATCACATAGGCTAATCATGGATTAATTAGGCTCAATAGATTCGTCTCGCGAATCAGTCTAAGATTATGGATGGGTTTTATTAATAGTCTACGTTTAATATTTATAATTAGTGTCCAAACATACGATGTGATAGGGACTTAAAAGTTTTAGTCCCATCTAAACAGGGTCTAATAGGTTCTGTTTCGAATGTAGATTTTTTTTCCAAATCTCATAGGAGTCAAATGGATTCATGCGAAATGGCAAAAATTATTCCTGGTGATGTTATAAATTGATTTCTCTATAGACAAATAGGGAATGCCAGATTGAGGTTCCATGTTCTATCTGTGGACCTGGGGTTGGATGAATATGGAGAAATTGTAGATGAAAGGAAACATGACCTTATAATTTCATGAGTATATATAAGCTAGATTCTTACAAATTCCAGAGTACGCCTATGTGGAGTAGGCTGACCTTTGTGCATGTTTTCGTGCGCTGAATCATGCTTGAGCGCTAATTTAACTGAACTTATAGTGGCCTTCATTATCATGATTTATGAGGTAGCAGTTAAGGCACAACTGCACAAGATGACCTTTAGCATTACTGGAACAGTTGGATCATATATCAAGGCACTTGGGGAATTCCTGATTAGAACTCCATCATTATGACTCAAAAATATAAAAAAAAATATGTGAACAGTGAACATGCTCTCTCAATTGCTAGTGATAGAAAAATATGTTTTATCCTTGGTCCTTGCTGATATGATTCACCTAATGCAGTTCCTCAAAGCCTTTTTTGAGCTACCCTGCAAATTAGTTCCAATATCCTTGCTGGTGTGATTCACCTCATAAGCATTTTTTTTGGGCTTTTAGCAACCTTGCAAATTAATTCACATGCTATGTTAGTTCTTGTATATCTTATTTGTATTGCTAACAATTGTTGTGTGCTGTTTTCCTCAGTCGATTCTTGCAGTGTAGAGGACCATTTGCTAAGAGGAGACATCCCCTTGTTGATACTACAGTAGTTACTGACATTCGGAGATGCTTAGAGGAAGGCACTGTGTTCCAGGGCGATCTGCTGAACTTTAGGAAAGATGGTTCTCCATTCATGGCAAAGCTCCAGTTAACACCCATTTATGGAGATGACGAAACAATAACCCACTATATGGGCATGCAGTTCTTCAATGACTCTAATGTTGATTTGGGGCCATTGTCTGTCTCTACAACAAAGGAGATTGTGAGATCTACTTTGATTACACCAGATAACACCATCCGACCAAGTCCAATGGGGAAGGGCTTCTGCTCAGAGCATTCTGATCTTTTCCTATTGAGTGATGAGGTACTTTGCCAGAAGATCCTATCAAGATTATCGCCCAGGGATATAGCATCTGTAAACTCTGTATGTAAACGGCTGTACCACTTAACAAGGAATGACGACCTTTGGAGAATGGTTTGTCAGAATGCATGGGGCAGTGAAGCAACTCAAGTTCTTGAGACTGTGGCTGGAACAAGAAGTTTGGCATGGGGGCGGTTAGCAAGAGAGTTGACCACCCTGGAAGCTGTCACCTGGAGGAAATTGACTGTTGGGGGTGCAGTGGAGCCTTCTCGCTGCAACTTCAGCGCTTGTGCGGCAGGGAACCGTGTTGTCCTTTTTGGAGGGGAAGGTGTTAACATGCAGCCAATGAATGATACATTTGTGCTTGATTTGAATGCCAGCAAGCCAGAATGGAGGCACATCAATGTGAGATCGGCTCCTCCTGGGCGCTGGGGTCATACCCTTTCTTGCCTAAATGGATCACGGTTGGTTTTGTTTGGTGGTTGTGGAAGGCAGGGCCTGCTCAATGATGTGTTCATGTTGGATTTGGATGCACAGCAACCAACTTGGCGTGAGATTCCTGGCCTTGCACCACCAGTTCCACGGTCATGGCATAGTTCTTGCACATTGGATGGAACAAAATTGGTGGTATCTGGTGGCTGTGCTGATTCTGGTGTGCTTCTCAGTGACACGTATCTTTTGGATGTAACAATGGAAAGACCTGTTTGGAGGGAGATACCTGCATCTTGGACTCCACCTTGTAGATTGGGGCACTCGCTCTCTGTCTACGATGGCAGGAAAATCCTGATGTTTGGTGGTCTTGCTAAAAGCGGTCCTCTACGACTAAGGTCTAATGATGTGTTCACATTGGATTTAAGTGAAAATAAGCCATGCTGGCGGTGTATCACCGGCAGTGGAATGCCAGGAGCCAGTAATCCAGCTGGAGTTGGTCCACCCCCTCGCCTTGACCATGTCGCTGTGAGCCTTCCTGGAGGGAGAATTTTGATATTTGGTGGATCAGTGGCAGGTCTTCACTCCGCTTCAAAGCTTTACCTGCTGGATCCGACTGAAGAGAAGCCTACCTGGAGGATACTGAATGTTCCTGGCCGCCCTCCGCGATTTGCCTGGGGCCACAGTACCTGTGTTGTGGGAGGTACAAAGGCGATAGTTCTTGGAGGACAAACTGGAGAGGAGTGGACACTAACTGAACTGCATGAGCTTTCTCTGGTAAGCTCTTTAGTCTGAGGATGGAAGTCAAGTCCCCAGCAGGCTTCCAGCTTCATTGAAGTGATGATGTATACAGAGAGAAGCTATTGTTTTCATTTGACCGAAGCCTGGACATTTTCACCGTTGAAGCCACACAGAAACACAATTGAAATGTGCAAGCAAAGTGAGTTATTCTCCTTGGAAGGGTAGTTTGTGTTTGGTTGGAAAGAGATGATGACTAGTCTCAAGTAGTAGATCCACTTATCTGGTTACTCACCGCTTCTCTGCGTCGCTATTTGTTTGGCCTACTACAAAATAATAGATAATAATTATCACCCATAACCTAATAATTATCTGTTTGTTCTCATCAGATGTTTCCTACACTCAACCAAAAGGATCTGGAATTGTATAGTTGGAAGCTCTGATGCAATGCAACAAGCATGCTCTTCAAAGGCCAAAATGATAGTGATGATGCTGTACTGATCCAATATTTCTGATAAATTGTTCGATCTTTTGTTGAACATGCAAAACTGTTCGATTAGTTGTACACCATTTTTTTTTCTCTGGCAATACATTTAGTGTCAATTACCAAAGGACACCATATCTGCAGAAATCACCCCCCCCCCCCTCTTTCTCTCTCCTCTCTCACATGTGTTGTATGTTTAATCTTTAAACATTGTGATGACAATGTCTGTTCACATAGACCACACGGTTATACTTTTGTAACTTTGATTGTAGCTGAAAGCACCTGGATTGATCATTGGAAAACATGGAGATTTTGCTTCCATACAAACATCTGTCTTTTGCAGCAATTAAACATTAATATGCCAATGTTTATGGAGATTTTGCTGATATCCTGAAATGTCAACATATGTTCACATGTTTTTGGGTCTTAATTTTCCTTACCTATGATTGACAAAGACGGTAAGAACTAAATAAAGATTAAGATGCACATCCTGAACAAGGCAGGCATCTTAAAGCCATTGACGCAACCCTAATGGAAGTCAACCAGAATCAAGTAGATAAGCCAAAGAAGCAACCAGCATTCTGACAACATTAGCAGTTCTTATCCTGCACGAAAAAGCTCTGAAAACCCAGCAAAACAACGGTTAGATGATTTAGCACGAATGCTTTCTGCCATTCGCGAGAAGAACAGCCTAAGCAACAAGCAACATTTTAACTAATCAAAATCATTTACAAATCTCAGCACACTCCAACACGAAATCTTCTCTACAAAACCAGCATCAGAAGCAAAGCGTCAATCAGGCTGTTCCTGTCATGCGTATGCTTCTCACAATCCAACACACTTGTGTCACCATGTGAAACATCAGCAAAATTCTGAATTTTCCGACAATTATCGTGTTAGAGAGATAGCAGAGAGAACAAATTGACTTGGCAAATTTGTGAGCTTTTCCTGTAAAAGTTTGGTGTATTTCCAGAGAAACATTTTTAAGATAAAATGGATTCCCGGAGAGAAACCTTGGATCAACATTGCTATAGGGTAGTGGTTACATATTTACATAGGAACCTAAGATGTTGAAACCTGCTGTAAATGAACAACAATGAAGGGTTTGCTGCTATCTTATATGCACACCAAATTTGGGCTGGGATAGCATCTTCCAGATTTTTGAGAGAACAAGAAAAAGAGGCGGGTAGAGGCACAATATTCTGGTTGTGGCTGCACTGCATTACATTTCAGCTGGCTGGTTCATCCTAGTAGTATGAACGTCTGCGTCCATATCTAGGATCCCTGCAAAGATCAATAATAGTAGAAGGCGCATCAGAAAGTGTCGAGCTCAAACAAGAGTTGTGTTAATTGTGCTGGCTTTTCAAAGTACACACTCAAGACTTCTCTCAAGAGTTGAAAATAGAGTTTTCCTAGTGATTGTCTCATGCCCTATGCCTATTTTCCTAGTGAGAAAATAAACTTTTTCTCAAGGAAGAATGTCAAACAAAACTCTGCCTATTTTCGCATCTTATCATTTGGTGTCGACATGCGTATTCATGCGTTCATATCAGCTTTCGGCTACGGTCAAGTCTTTTGAGAGCTGAAGTGTATGTCCTTTTGGCAATATAACCTCTTAATAGCAACAGAAAGCAAGAAAAATAAAATTATATGCACACACCTGTAATGACTGGCGATCCTCCTGGATGCTGCAATGCCGGGCATTGCTCCTGTAACTATATATTCATCATCTATTTCATCAAATCTGATTTCCCTTATGTCAACAGATCCCGAGGGCACCTCAATAGTAAAGCTTTCTTGGCTAGACCTATTGCTGCTCCTCCTTCCACTACTTCTCCTTTCCCTTGCTCTTGCTCTACTTCTGCCTCCTGAAGATCTGCAGAATGACTTACAGAAAATACAGGATGTCCACCAGTTCCCCCTAACCCTGTGGTAAACTTCATAGTCATCTCCGGCATCATCATCACCGTACTCGATGACATAGTCTCCCAAAACTATACCATTAGGCACCTGTGCATGTATCGTGCTCAAGACATCTATGATATCTGAAGACTGTTGGAAATTCTCCCAATCAACTCTCCGAGCAGGATCAATTTCTGACGGGCGTGAATTTGGATGCTTCTGCTGGGTGTGCTTCTGAAGCTCATGAAAGTTGCCCACATATGAACAACAGCTTTCTTCGCAGCATCTTTTCTTTTGGTTAAGATGCAGACGGGCCTCGTCAATAACAACCCACCCAATAACATCGCCTCTACACAACGGGCAAGCTGGGCGGTCAGTTGTATTTGACGAAATGATATGAATGCTATCAAGAGGGGCTCCATTAAAAGATGGGACTTTCATATTGGTCGGCAGTCCATGAGCACCTTTGAACCGCTCAAGACAGTTCGAACGGGATTGGTCAGTGTCGCATATGAACGGCCTACAACCCTTCTCATATGAGGTGCACCTCAATAGGACAGCATTATGAGGAAAATCCAGACAGATTGGACAAGTGATATCCTCCATCCAACTTTTATCAAGTTTGGCATCCAAATCGAAAGAACCGGCCTTCACCACCTTCTTCTTCACCATTCCTGAACCCATACTGAACTTCCAAGATGCAGGTCTGATGCTACCGAGAGTATCTTCTAACGAAAACCTGCATACCACAATCAACAAATCGATTTAGGCTCATAGTACCATAAGTTAGATCACATCATACAGATTTTCCGTAAGCAAGTAAAGCAACAAGACTTTGGCATTCCCATCATTATAAAGAAAAAAAATCATCATGAGCTTAAGAACTAAGACATTAGTACATTACAACCTTTCCAGATCAGCAAAGTTAAGGAAAAATAGATACAGTTCCAATTAATTGTCCTCGCATCTAGTGTCCTACTTGAACAAGTAATGATCAGCTATTGTTGTCAAGTGAACAGGTCTTAGTTTGCAGCACAAAATGATGCAAAATCACATCAATGTCAACTAGCTTCCTAACACTTTCATATCATGTGCTTAAGAAGTACCCTTGAGAGGTACCGCTTTAATAGAGCAATCAAGCACAGTCAAAATTCAATGAAGGAAAACAAAGCCATCCCATGAGTACAAATTTATCAACCTTTTTCTGATTTCACCTCAATTCCAAAAACACTACTGCTTTATCCAATTGCAAACACAACAACACACAGTTTTCACCTAAACAACAACAGCAAAGAATCTTCATAAGGCATGATTAATCAGGTGTAGCAGTAATAATCAGGTTTGTTTCTTGATCCTAAACCATAGCTGGAACGAATTTGGGTGGCCTAAACTAATCAAAATCGGCGCCGAAAGCTAGAAACCAACCAAAACCCAAAGACTGAACACATCCAAATCCAGCACATAAACACAAACAAACAAAAAATAAAAACAAATCAGCACAGAATCACCTCCCCCTCTCACACCACATGTCCCCAAACCTTTTAAATTAAAGCTGAGCAAAGAACTAAACTAAAGAAGAAGAGAGACAACTCTGAAGCAAAGCACATCACATGCTGCACCACAACCCAAAAAACAAAAAAGAGGAATCACTCCGAATCAACCCCCTCCAACACAAGAACAACTCACAGATCGGCTCAGACCCGCAGAACCCATCACCACAAAACCGCACAGGAAATCATCAAATCAAAACAACAACCAAGAAAACGAAAAGAAAGAATCACATCAACAAGAAGAGAAGAGAGACGCACCGCAGCAGCAGCAGCAGCAGCGACCTCGGGGGTAGGTGGGTGGCGCCGTGGCGGAGAGAAGAGAAGAGAAGAGAGGAGAGGAGAGGAGAGATGACGAAGAGGAGACAAGCCTACTACTACTACTACCCTAGAGATGGGACCTAGACGCCTACTACTCGCCCTCCTCTCCTCTCCTCACCTCACCACTTCTCCGCCTCTCTTTCTCTCGAGCTCATGCGCTCGCTTCCGCCTCCTGAGCTGCTAGTTTATTCTTTCTTCTTCTTCTTCTATTGGGATTGTACTACCACCACCACCACCACTACTCGCCGTGGTACGAGTATAAAAAATTCCAGCTTTTTTTCCTCGCTGCCGTGAGCAAAGCGGATAAAAAACCGAACTTTTTTTTTCTTTGTGGGTGTTTCTTTGGATGTTTGGGAATTGGGATGAGAGAGAGAGAGAAAACTCGCGATCGGCGGTGGAGAGAGAAAGATGAAGCAGCACTACTACTGACTCGGCTCCAAAGTTAACGTCCAGTACTCTCTCTCTCTCTCTCTTCCTCCTCTTTTCATCTTGTCCTTTTCAACGCTTTAATTGTCTTCTCTTTTTTTTTTTGCCTTGTGATGATTCCAAAAGAAAAGAAACTCCATTTTGTTTTAATTTATGAAATATTTTCAAATATCCCCTTACAGGATGGAGTAATTTATCCAAAAATTGCAGAAATTTATGTAGTTCTATATGAAGTTTACAAACTGTTATCTTCGTTTTAGAATGTAAGGATTTTTAGAATTTAATTTGTATACCATAATATAAGCATTTTAGCATTGATTCTTGTGAATTTCATTATTTCAATAGTCCCATAGCCAATAGGAAAAATAATCTAAGCAATTTAAAAATTAAAAATTGATAATTGAAAGGTTTAAAATAATCTTTTGATCCAACCTTAGTCCTTAGGAAACAATCTAAAATATGAATATATTTAGGGAAAGATAAAGTAGAAAATAGGGGTTTGAATTGGAATGGAATTATGGAGGATTCCCTGGTTTCATGGCTGGTGAGGTTGGTGATTCAACGTCCCTTTAAATTGTTGATAACATTTCAACTACCGGAGACAAAACATTCATTTATCATAACACAGTGTACGATTACGCAGTAGTAAAAAGTATAGTAGTAGTATTGATTATGCATGTGTTAGATGGTATTCGCTGCAGTACTACGTCAGAATTTACATATATATATATATATAATTCGGCAGATGAACACATCAGGTTTCAGATCAACAAAACAAGGAAAGAAGAAAAAAAACACAAGTACTATCACTTAAGAGTTGTGCAAATGATTAGTTTCTGCTACTTAACTAAACCAAAATGGCACTATTTAATTCGTCTCGTGGCTTCCACTCAGATTTGTTTAAATGCGGAGGTCAAGATGATTGTCTCCCATTGGATGGGCATTTACATTAATTAATTAACACAAAATACTATTCAATCCACAAATATATACTTGTCGTATTAATAACGACATAGACTTCTGAGTGACATTTCACTAGTCTCGATTGTTTTTTTTTTGAAAGAACCATTAAAATATCATATCGTGTATATACTTTTCTGGATAAGTCCTCATATATTTTTTTGTGGATGCAATCTAAATAATTTCAAAAAAAATGTTTATGCCAAAGTTATGATAGGAAGTATGCATAAAGCAACTAGTATTTGTGACCAGAAAGAATATGCATCTGGCTACCTGATCTTTCAATGGAATTTCTTATAGTTTGAGCACGAAATTGGTACAAATATATCAATATTAGAGCCACTTGAGCGGTTTTGTCAAAAAAAGAATTAGTCACTTAAGTAAAATTCCCAACTTCCTTCCAGAAATGCACTGTAGTATTTATTGTGTGCGTTGTGATGCTTTTTTTTTTCCCTTCTAGAAAGTAGATGCAACGACATGCACTTTCGGTAACCTGGGTCATTAGCCCCACATTTTCTTTTCTTTCAGTTAAATTGTAATGTGCCATAAAGACAAAGAATAAAAAAAGGTAAAGAAAAGGAAAGTTAATTAAAAAAGGACGGTTGGCTTGTGTGGAAAGAGTAAAAAATATGTCAGCACAGCAGATTGAGGCACTGTTTGTTTAGGCTTATAAGCAACTTATAAGTCAAAAAGTCTAAGCCAAAACAAAACAATCAGCTTTTTTATTTGGCTTTTTTGAAACCATAAGCCACTCTAACACTATTAAGCCAAAAGTTAGGTTGGAGAAGTTTTTTTTGGCTTGTATAAGATAGATGTATGACTCCACCACTAAACTTAGAACATTAAATTCACTGGCTTATAAATTATATAAGCCAATAAGCTAACTTAAAAGTCTAGATCAATAAGCCTAAACGTAAATAAAGAGGGCTTGATTATTGCAAGGCTAAGCAAAAGCTTAACAGACGGGTTGTTTATTGCATCTACTGCGATATGATCTTCACAAGTGGTGAATTTTTTTCAGTCTAGTTTAGTAGCTATCTAATGCTTCTCTGCATTTTGAAAAAAGTAAAATCATGTGCAGTTTAATCCTTTGGCTTATTAAAAAATAATTTATGAGCAATCATTAGTGATTTAAAAACCAATGCTACAAAATAAACTTAGATAAAAAAAACCTTTAAATCAAAATTAAAATTAAGTTTTAAAATTTAAATTTTAACTGCGGTTGATAAGCTAAACGGAAAGGATGGTCCTCGGGTTAGATTCAGTTTGGTGTCCATCCAATTAACCTGATGCAGCTTAAATCAACATTTAGTAATTTTGTGAAAAGAAAATGTGTTCCTACATAAGTAAATTTAAATTACAGTTAGTTTACTGCACTCATGTGAGCAATTAACAAAATGTATAAATGCACGTTTTTTAAGTTGACAAAATGTGCATTCATAGTTGTCACGTGACACACGCATGGGGCCGGGGTGTTTTGAGTTTTGACCCATGCATGTAAGCCTTGCGCCATTAATTGCGAGTGCATGATTAGCTCTTCCAACCATTTTTTTTAATTTTCTCAGGAATCAACGGAAGGAAAGAGCAAAAATCAAAAAGGATTTTTCCTTGTTTAGTTCTAATTTCTTGTTTCTATTTTCCATTTCAGTTGTTCATGAATTATAATTATAATAAAATATGTACACACAGTGCTTCCTCTCATATTATTTTAATTATGATTCCCAATGTATTAAAAATATTAATTATTTTGGCTTATCAATTGATTAGTTAAACTAGCCTTTCTCATCCAGATTCAATTATATTTGTGTGGTTCTGTTTTAAAAACTGCACACCTCATAAAGATAGGAGATCACCATCATCGTTTGGCTGGCACCGGCAGTGTACGTGCCGACGTGTTGTCTTGAATCACAAATAATTAAAGATTTAAACTGATTTCATCAATTAATCATTTACTAATTTAATTTCAGACCATGCCAAGGTTGGTACACGTCCACCGATCAATCAACCCAACCCAGAGAGATCGAGCTTACACGTTTCTCGAACACGCACGCGTGCACACACGTGTCAAGCATGCCTAATTGTATGCGGTAGAAAATTGTTTTTTTTTTGGGTGTGCAGATAAAGATTTTCTTTCTGACAGTTCATATAGGAAAGTGAAGGATTTTTCTGGTTAAGTATATAGGATGTTGTTAGATTCAGATTAGGAGATGGCAAATGCGAAACATAATTGTTAACATCACTAGTAGTATCATGCAACTGATTAATTGCATGTTTGTAAATTTAATGTTGCCTGTTGCGTGCAAGGAATGGATTGGAAAGGAGATTACTCCAAGATTTGATGTTAATTTGATTATGGAGTACTAGTATGTCATTAGCAAGATCATAAAGAAGAGACACCTCTAATTAATCCTCTTTGTATGCTTAATAGTACTGCATGCACAATGCCATACAATCATTAAATAGACGGTTCAGAGCAAGAAAAAGGAACATATATACGAATCCAGAACACAATTACTGATTGATATTTATCAATTGAGGTGGCAGATCTGATCAAAACCTTAGAAATAGTTTAACAAAGATATTACTTAAATGTGCTGCTTACATACTCTGGATTTTTCTTTGCATAGGCTCATATTTAATATCGAACAAAATCCTCCGGTGGGATTGGTTTAACGTGGGTGCTAATGGGGAAGCTACCCTGCTGGATCACATTGATAAAAGAAGAGAGGCGAAAAAACAAAGAGAGGAAGAGGAGAAATGACTCGAGAGGAAGAAGAAGATGATTCCCTATAATGGTTTTTTTTTTATCCGTCCCTACTCCTCGCACCTTAAAAATATTTTTGGAGGAGGGAACGTAAAATCCTCTAGCCGGTAAAAAAACAAATTATAAAACGTTTTCTATGTAATTGCTAAAAATCCTTAAGATTCGTACTCCCTCTTTTATATTACACAAAGTTGTTTTTTTAAGTTAAACTTTTGATAAGATTGTAGAAAAAAATAGCATCATTCTCAATACAAAACAAATACATTATAAAAATGTATTCACTAATGATTTAATAAAATTAATTTAGTGTTGTTTCTATAAATTTAGTCAAATACTAATGAAATAACTTAAGACAAACCTAAAGCATCTTGTAATATAGAATGGTGGGAGCAATATAAATTAAAATATTTTACAGGAATTTCATAGAAACCCATTTCTTCGTTCTGAAAGATCTGTTCCATTTCTCCTTGTTGCATCAGTAACTCCAAACCAGGTCATTAGTTACAGCGTCTGCCAAGAGACGTCGGTGCCTCCATCTCGGCCCAGCCCAATAGCCCATGTCATAGTCATTCTCTTAAATGGGCCTGAAATTTATCCGGCCCATATCCATAAATGGGCTGAAATCTCAGCCCGGCCCGAAGTAGGCCTCAGTACGATTTTTCCAAGACGAGCAACGAAAAAAAAAAGAAAATTCACGCTTTTACCACCACCATCTCCGGCGATCCGGAGCAGGGGCGATGGCGGCGCGGGGCTGAGCTCCAGCGGCTTCTCCGGCTCGGAGGCGCGGGTGCCCCCCCAGAGACAGTCTCCACCACTCTCTCTCTCTCTCTCTCTCTCTCTCTCTCTCTCCTACAGTTGGTGGCGCGCGAATGGCTTGCCGCCTGCTTCTCCGCCGCTGCCTCTCAGCCGCGGCCGCCTCGTCGGCGGCGGCGCGGTTCGCCGTGAGGCACGCCCACGGGGAGCTTGAAGTGAGCGGATGCAGCGCCCGCATCCGCGATCTCGGCCGCCTCGGCCGCGTGGGGGAGGCCAGGGAGGTGTTCGACGCGATGCCGCGCCGGGACATCATCGCCTGGAACTCCATGATCTCTGCCTACTGCCACAACGGGATGCCCGACGCCGCGAGGGACCTCTACGACGCCATCTCCGGCGGGAACATGCGCACGGGCGCCATCCTCCTGTCGGGCTACGGCCGCCTCGGCCGCGTGCTCGAGGCTCGCAGGGTGTTCGATGGAATGCTCGAGCGGAACACCGTGGCGTGGAACGCCATGATCAGCTGCTATGTCCAGAACGGGGATATCACTATGGCACGAAGGCTGTTCGATGCAATGCCGAGCAGAGATGTCTCATCATGGAACTCGATGCTTACTGGGTATTGCCACAGTCTACAGATGGTGGATGCAAGGAATCTGTTTGAGAAAATGCCAGAGCGCAATTTGGTTTCGTGGACAGTAATGATTTCTGGGTACGGTCGAATCGAGAACCATGGGAAGGCTTGGGACATCTTCTGTAAGATGCACCGTGAAGGACTGCTACCAGACCAGTCCAATTTTGCCTCTGCGCTCTCAGCAGTTAAGGGTCTTGGAAACCTTGATGTTCTAGAGAGCCTCCGTGTTCTTGCCCTCAAGACAGGCTTTGAGAGGGATGTGGTCATCGGCACAGCAATACTAAATGTGTATTCAAGGGACACGAGTGTGCTTGACACTGCAATAAAATTCTTTGAGAGTATGATTGAAAGGAATGAGTACACATGGTCAACCATGATTGCAGCTTTATCTCATGGAGGCCGAATAGATGCTGCTATTGCTGTCTATGAAAGAGACCCTGTAAAATCAATTGCTTGTCGGACTGCACTTATCACAGGCCTTGCTCAATGTGGTAGGATTGATGATGCACGGATTTTATTTGAACAGATTCCAGAACCTATTGTTGTGTCCTGGAACGCCCTGATTACTGGGTACATGCAGAATGGAATGGTTAATGAGGCAAAGGAGTTGTTTGATAAGATGCCTTTTCGGAACACAATATCTTGGGCTGGGATGATTGCGGGGTATGCACAAAATGGGAGAAGTGAAGAAGCTCTGGGTTTACTTCAAGAGCTCCATAGGAGTGGGATGTTGCCTAGCCTATCTAGTTTGACTAGTATCTTCTTTGCTTGTTCAAATATTGTGGCACTTGAGACAGGAACACAAGTGCATTCCCTTGCAGTAAAGGTTGGTTGCCAGTTCAATAGCTTTGCATGTAATGCACTCATTACTATGTATGGCAAGTGCAGAAACATGGAGTACGCAAGACAAGTATTCAGCCGAATGGTAACTAAGGATATTGTGTCATGGAACTCTTTCCTTGCTGCACTTGTGCAGAATGATCTGTTGGATGAGGCCAGAAACACATTTGACAATATGCTCAGTCGGGACGATGTTTCTTGGACTACCATAATATCTGCGTATGCACATGCTGAGCAATCCAATGAGGCCATGGGGGCTTTCAAAACAATGTTTTGTGAACATGAGTTACCCAACTCACCAATTTTAACTATACTTCTTGGTGTATGTGGGAGTCTAGGTGCTTCTAAGATTGGGCAGCAAATCCACACTGTAGCTATTAAACTTGGAATGGATTCAGAACTTATAGTAGCCAATGCTCTCATATCAATGTATTTCAAGTGTGGCTGTGCAGATTCTCGTAGGATTTTTGATCTAATGGAGGAGCGAGATATTTTTACATGGAATACCATCATTACGGGTTATGCACAACATGGGCTTGGAAGAGAAGCCATCAAGATGTATCAACATATGGAATCTGCTGGGGTGTTACCGAATGAGGTTACCTTTGTGGGGCTTTTAAATGCATGCAGCCACGCTGGTTTGGTAGATGAAGGATGGAAGTTTTTCAAGTCAATGAGCCAAGATTATGGACTAACTCCTCTGCCGGAACACTATGCTTGCATGGTTGACCTGCTTGGGCGAACAGGTGATGTGCAAGGAGCGGAACAATTTATTTATGATATGCCCATTGAGCCAGATACAGTGATTTGGAGTGCTCTTCTTGGGGCATGCAAGATTCACAAGAATGCAGAAATTGGTAAAAGAGCTGCTGAGAAACTCTTCAGAATTGAGCCATCGAATGCTGGCAACTATGTTATGTTGTCAAATATATATTCTTCCCTAGGGATGTGGGGTGAAGTTGCAGAGGTACGAAAAATTATGAAGCAACAAGGTGTGATAAAAGAGCCTGGTTGCAGCTGGACACAGATAAAAGACAAAATGCACTCCTTTGTCACTGGCGATAAGCAGCATGAGCAGATTGAAGAGATAGTTGCTACCCTCGAAGAACTGTACACTTTGTTAAAGGCTACAGGCTATGTGCCTGACACAGAATTTGTTCTCCATGACATTGATGAAGAGCAGAAGGAGAGCTCCCTTTTGTACCACAGTGAGAAGCTTGCTGTTGCTTATTGCCTTCTTGCTACACCTAAGGGCATGCCTATACAGATACTGAAGAACCTTAGAATATGTGGTGACTGTCATACTTTTATCAAGTTTGTATCTCATGTCACCAAGAGACAAATTGACATTAGGGATGGAAATCGGTTCCATCATTTTAGGAACGGTAGCTGCTCCTGTGAAGATTTTTGGTGATATATTTTGACTTCAGATGTGATATTGGCATATTGCCACTTCAGATGTTTTTATTGAGTTGTAGAATACAGAGCAGATTGCATTTTGGGTGCAATGTTCAAATGGTGAACAGTTCGCCATGAGCCCTGGTATTCCTGCCATTGCCATTCTCCACGTCACAACATGAATCGACACCTGGTGAGTGCCTAACATATTTGGCTATCTAGTTTGCTTTTCAGGTAGTGAATCTCTCTTGAACAGACAACTTTTAAATCAAGGTCCAATGAAATGTTAATTTATGTTGGCACTGTGATGTTTTAGTCAACAGTTAATGTACTAGCAGCTATCTCTGCTACCTCTTACAGGTGGCTCAGAAGAACAGCCAGCTAATAGCTCACCTTGTATGAGATATACTCATCATAGGGTAGGATATTTGGTCACTAACTTTACTTGTTGAAATACATCAACCGACAAAAACATTTGTTGGTGACTCTGAACCTTGTTCGGTCTATTTTGAGTCAGATGAAATGAAAGCATGCATTGTAACTTCTGGAGACCTTTGCCTGGAGCCTAACACTCGTCAGAGTTTGTGGCTTTTCAGACATGTACTACGCCAATAGATTCCTGGGATACAGGTTTGTGCTCGCTTCTAAAATGGCAATGTGTTACACTGATAAATACTAGGTTAATGCTACAATTGAATTTTTCAGACGTATTAAATCTTTTTTTCCTCTAAAATTATTATCTTTTGTTCAAAAAGGATGTCCAACTTACTTAAGGTTTTATATTATTTTCAGAGCTTATCAAGAATTTCATCTTAAAAGAACTAATATGCATGCTGACCGTATATGTGTTGTTCTTACCACGATTCCAGATCTTCTCTCATGACATGTGACTACTAATGATATAAGGGATACACTGAGATGGTTACGGTGAAAAAAAGAAAAAGAAAATGTTGACAACATTCAGGATCGTAGAGTTAATCAGGTAATGATGATTGTTTAAGTTGTACCATTGTGATATACAGCTGTTTTGATTGCGCATGGACTTGTATGCTTGTACAGTTGTACACCATGTCAGATCAGAGCTGTAGGAGATTTGAACACGAGATTGCAGAGTCATATGGTGCAGGCCAATGAGTGGATGAAGACCCCGACAAATGATAAGTATGTTTCAGAATTTCCTTTGTCATTGAAGATACTGAGTTGATGTAGGTTGTCACAGCCTCACAGGGGAGTTGGTTTGTGATAGTGTTGTAATTTGTGAGCTGGTATACCCAGCATTTTCTTTTTGGTTTTGTAAGATCACAAAACCTATATTTTGCTTCCAGTTAAGCAAGAGCATGACTTTTATTAAAAAAAAACAGAGAGAGAGAGGAAGCGATGGAAGGGTGTTGACTGCGTGTGTTGGTACATCCAGGTATTATAGACAAGTTTGCATGCTTAGAATTAGTTGATAGGTGAGTTGTTATATATAGGATAAAATTGCTGAGTTGACAATTTTAAGCAGATGCATCAGTCCTGCGTTTGTTTAAATGTTGTTGACAGTTGCGTGCACGGGATGAATGAATTAGAAGCTTACTCAAAGGTTTGATGTTTAATTGGATTGCGTACTGCATCAAGCAATTTACACAAGGACAGCCTCTAATTAATATATCTTACACCAAAAACTTCAAAATCCGGACACCATCACCACATCAAGCGAAATGGATGGTCATAGAAAGTAGAAACAAAGAAAAGAAAAAGAAAATGAACTGGAGCAAATGAAAGTTTCATTTCAAGTTTCACAACTACAACTACGAAATCGACACAAACCTAAGTTTTTTTTGAAGATAAACAGTAGAAAATTTATATATGTAAGATCGAACCTCCATTTCGCATGTAAGATGGAAGCTGTCATCTTACTGCAGGCCCAGGAGAAACTCTTGATATCTCCCCAGATTGCTCTTCTACCTCAAGTGCAGTCTCCTCTCCAAGATTGCTCACGCTCACGTCATCATCACCAGTCACCAAGTGCTTCCTATCGCCATGGCTCTCGAGCTCCAAGCTCTCCTTAAGCTGTGCCACCACCTCTGTCATCGTAGGCCGCTCCCTGGAGACCTCTCGCTTGCAATGCAGCGCCAAGTCAGCGACTTTCCAGACCGAGTTGATGTCGTAGCCTCCCCCTCCTCCCATCCTTGCATCCACAATGCTCTCGATGCTGCCGTGGTCGAGGCTCTGATGCACAAACTCACCAATGTGGATGCTCACGCTCTCGTCGATGGGGATGACGGGAGGGCGGCCTGTGATCAGCTCCAGGAGGACGACACCGAAGCTGTACACGTCGCTCTTCTCGCTGATATGATAATTGCGGTAGTACCTGAACAAGATGGGCAGAATATGACATGGAAGTTCAGTTACTTGGTAGAACTGAAGATATTTCATTTTGAAAGAAAAACAATGCGATTGTTCACGCGCAATATTGAAAAGGAAAGTTCAGTATACGAGAGTTAGAGGAGTTACTCAGGATCCAAGTAGCCGAATGTACCAGCTGGTTCAGTGGTCATATGTGTTCTCGATTCACTGAATACCTTGGTCAGTCCAAAATCAGCGATCTTAGCTCCAAGATTTGTGGTCAAGAGGATGTTCCTACTCTTCACGTCCCTGTGAATCAGTGCTGGCTTACACGCGACATGCAGATACTCCAATCCTGAGATACACAGATATTAAACTTTTATTAGGTAATAAACTAATAATGCGCGGGTATGAATGAAATATCAGAAAACTAATAGTAGTATTTTGCCGGGTGAAAATTAATAGTAGTAGCTAGTTAAGTTTTAACCTTGTGCAGCATCAAGGGCGATGTGAAGACGCTGCTCCCAAGTGAGTGGCTTATTAGTAGTAGCTTCACATATCAACAGAAAATGAACATAATCAGTTTATTGCAGATTTTGGAGAAATCCATGGAAATGATACTTTCTAATATATCTATGTGGTTTTCATTTAGCAACCGTGGCTGTTCTTGTGTCTTTGCAATTCTCCTTTGAGAAAAATGTAGGATTACTCTATAATCTGATTCTAAAGATATAACAGACAGCTAATCTCCCTCCATTCAGGCCTCAGAACAACTTATGTTCGTATAATTGTATTTATATTAGCCATTAACAGTATTTTCATGATAAACCAACTTTATCTTTTACTAGCATGACACAAACAAAGGGTCAAAGCTCTACATAAGCATCTATATTTGGATAATAAGATGGATAACCTCTCAGATGATCCTGAAGGTTCCCTTCCGGCATGTACTCATACACAAGGGCCAAATGATTTTTGTCCTTGCAATAACCAATCAAGGAAACCAAATTCTTGTGATGAATCCTTGTCAAATGTTGGGCCTGAAATATAAAATTCAGAAAATTCAAGCATAGCAGATATGAGAGTGATTAGTAAGTAGCATAATTTATCTACAAAACCACCAAATATTGAAATTGTTCGTTCATCAGAATTCAGAAACAGATGGTTACACAGAAAAAACATGTGTAAGGAAAACAAACTGCATTTTTGACAGTATATTGTAGACAAAATGGTACGAGTTATGAAAGAGCTGTGATACATACAACTTCTCCAAATTAAAAATTACTAATACCTCAGCTAGAAACTCTTTACCCCCCTGTGAAGATGACTCGGATCGCACTTTCACAGCAACTGGGTTACCATTTTCCAAGTAACCAAGGAACACAGCTCCAAACCCACCCTTACCAACCTGCTGGCTAAAGTTATTCGTAATATGCTTCAGTTCTCTGTAAGAGAATTCTCTGTTCTCAAGTAATGCTGATTCATATGTAGGACCAGCAGCTCTTCTCTTGTCTGACATGTCAGTAACACATTTTAGCAAATATCAGGAACATAGTTAAATGCAAGAAATGCTATTGTTAGAACAAGGCAAGAAAAACAGCAAACAATCTGTAATGCACTAAGCAGATATCTCCTACTGTCCTCCTGACTTTATTACCTTTTGCCTTGAGCATTCGGCGCAGAAGAAGAAATAAGACAACAATTAGTGCAACAGTGGCAACTATTGTAATAATTATTGCAGAAAGAAGTGACCCTTTAATTTTCTTTTGACCTGATCCGCATTCAGTATCGTTGCCACATAGTTTTGCATTATAACCAACCCTGACAGTATCAAAAGAAAGCAGTGATTGTCATTAGGAATATGCTTCCATGGTATTCAAAATGAAGAGAGTATGCTCAATTGAAAAGGCTATAGAAGAAAACTTTTTCTCTATATACGTAAATCAGATCTAACTATTAACTAGGTTAATACTGAACCTTTTTAGAGTTCCTTCAACAACAAATTGTCCAGGAAAAAAACTAAAGTACCCTTAAAATTATTGGGAAAGAGTAAATTGATATCTGAAATCTTTCCATGCTTTCCTACTACATTTGAGAAAGTGAAGCATGACCATGGATTTTCTTTTACTGCTTCATTGCCAAAAATATTATACTAAAAGTAATTCAAATAAACTGAACTATTGAAGAACATAGAAAGCCAAATAATAGAATAATCAAACTGAGTCACCCCCGGCCTCTGCATAAAATGCACACAGCCAAAAAAGAATAAATTTATAGAATAAATTGAAAAAATAATATATGATTTTAATTGTTAAGTACTTTCGTAATTAACTGCATCCTTCAATCACGTTGAAAGTTTAAGTAATAAAGTTATTATGGAATATTTTCTTCAAAGCATAATTTAAGTTCAGTTATCCGTGCATTCTATATTTTTGTAACATAGAACATACCTTAGTGACAAAGAACCATTTTGTGATTTTTGAAGAAGATTGTAAGGAATTGGTCCACTGAGATCATTGCTGGACAGGTCCCTACAAAGGAAAAATATCTCATGATATACCAAAAAAGAAAGACTATTATGTCAGAATTCCAAAATCAAAACAATAAAACTTACAGAAACATTAGTAACGGAAGCTGCCCTAGAAAATTTGGAATTGGTCCAGACAAGTTGTTGTGTGACAAATCCCTGGAATAAGTAACAATACTTGTGTATTATATCTAGAAAGGAATAAAGAAATTCAATGTTTCAGAAATGCTATTTATCAGACTTCATCATGACAGGATACAGAAAAATATGCAACTATTCATTGCGTGTAAACAATAAAACTTCTCTATTTCACCAGGTTAACTCTGTCAATATATATCGCCAAACAAGAGCACTATTGAAGTATCATTTCCCGACTACATGGACAAACAAGCAATTCTCTCCTTTTTTTTGTTGAAAAATATGCAGTACATACAATTCTTTCAAGAGAAATACTGTGATCTACTGTGAAGTGTGAACTCGAAAAATCCAAAAAGACAGTCCCTAAACAACCGTGTATTTTTTTAACATATTGATGAGTAATTGGGCTCCATATGTAACACTCCCAATCATCTTAGGAATATATGCCCAATGAGTCCTTAATCCTCATGTGTTGGAATTTTGCTAATAGTTTTGCAAATTCCTTGGTAAATACTAAATACACAATTCAGTTTCAACAAGAAATGAGTGTTTTATTTTTGATTAGAGCAATCACTAGTACTTCAAAAACAAAGAAATCGGGGACACTACATAATTCATTATGAAGGATTGCGGTGCATTAAAAGTTCTGTTATGAGACGTGATGGTGAGAACCTACAGGTACTGGAGTGATTTGAGATCTCCAAAATAAGTAGCAATAGATCCAGCCAACCCACTGGAAGACAAGTTTCTGTCCAAATAAAAATAATAATCAAGAACAATTAGTTCTCCTATTGAAATGTTGTAAGGTGAATACCAAAATATGCCACCTATAGCAATGGATATTCTTTATCTTTCAAACATGACCATGAAACTTACAGTGATGTTATTTTAGAGGAATCAGCTGGAGGATAGGAACAGTTTAATCCTTCCCATGCAAAAGCTTTTGGAGCACATGGATCGCCCATCCAGTTTTTCTTCACATCATAATTTTGTTGGACTTCCATCATGGCTCTAGCTGGTTTGCAAGAACAAGGAAATGATCAAGCTCATACGAAATGAACAATCAGCAAAGAAAACTTTTGAGATACTATTGCATGTCAAATGTGATAAACAAAAGCTGTAGCATTGTCAGTGTACTACCTCTTATGGTGCAAATTGCATGTGAAGTTAAAATATAATAGAATTTGATGATAATGAACATAAAATTGCGCCAGTAAATTCATACCGTCTCTAGGATCAGTTGCAAACTCAGTTAGCGGTTTCACCAAGTACATCTCCATGGCATTGAGGATAGGTGGAAGAGTTGCATTTTTCGTAGCAACAAGTGAGACACTATAACTTGCCAGCCCCTGTACGGTGCCAGACAAGGAATCGGCAAATAGGAATGGTGGAGTATAAGGTTGTGTGTTCCATGTATTGTTATTGACAATAATATCAAACTGTCTCAGCCCATTGCTCGGTACAGACTGTAACTCGGAGAAGTAGAGCACAAAGAAGTATTTGGAGCTGATGTTCACCGATGGGTCAGATGGATCCCAAGTGAAATTAATTCTCGAGCTATTAACTGTTGCTGCACTTTGCATGACAGCTGATGGTACATCATAGACATCAGTGAGGTAATTCTGAACTACTGATGTTGCAGATATCTCAGTCCAGTCTGGGATCGTATCATATGTTGACCAAAGCCGGTCGTGGGGATCAAGTGGGTATCTGTTTGGACAAAAGAAAAATTATTTGTGTGATCTAGTATACTAGTTCACTGAATTTAGTCAAAACGACCATACTATCGTTGAAAAGTAAAGCTTAAAGAAACACAATTCATGCAAGGTGTGACTAAAACTGATACATCTGCATTAGTTCATAGAGATATTTCAACAAGTCCGCAAGATACCCAGCCATCATAGGTACTCCCAAATGTTGGCAATATTTCAGTTTTTAACCAAGATGGTAAGAGAACCAACTTGGTTAGTTAAATTCAAATCAGAGTTCAGACAGAACAAAATCTAAAACTAACCTGGTTATTGAATTGTCTGTGGGTCCCATGTTGAACCGATTGGAATTGATCAGCACCAAAGATTGAGTTGTATTTGCCTCTGGGTAAAGAGTACTCTTCAGTGGCCTCAAATCAAGCCCAGATATAAACGGAGTTCCCGTCCCTTTGTTCACCAAACAGACTTGCAGGTAATCAGCAGGAGCCACAACTATGATGTCCATCCAATTAACTGCATCGGCATTACTAAACTTAACCTCATGCCAGTAGTTTGCCCCCAGGTACAGATCAAAGACAGGAAGCTTGTTCAGGCTATCGTAATTTGCATAGTAGAAGACAGCTCGAACAAAGTACTTGTTTCCCTCCTGCAAGGACCTCAGGGTGTAGCAGTTCCGTGTGCCATCTGGAAAGAATCGGACATTGTAATTGCGCTGTGCCAGTGATGGTTTAATGTATGCTGAGGAGATGTTATGGTTTGCTCCTGTGCTGATGAAACCATAGTCCGAAACATATATTATACTTGATGTGGGATCTTGATAGGACGATTTCTCTGGAATGCCGCAATCGATGCTTATGAAACCTGGATAGAAAACACCAATCCAAAATTCTCAGTAAATCCACCATGATCAAGAAACATACCTCTGAATGATACATGTGAACATTGTGAGTCCGCAGTTGCTTTCCATTGTGTACTGCCTGAACATAAAGAGTTGAACAAATTAGGAGCAGCACACCTTGACTATCAGGCTGGCCATGGACAAATTGCAAGATGTAGAACAGGAGAATTGCCGCACATATGTTCATCCTTCCTGCTCACTCTTGTGAACATAACTGCATAACCAGAGCACTGAAGCTAACAGAAGGACAGAGACTATGCATATATATCCATGGGACTAACTGATGCATTCATATTATACTCAGGTGTCCTACTCTGCTATTTTTATAGGTAGTCAAGGTACAAGAAACCACTAGGTCAACTACGATACAATAAACAAATTACTTGACATGCTACTTAATTATGCCACGCTGATAGAAAGGATGCAGATATGACAATTTTCTTGAAACCTTTGTAATTATGTGAATGTCTTGTTTACATTATTTGAAGGCTGTCTCATTATCTGTTCACTGGGTTTCAACTCTCATGATCGTTATTAACACAATGGAATGGACCTGGCCCACCTGGCACGGTTATTATTAGAATTGGCAACAAATCTAGGGAAATCATCCAAAAAAATAGCTAAAAGAAAAGAAAAGGCATAGCATCTAGTTAACTATTAAGCTAGAGCTTCTCCAGAGTGGAACTGACCTGAACCTGAGCAAAAACTAATTCCATTCCAAGTCCAACTCAGCTCTTGACACTCCATAACTTTAATTTTCTCCCCATAATATTCAATGTTATCTTGCAATGCATACATAGCTAGCTAGTCACCATCTATCATCAACCTAGTAAGTAATCTCATACAATAAACTAACGAGACGATCCTGACGAATCTTACAAGTGGCACATCGAGGAAAAAACAAGGAAAAACTAGCCACTATAATTGCTAGGTACGAGTTTACAAATTACAAATTCCCCAATTAATAAACGAGCGATGAACCCTGGCAATTCTACCAAAAATTTCATAATCCTTTAACAACATCCATGTCCACGACAACTTCTGAATCCAAAGGAAACGACGTGAGCTGCGCAGTTGGAGCCTTCCCCCAGCAACATTGTTCAGGCGATATCGATCCACAAGGTGCGGAAATTGCGTACCTGAACCTGACGAAGGCGACGACGCGCGCGGCGACTTCGGGGACCCAGCGCAGCCGCTCAGGGGCCCGTCGCGTCGCGTGGCTGGGGGCGTCCCCCTTCCACCTCCGACGACGTCGAGGCATCGAAGTCGGCGCTCAGATGAGGCCGCTGGCCGGAGACGGCCAGTAATGACCATCCAGTTGACGGAATTCGTCGAGGAGTGGCCAGAAATCTCTACTCTCCTTGAACTCGGCCGCAGACTCCTGCGCGGGCGCCGTCTCCGGCGCCGACACGAGGGTGTCGAGCTCTCTCGAGCGACGCGCACGGCGGCGAGCGCCGGAGCGGGCAGAGGAGGGCGGCGCTGGCGCCGGCATTTCGCCGAACACGGCGCGGGTGGACTGTGTGATCAGTGGAGAAGTTGAAATTGAGATGGAGAAACCGAAGGGGAGCAATTTGGGCCTTCCAGGATTGGGCTCAAGCCCAAGCCCAAGAAATAATGGTAGAACAGAGCCCAAATCATCTCAAATCGTACAGCCCATTTCAAACATAAAACTTGTGAAACCCAACATTTTTTTTAAAAAAAAACAGACAATAAGTGAAATGCAACAGAACATTAAATTGAGCAATTGATCAAGCAGATGATGGGAGTAGATATATCGGTATGATTTTTTTTTGTTCTTTTTTTCCTTTTTCATTCCTTTAATCCCTACATCTTCTATGTTCAAATTTCAAAACATGAAAAAAAAACCCTCTACGAATCATATAAACAAAAACGAATGTATAAAATTTCCCTTTTTTCATTTTTTTTATTATTATCACCATTCACCAATCAGAGGGGGTCATATAAATTCTCTCATCTCCTAACTTATACAACATCTACTACAGATCATCCTCCGCCACCGGCGACGTCGACGACGGCGGCGCGTCTTCCCCGCGCCGCCGCCGCTCGAGCTCCATGAGCCTGGAGAAGACGCCGACCATGGGCGCCGTGTTGTACGTGCAGGCCTCCGTCTGCATGTACGCGCCGCGGTGGTCGGTGAACACGTCGTTGCCGTTGGGCCCGCCGACGACGGCGCCGACGAGGTCGTGCGGGTTCTCCGCCGCCGCGCTGTACCACGAGTCGAACCCCTGGAGGCACCCGATGAAGTCGCGGTCGCGCGCGTACGACGCGCTCGACGCCGCGCGGTGGTGCACCCGCCGCGGGTACGCCTCGCCGTACCCGACGAGGTAGCTCGTCGCCATCGGGTTCGTCCCCAGTATGTAATCCGCCTGCGACCTCGCGAACTCCAGCACCTCGCCGGCGTCCGCCGCCGCAGGAGCGGCCTCGTCGGCGGCGGCGTCGGGGTCCGGGCAGAGGAGGGGGAGGGAGAGGTAGGAGAGGACGTCGGAGTAGACGGTGAGGAGGAAGGCGGCGTTGGAGACGTACTGGAGGTTGTTCCACGGGCGGATGAAGAGGAGGCCCGCCGGAGTGCGGCCGGCGTTGTGGGCGGCGCCGCCGGGGTTGCGGCCCATGCAGGAGCACACGTAGTACTCCGCCTTTGACCTGTACTTCTCCAGCACCTCGCGCTGCTGCGAGCTCAGATGCTTCTCCTCTACCAGCAGCTGCTCTCCAATATCCATCCATGCATTATCACAAAATTATTGTTAATAATTATTACTGCCTGATTAAATATGATCAATATATGCGAAATAGATTAAATTCTCGTGAGCAAATTAAAAACTTATTAGAAAGAGCTCAAATAATACCACAACCAAATTTAAATACATTAGAGTACTTTTCACTTTCTTCGGTTTTGACATGCAACTTTGATCATTTCTTTTAGTATTCAAAATATAACGATAAAATCTAATAATATTGTAATATTATAAAAATACTTGCAAAGAAAAATTTACCCATATTATTTTTACGTTAAAACTAAATATTTTGACAACTATGAATAGTCAAAGTTTCAAAAAAGTTTTGGCCGAATAAAATTGGCATTGTAATATATTTAAACGCGGAGGTATAGTGATTGTTTTAAGAAGAAGAAAATGTATTACAGATGTAGAGAATTCTTCTGCATCGGACAAATGCATTCACTTTTTAATTGCGTGAAAACATAAGGTTCTACGTTATTTCAATGTCAACACTCACTTTTAAGTTGAAAATGGGTACTACAAGAGTCCATACGAGTACTTATCAATTAGAAAGTGAGACATCGAGAGAAATGTATTTTAATTAATTAACGGTTCATGTTAGTCAAACTATCTGCCAAATCTCTACAGTTAGGCATGGCTGACTTTCAGGATAGCCAATGCCAATTAGCCAAAATACAGCTCATGTAGGCTGAATTTTAGTGTTATATATTCAAATGCAAAATTATCTGGAGATGCTCACAGTACGATTAAATTATTAAGGCAGATTAATCTACATAATAACTATTATAATCTGGGCCACATGATCCTTACTGATTAAGTTGTCAGGACTCTGGTTGTGATCCAACCACTATATACAACTTTTCTTGTGCTGTCAGACATGTAACTACTGTTTGTTGAAATGTTGAATGCCTCATGCATGGCCATGATATAATATTGTTTACCTCAGATATGCATGGCACTTTGTGTTGTCCACATTAGAAAGAATTGTCTCAAGCTCTCAAAAAATACATTTTCCTCTCCTCACTAATGGCAATAGAAGTCCAAGATATGCACATCAATGCCAGTCAACTTTTTCATTAATAACAGATGAACTCTATTGGACAGTAGCAGAATGTCTAGCAGCTATAAGCCTAGGAATAGGATATATAAGATTAATTAACTGATTTTCTTACTTCAAAGATCACATTCCAAGCATGGCAGAGAAGGTAAGACAGGAAGATCAGCTTATGGATGAATATTGAAATATGGGCATGGTAAGAGCTGCCTTGTATTCTAAGCATGGGGAAAAAAAGACTATGGTCAATGGAGTTATCATTAGGAAGGCAGTCCATTTCTACAAGACACCAATAATGTCATCAGTCTACACCTCAGAAAAAAAAAACTATTCCAAGGTTAGGAAAACAGTCTGTTTCCAGAAGAATAGTTCTACCTAGAACACATGTGGAAAAACGTTTGAAATGGTTAGCATAGGACAAAGGCACAGTTGGAGGAAAACAATCAGCATGAAAGGTCCTTAATTATTTAAACAAATTGATCATCATTCCTAAGGCATCTCACTATCTTTCCTTGGGGTGAATTGAGAATCATATGCTAGCTTTTTCCTAAGTGCCCTCCTTTTGTGCGAGAAGAATCATCTCCTCAGCTTAATCATCAATCCTGATGCATTCACACATTGTATATAGTTGCATGGTTTGTGTGGCAAAGAAATTAAATGCAGATGCCCCAAATCCAAATTAAATCAGCATATATGCTTTCGGTGCGTTCTACACAGCTTTGCGAAACAACTACTTCCATGTTATTCATAAGCACACTTCCCAAATTGCTAAGCGATATGTTTTGTGAAAAAAAATTATATAGATGTTTCTTTAAAAATAAAAAAACATTTTTAAAGTTTGTAGTAATTAATATTTGATTAATATTGTGCTAATGGCTTACGTTGTTTTGGCATCGAAAATTTCAGCAAACAAACTCAGCCTTTGTAAGACTCTATAAGCTATGCTTATTCCTCTACAAGATGGGGTTGTTGGTGGCCAAGGCATTGCATGGTGGTGCATCCATCCACGCATCAACTCCCAACACAAGCAAAGCCATGGTAGCTCTAGCTAGTATGCTTGTAAGCCAGAACAAGCAAAAGGGCCTTTGCACCAAACAGCCTTGCTCCTCATGCAACTCCAATGGCTCTAGTTTGCAGGGCTTCTTGCAGTTACACAATCTTTTTTTCAGTCCATCCACATCAGAGTAGGTCAGCCAAGAAGAGGGTGTCAATTTAGCCATCTCCTGATCAATCACCTAATTACTACTGCTAATTCTGATGCTAATGCCTCTGAATAATTTGGTTAATTAATTCAGTCTGTCACGCGATGTGTATACGTCAACAATTTACAGCTAGCGCAATCACCGGTGGAAAATTCGATCTTCCGTTGGTCTTGTGCTTAACAGTTAACACTGACAGATGCCGGAATTAATTAAGCTAATCAGATGCAGTCATCAACTATAAAGAAGAGCTGTAGTAGACTGTAGACAGTGTATACTACAGTGTATCTGACTGCATGGCTGACCAAAACATGCAGGTTGATTATGCATGCAGTCACTCATGCGTGCGCGCGTCAGCCATATCTATTATTAATTTTTCAGCGAGCAACAACATAAATTAAAATTTAAAACATTCCTAACCTTTCTTTCAATAAAAAAAACTAAAGGATTCCCGGGTTTCATACGCAACAGAATTTCAATATTAATATAGAGATTTAAAATATAACTTCTTTTAAGCATTAAATTTAGTTAAATTCGTTCCAAGGTTCTGATCCGCCACCGCGTATTTATGTATGTATAAATGTAAGTATACATGTATTATGTACGTACCTTGGAAGCGAGGACTTGGAGTCCGGCGTACTTGATGTCCCAGCTGAACTCGGAGACGGCCCAGCCGGTGCCGCCGAAGTCGTCGGCGTTGTCGACGGCGTAGTCGAGGTATTCGCGGCGGCCGGTGGCACGGTGCAGCCACAGCGCCGCCCACAGCAGCTCATCCTTGTACCCACTTGATGATGGGTAGTAGTTCTTTACCACCTCCACACTCTCGTCGTATCTCCCCCTGTACTTGTCCCCAAACTCAAACAACTGCACCCACAAATACATACAATTATACTTTTACGTATAATTATGTACCTGCTCTTCAAAATATATACTTTCTACAGTTCAAAATATAAGTATTTGGGGATAGGGTGATGTACATATAAATTGTACTTGTACGCATAATTACAAATATACATACTCTTCAAATACTCCCTACATTCTTAAAATATACAAGTACTTTTATGCGTTCCTCAAAATGATACCTTTTAAAAAACGTGCAGAAATATTTATAGTTTAGTACTGAGGTGGTAATTTTTTTTAAAAAAAGAAAGTCAGGAAAACAGTTGCTCTATCGTTGTCATGACATTTTTTTGATGCGAAATAATTAGGTGATTAAGCAAAGGAAAAGGTAGCTTAAAGCGAAATTAAAATTTTTTGATTTTCTTTTTTGGAGTAGTGAGTGGTGAGTAGTGAGAGGGAGGACGTGCCTGCTGAGCGTGGTGGAGGAGGAGATGGGCGTAGTGGGCGTCGCCGGCGCGGCGGAAGACGATGGATGCGGCGGCCATGGCGGCGGCGGTCTCTGCGGCGACCTCCGACCCGGGGTTCTCGGCGTCCACCTTGTACGCGTGCCGCGACGTCGTCATGTCCTCCGGCCGCTGCCAGCAGTAGTGGTCCGAGTCGCCGTCGCCGACCTGCCATTAATCCATTATTATATCTATACACGTATATATATCAGGGTTTGAAATTCTGGAACGATTTCGGAAATTTCGCTTATTTCGTCCGACCCCTCTGATACAATAATTTTGGTAATATTTGTTTAAATTCAACTAAATTTTGTTTAAAATTTTGGAAATTTCGGCATTTCGGTGAGGTCCGATCAAATCGACTAAACCGAAAGATTTAACACTGATATATATACGGTGTATTGTGCGCGTATGTGTACAGTATACGTATTCGTGTACGTACGTACCTGAGTCCAGAGGACGTTGGGGTGGGTGTGCGCCTTGATGAAGTAATCGGTGCCCCATTTGATGGCGTGGAGGGCGTGGCCGAGCTCGCCGGCGGCGGCGATCTCCTCGCCGTACTCCAGCACGCTCCACGACAGCATCGTGACGGTGAACGCCATGGGCAGCCCGAACTTGACGTGGTCGCCGGCGTCGTAGTACCCGCCCACCAGGTCCACCTGCATGCGCACACAGCCACACACGGCGGTCAGCCACGACGCGCCGGACGAACACCTTTGCCTCGCCGGCGACGGAGACGAAGACGTACCCCTTGCTCGAGGCCGTCGGTGAGGCCGGAGTGGCCGCGCCACCGCACGCGCTGGTTGTACGGCAGGCGGCCCGACCGCTGCGCCTCGAAGTAGAGCAGGCTCTTCGACAGCGCCTCGCCGTAGTCGTGCGCCGCCGCCGCCGCCGCCATGGCCAGCGACACGGCGACCACGGCCGCGGCCACCACGAAGCGGCCGGAGACGTCGCTCATCCTACGCCGCCGCCCAACCACAGCACATCGATCAAACAGCTCACACCCCTCACAAATATACAAGAATCCAGAAATATCACCACCGGATGATCAAGCTCAATCGATCCAGCCAAGATCGATCACTAATAACTCTCTTCCCAAAATCGAATCAATCAATGAGCCTGCATATGCATGCAGGTGCCAGCTGACCACCGCCTGATCTCCCGGAATGGAAACTGATAACTGAAGATTAATGGCGCCACTAAACAACAATGGCTACTGATTTAATCACTTCCAGCTAAGGCAAATGAACAAGAACCTCCAGCTGCCAATGAACAAGAACAAGAACACTACTGATCACTGATGAACACACACAGACACATATGCTAGTTAGCTGCATTCATGTATATATATGTATATATATGCATGTGTGTTTGGGTATATGTGAGAGGGAGGAGAGATTAATGGAGAAGAATTGGGCTTCAAATCAAGAGAGGAGGGGAGGAAGCAATCAAAATGGGGTAGGAATATAAGGTGTGGGTGCCACTGCCATCCATGTGTGTGGAAAGGGAAGGTGAGTTGGTGAGGTTGAGAAGGTAGGCTTTGGTTTGGCTTGGCTTGGCATGGCAGTGTCTTGAGAAGAGGAGGACAGGGACATGAATCTACTGGGTCTGCTTGGTACTCCCATATGGTACAAACTACAAAGACAGGCACACCACAGTGGAGTTGCATTCTGCATTCTCTGCAGTTTGGTTGCAACAAGGCCACAAGGCTGATTTGGTGGTGTTGCAACAAAGCTATCCTCATGTTCCTTTCCTAAGCTGAGTTTTGTTCTGGTTGGACTGGCCCCCACTTCCTATAGCTAGCTTGCTCCGGTGGTCAGTTTTTTGGTAGGTCCAGCCCTGCTGGTCCACGGGACTCCCCGGGCTTGGAGCGTCGTCCGATCGCCGATCAATGGTGGAGCTTTAAAAGAGAAGAAATTGGGTTTATATGTATGTTCAATCTAGAAATGAATTGTGTGGATTTTGGGGCAGGAACTTCTTGCAGATTTGTCCCCTGCAATTCAAATTATGCTTTAATTTTTTCTTTCATTTTTTTGTCTCATGAAAAATCCAAAATGTTGAAGCCCTACTTGTGATTGTGTGAGAAATAATTTCTGTTGGGTTATTCCCTCTAGAAGAGAATTAAGGTGCAGGGAAGGAACTTCAAGGAAGCAAGTAGGGTTCTATTAGAGCGCATGTCATGGCAATATAGTTCTCTCAAGGAAAAGGTCAGCTAACGAATTTCTAGGTGAAAACTCTCCTAGACCCAATTGCGAACAAAAAAAAAGGAGACCTAGCTAGCAAAGAAAATATCACCACCTACAAAATTAACCAAGGGACAGAAAATTAAATCCATGAAAAGGGATAGGTTGAAATTTGATTCGCCCATTATATAAAATACAATTTTTTTTACTTGCATATATATATGTGGCTAGCTGTTAATCCAGGTTGAGCAATCAATTCGTTGGCATGTTGCTGTCAGGAGGTGTTAGCAAGTAAACACCACACAAGTTGCAATTGTTTTTGTGTGTGCTGTGACTGACTGACCAAAGTGTAGCAGGAGAGGAACAGGAGAGGAGGATGCGTCGGTTGGAATCCAAAAGGAATGGGAATTCTTAACATAATTATGCTTTGACGCATGAGTTGGTAGCTAGAGGAGATGAAGCAGGAAAGAGGCAGTCTCTGGACTTGGAGTTGCAGAAAGATTAGGTCCACGTTTACAACAAGCTCAATTTAGTTCATTAATTACTGTAACTAACTGTTGGTCAAAATTGGGCCCTGTTTATGAGGGCACCCGCAATGGTTATCTATAGTCTCTTATAAGAGATCCATGTCAGCATATTTTCCTACTTGGAAGAGATTAAATAAAGAGAGAGAGCAAAGCTATTTACTAACCTAGAGATAATCTATAGAGAAAAACGAGACAATACATGAGAGAGCTATAGATACCCATGTAGACATACTATTGAGGTGGTTTACTATTAATCTAGTCTATTGTTGAGATGTACATGTTTTATAGAGAGCACCTTACTTTACCATTGCGGATGCTCTGAGTAATTAAATTAGACCCACTACTAATCCTAGTGCTACTGTTTGTGTCAGCAGCTAGCTAGCAGCACCCTGAAGATACTAGTTAAGCTTAAGAAAAAGGCTTCCTTTTTTGCAGTTTAGTTCTGAATGTAGTAATTGTTATTATTTAATAATGATCTTGTCATATGTATAAGAGTAAAAAAAATGCTAATGTGTTTAGTATTTGTGCCTAATACGCAGAAGGAGAAAAATTACATACCAATCTCCAATTTTAAGCATATTTCTCCCAATTCCCAGATACTACTTAATCTGTACCACCTACCCCTCTGTCCAAAAAAAAAAATCAATCATACCTACGAATCTAGATACACATGTGTTCAGATTCGTAGCTAGGAATTTTTTTTTTTGGGGGCGGAGTTGTATCTCCTAAAATAGTTGATTTGTAGCAATTCCAAGACAAATTAGTACAGAGGGAAAAGGACCACTGTGTCACTGGTTGATATAAAAGTACTATTATCAGGAGGGTAGGTTAGTGATATTGAAGGGATAAGATTCATTTAATAATACCTTGATTTATAGACGAAAATAGATAAGGAATCCCAAATCAATATTTTGACAAATTTTGAATGCTTAGAAATTAAATTCTCTGTGTTTTAAGCACAGAGAGAGTAGGAATAAATACTGTCTGATAAGAGTTGTTTCATGTCCTTACGCTACAACGGATTAAGACTCTAGAGAAATATTCCATTACAAATAAGCCAGCTAGCTGGTAGTTAATCAGGTAGATATCATGAACATATTTTCAGACTTTAACATATGAATTAATATCGCTGCCGTGTCAAATCAAAACCTAAGCAAACACAGCTTCACCAACACAGCCTACCGTTAGGGAGAGATTAAAACATTCCAAGATTCCATCAGACATACGTCTACATAATCAAACAAACTGTCGGTGCCCAGCTATATATTGCGTCACCTGTTCGTCATGACAGGCAGAGCAACCCTTAGTTAATTCCATCTATATTCAGAGATTCACTTGATTTCGCAGGAAACAGTTCAATTCCGGTAGTAATTAACATGAGAGGCAGGATTTTTCATCCATTTTTTTTTAAAAAATAATAACATGAGAAATATGATATGAAAATGACAAAGATTCAGTACGTAGCAACTAAACACATCAGTAATTACATGAAAACGTGTCAATTGTCGGCATTAACTAGATTACAATCAGTTGAAGCAATGTACTACAAGTTCAACGCCGAACCTTGACGACGGATGGGAGCCTGTGAACGGATCAAAGAATCATCACTACCAGGTCAAGGTCCCAAATATCATCTTCAATTCCTCTCCCTTTTGTCAGTCTAAAAGCAAAAATGATTGATTGAATTCCAAGCTAGATAGGAAGGTAAGTAGATTGTTAGAAAAATAGGGATATATATCTAGGTACATGCATCATATGTTTAGTTATTTATACATGGGGCCAAATTAAAATGCAAGTAGTGAGACTGAGAGGTGATGTGCTACTACATGAAAATTAAAGCATTAACTTTTTTCATGTGGATTAGTGGATACATTCATATTCAAAGCAAGAGCTTGATTGGGTTGTTGCATAGAGATGAGAACACAAATTAGGTTGAACAATTCATGACCTTTTTCACAATTGTTAATTTGGTTAATTAAGTATGAGTAAAAGATTGGCAGTAGCTGCATCAGGTTAAATAGTTTATTTGCATGTATATATCTGCATGCACTCGTAGTTTGACTTTGCTTGTGATGAGGAAGAGAGAAAGGTAGAAAAAAAAAAGAAGTTGGTCGTCTTTGCTGCCTGAAAAGGCCTAACCTTTACCTCCCCTTCTCTTTCTGAACTACTACCGGTCACCATCCGAAGAACTAACAATGCACTGTAAGCCTGTAATAAGCGTGCATGCATTCGTTGTGAGACGTGTGAAGTAATTAGAGTATGATTCGTTCTGAAAATTTGAATTCTAAACATACTTTTAATTATTTTGAGTTAATTTTTCAACATTTAAAGTTTTATCCACCAATTATATAGTTACGCTTATAATCAGTTCTAGGTGAAATGATGGAGATAGACTGTTTCACGAATGCCACTGCAAATTTACTTGTAGTAAATGACTTCATTTGGCTTCACGCTTTTCGTTTCCTGCGTTGATTGATTTCTTCAGCCAACTGAACCCAGTTCGACACCAGATGAATATGAGGCTCAGTTCGTTTGTGATGATTCCCAACCTCTCCTTCTCGATTTCCGCGCGCACGTTTTTCAAACTACTATTTTGATGCGTTTTTTGTAAAAAGTTTTTATACGAAAGTTGTTTAAAAAATCATATTGTTTCATTTTTGAAAAAAAAATTAGCTAATACTTAATTAATCACGCGCTAATGGATCGTTCCGTTTTTCGTGCCAGAGCCAAACGTTCCCAACCTGCTCTTTCGAACAGAGCCGGCTTGTTGTCAGCAACGTATTAACAAGTAACAACTATAGTTGCTACTTCCTCCGTTTCACAGTGTAGGACTTTCTACAATTGTCCATATTTATTTAGATGCTAATGAATCTAGACATATATATGTGTTTAGATTCATTAACATCTATATGTATATAGATAATGTTAGAAAGTCATACATTGTGAAACGGAGGGAGACTGCTACTAGCTAGGTACTCCCTCCGTCCCAAAAAAAAAACAAACACTAGGTTTCCGTGTATAACGTTTGACTGTCCGTCTTATATAATTTTTTTTATAATTAGTATTTTTATTGTTGTTAGATAATAAAACATGATTAATACTTTATATGTGACTTGTCTTTTTAATTTTTTTCATAATTTTTAAATAAGACGGACGGTTAAACGTTGGATACGAAAAACCATAGTTTATTTTTTTTTTGGACGAAGGGAGTAAGCACCAGGATTTGAGGGTCAGATGTCAGTATGTGTTACTGCGATCTGCTATGATTTCACACTGTGGCAGATTGTATGCTACTCTTTTGGTTTGGATTAGGGTTTTTTTTTTTGAAAACTTGATTTGGATTAGCTAGTATGATTCTCGATTAGTCTGAGGCCCTATTTAATTTGGATTATTGAGAGAGAATCATCCTCGTGGATTATCTACCTAAGATAAATTAAACTACATACAATTTGACCAAATTATTGTAAAACTATAGATTTAAGACGTTGTATCATAAAATTTAAATTTAGGCCGAGTTTAGTTCCAAACTTTTTCTCTAAACTTTCAACTTTTTCATCACATCAAAACTTTCCTACACACACAAACTTCCAACTTTTCCGTCACATCGTTCCAATTTCAACCAAAGTTCTAATTTTAGCGTGAACTAAATACACCCTTAGTGACTAATTTATTATGAACCTATAAATTTAAGGTCAAGTATCACAAAACTAAAAATTCTATAGTTAAATCCCTAGTATTACGTTATGTTGGAGCTATAAATGTTATAGTTTTATGATTAAATTATCACTAAATTTGTAGTTTTCTGATATTTTTTTTTGATACTCCATCTTTTATATATATATATATATATATATATATATATATGTGTGTGTGTGTGTGTGTGTGTGTGTAGTTTTGTGAGAAATTTCACGTTAAATATAACTAATATATAGTTATATGATATAACACCTTAAATCTATAGTTTTGTGAAATTTACTCTAAACTAAATAGTAGATAGACTTAACAAATACTTAAAACAAGTGATATAAACAATGCAATAGAAGGATTTTTTTAGAAAACGTATATATTAGAAAGTTTCTAAAAGGAAATATCTGATAAAAAAATTGCTACAGTTGTAGATTTGTGATATTGATTTACTTTAATACTCCGGATGATCAAGCACAAGTCGGAATGTTACAGCATCGCTCACAACGTCCTCTGCCATAGATACCTACCTATGTTGAGGCAGATAATTAATTAACAAACAATTATTTCGTTGGTGAAGATGAGTTATCTGGAGTATTTAATAAGTGAAATTGTGCTATTCCTTGGAATACTCTCTGTCTTTTCAAACAGGAAATTGGATCCTATACCTCCCTTGGGAAGATGTATAGATGCTCCCTCTTTAGTTCATTGGCAAAAAAGAAGTGATTATCGTTTTGTTCATTTGGCCCTTCTCTAGACTATAATGAATACTCACGAGTATCATTCATTGCATTGCCATTGTTGGGAACTCTTGTCTGAAGTTTTGGTATCTGAGATATGTATGTATGTAGAGATTCTTATGGTATTTTGACATCTCTGATTATGTATGTCTTGGCAGGTGTGGTTTGGAGGACTCCATCCTTTGGAAGTTCTCAAGCAATGGACAGTTTTCTGTAGCCTCGGTTTATGAGTTTTCTCCACCCCGTAACGCCAAAAATATTTTCGGTAATTGGCTTAGAGGGGTATCTAGGTCCATTAAGAAGATGATTCTAATTGGAGCTAGCGCTGTATGTTGGTCAATTTGGCGTTGTCGCAATGATAAAGTTTTTAATGGTAAACAATTATCTAACCCTATGCAGGTTATCTTCATGTCTTCCTACTGGCTCCACTTCTGGTCTACAATGCTACCACAGGAGGAGCATGATACTATGCGCAATGGTGCTACACTCTTGGAATCGGTAGCCAAGGGTCTCTTATTCCACTATGGGTGGCGTAGTTCCATAAGAATTGCTAGCTAAAATATTTTATGTGGTTTAACGCTAGTCAATAATAAAGGGGGGTTGGGGATTTGTCCCATCACCTTATTTCTCATTCTGATTTACTTTTATCTTACCTTTTTATTACTATTAAACTTATTGCTGTGTGTCTTATGACAGAAGCCGGAGATGTAATCCATTTCCATTATCTAAAAAAAATGAGTTTGATGGTTAAGGGTCGCTGCCTCACGGCCGACAACCTTGCTAAGCGCGGCTGGCCGCATGACCTTGGTTGCCCTCTGTGCTCATATGAGCAAGAAGACTGTGATCATCTCTTCCCAAAGTGCTCTTTTACCAATAGGGTTTGGTCCTTGCTGAGGGATTGGCTCAATGTGAATTTTATCTCCCCCCCCCCAAAGGACGACAAGGCCTTCCCCGCCGGAGTGGTGGCAACTGGCGAGACGCTGTTTTCAGACATGCTACATGAGTGCTTTTGACACCTTATTTATGTTGGTGAGTTGGCTAATTTGGATGGAACGCAATGCCAGAGTTTTTGACCAAAGGAGCAAGATGGCCGAGCACCTTGTGGCAGATATCAAAGAGGAAGTTGCAGTTTGGAGAGCTGCGGGGTGCGTTTCAGTGTTGTGATGAGTAGCCCTAGCAATCCCGGTCTTTTCTCTCTATCTCTCTCTCTCTCTTTTACTTCCATCCCGATTTCTACTCTCCGGGGGTGTTGGCCCCCGGCTCAATAGTTTAATGTCGTGTAAAAATCTGTAACTTTCCCCCTTTCAATCTTAATGAAATTTGGTCGGCCCCTTTGCCGACTCGGCAAAAAGATGTGGTGCGGCAATTTCCTAGTTCATCTGCATTTTTTTAATCATGGATGGAGTTCTCTGCACATACATACATATAGGCCTCATCATTATTGTTGGGTTTAGTCCCACATCAGTAATTGATGATGGGGGAGCACGACTTAAAAAGGTGGGGGCGATCCTCACCCATCATACTAGTCTTTTGAGTTGTGTAGGCCCAGGATCTAAAATTGTGGCTCTGGTTGGGCTTGTGGTGGAGCAGGCCCAATGTGACCTGGGGTGGCCCACGGTAGATGGCCCGGGCTGCGCACTTTAACAATTATTAGTCCACACAAAAGATCTATAATTATGGCAGAAACAACTTAACAACTTTATCAGGCCTCAGAAGCAGAGTTCCACACAAAAAACAACTTAACAACTTTATCAGTCCTCATTCGGTTTTTTCTCTTTTAAGTGGGCAGAGTTTATATTAATAGTGTTCACATATGTAGAGTTAAAATTATCTTCACTCGTTGCAACACGCATGTATTTTGTGCTAGTAGTTCTTTTTTTTTAAAAAAAAAAGTATGTCTATATTAGGGATTTCTGATACTCAAATTTACTTTACATTTTTTCTTTTGGCAGAGGATAAAAAGGTCGGCCCAACAAGCATGGACCTTTCTTAGTAGGCTAAAAATCGCCTATGCGCTAGGCCCATCTCCATATAAGGGCTAGGTTTTGGGCCATGATCTTCTTTTTTCTTTAATTATTTTCCGCGAAACAACAATAAATAAACAGAACAAGGGAGGGGGAAAAAAAAAGAGAAGGGAAGGAAACCCTCGCCACCACGCGTCTCCGCCTCCGGCGGCGGCGGCGCCGCCCGCCGCTGTACCAAGATCCCGCAGCCACTGCGCCGCCGGCCGCCGCGCTCGTCGCCCACGCACTAGTCCCTCCCGGAGTCGTAGGCTGCGGGTTACGCCCCCCGCCCCGCCGCCCGGCCGCTCTCTCCGGGTGGGGTGGTGGGTGGCAAGGGGCTGCGCCGCCATCCCATCACCAACCAAGCAAGCCGGCCGGGGAACGGGGAGCAACCATGTCGCTCCTACGACGGGTGGGGAGGAGGTTCCTCGCCGGCGACATCCTGTCGTCGGAGGCTTCGCCGCATGCCGTCGGCCGCCTCTTCACCGGTATCGTATCTCATCTTGCCGCCCCATCTGAGGCTTCTCCACTACCACCACTGCAGGCATTAATTGGCATCTTGTCGGCCTCATCAGAGCCTCCGCTACCGTCACCGCTGGAGGGTGTCAGGAGCCCCTCACCGCTGCCACTGCCTCGGGCTACCAAGCAACCATTCATTGGCATCTTCTCGCCATTCAAGAGTTACCCATTGCAGGTCATAAGGGAGTCACTGCCGCTGGTGGGTCACTCCTCTTCACTCAACATGATCTTCGCTCTCAACATGATATATCGTATGAACATCGCACTTGTAACGTACTATTTGTTTTTTGTCGCAGGCCCATCATCAGTCACTTAGCCGCAACGCCATCGGACCTAGCTACAGGTGGCCATGGACGCGGCTTACATCTGCAGTAGCACTGCCGAAACTCCTTGGCACTAGGTGGGCATCAACAAATACCTCCTCAACTACTGGGTAAGTAACATTGAGCTCACACTCTGCACAATTGACATACCGACACGTTGTTTAATTCACAAATGAGAAGCACACAAACACAAAAATTTCCCCCAGCGCTGCACACCGGCACTAATGGGACCTTTTATTCCCCACACTTGCTAAACAACTAATCCTTGCATGCAAAGCTCACGGCCACTAGCACATATCTGCATGCAAGTCTCGAATAACACATGTGCAAGCTAGTTGATCCACTCTTCATGTCACGACTCACTTCACTTGACTTGGCCGCTCCTCCAAGCAAATACTCACCCGCTGCTGCATGTAGTCACTTACATACAACTCATGGCTTTCACCGATCACACTAACTCGCACATGTTCTCGCTGATTTGCTCCCTCACACACATGCACACGACTTACTATAACTCAAACTAAAAGATCGCTTAAACAACAAGATTAGCAATGCACCTAACATGTAGAATTGCCAGTTAGCAGCAGGAGATTAGATAGAAAACATGTAAAAACACATTTTGAAATGAATTAAATTATAGCTGTGCTCAATACAAAATGTAGAAACTGAAAGACTGAGGTGTCAATTACAAGTTGCCAGCTTCCACATGGAAGAACCCGGATGTTGAAATCACTACAACGCTAATGCTGATGCAAAGAATCTTCCCTGTTAAAACTATGATGAATATAAAGAGCTATATCCCTGATAAATGGACAGGGCCGGCTCTACAATTTTGAGGGCCCTAGGGCAAACTTGACAACATGACCCTTAACGCTCTCTCTCCTATAGAGTGACGTGTTATATGTATATTCATATTTTTTGGTTGTTCAGATTAATGCCATTTTAAACCATATCAATTTTTGATAAAGTTGTTAAAGATGTGTATCCATTTAGTTTTTTTACCAAACTTTAGTAAATACATAAGAAATCCTGCTAAAACTAGACAATATTACTAAATTGTAAAGATTTTGGTATTGCCAAAATTTGGTAAGATTTATTTTGGCTACAATATGAACAGCCCCTTCATTTTCAAAGTGTGTTTTCAAATCTAATCATAGAGAGAAATGAACATTGATAACATTTCATATATATGTTTTTTTAGAAATAGAAAAATATCAACACTTAAACTGATCTTGTTTATTTTTCCCATTTACTTAGCACCATAAAAATGCTTCTTGAGTAAAATTACAACTTATCAGCACCTAAAATTATAAAGGAAATATATATTACCAACAAGAATCTATCTTTACATACAATTTTGATTGTTGAATCTAGAATCTTTATTACTCCCTCCGTTTCACAATATAAGTCATTCTAGCATTTTCCACATTCATATTGATGTTAATGAATCTAGACATATATGTGTGCCTAGATTCATTAACATCTATATGAATGTGGGTAATGCTAGAATGACTTACATTGTGAAACGGAGGAAGTAATTCACTAATCAGTATTATGTAGATACTAGTAGATAACCAGGAGTGGTAGATAGTATGTAATTATTCACTAATCTTAAAGTACTACTTTGGCTCATACAGTACTCATACAATTTTAAGCATGGGGACGGGCCCTAGGCCGTCACCCTCTTTGCCCTGCCCCAGAGCCGGGCCTGTAAATGGAAATGCAATAGTGTCACCTAGATTCACTATACAGTCTATAGATGAACTCTAAGAAGGTGAATATATTTATGGTTATGACCGAAAAGAACAAGCTTGATAGTTGGACGCAAAATTTTACACTCGAAGAGAGGAAAAAAGAGAAATTAAACCCTAATTCAGTTTCTGGCCGCTAGCAAACCGGATGCCACACGGCTGGATGTCAGCATTCTTACACTGATCACCATGAAGCTGAATGACCTACAACCATTTAATTATGTTATCAACATATCCGTGAAGCAGAAATTGAGAACTAGATAAGCATTGCCAAGTGCATCATACCTGGCCAAGCTCTGGATCTTGGAGTACAGTACCATTGCAGCAGAATTCCTTTTTCAGATCATTGAGGATCTTGTTGTAACTGAACTCCTAGCCCTGAACTCATCATAGATTTTGTTGAGATGTGCTTTGCCAAGACTACTGTTTTACAATAATATTTAGTATTTTTTTAATCTTTGTTTCATATTGTGGTTTTCTTATAGGTTTGGTCCATGTTTTACTAGTGCGGGAGAGTTGATTGATGCCCTTACCTATGCAAGAGCCAACCCTCTTATGAGAAAGGTTAAGATCATGGGTAGAGAAGATAAAATCATATGGATTCCAAATGACAATCTCAGGAGACTCGTGAGATCATTAAACAAGACCTATGCCTTACTTCATGCAAAGAAGAAGTGTCTGTCCTCATTAACTTCTTCAAATGTCTTAGTGGGTGAGGATGGAAGTGCAGTAATTCAGGGTGTTATAGAGATTCCTTACAGTGAGGAAGAAGCTTGTTGTCGATACAATGAAACTGCTTCCATTCTGAAAGAGCTGATTACAGAGTCTGTGGGGTCTGAAGCTATTGGTGTGGATTGTATTGCCGATTTTCGCCGTCTACTCCGCCAGATGGAGAGCATGACATCGGTTTGTCAGGAGTACATCATCAGCAACCACGCTTCGCTTATACCTGATGCTAACAGGTATTCTACTGCATAATTTGTATTTATTTTGTGTGATTTAATTGTTTTTTTTTATTACTGATGTGGTTGGTATAATGTTTAATATAGGACGGCGGTATTTCTATTATTTTACAATCACATCATGGGTAAGCTCGCCCAGGAGCAACCAAGACTGAAGAATCAGATTATTAGCAAGTTGCCGTATGATGGGATTTGGCTAGGCATAGTTATTTCCAACCGCTTTCTCAGAAGATGGTTGAATAGCCATAGGGAATACGTGAGTACCGGGGATGATGACATGAGCTTTAACTGGAATGTCCGCTCTCATTTTTACGTACATCTGTGGATCTTTGCTTATAGTCAATTGGAGGTAGAGGAATGCTTATATGGTGAGTTTCCAGAGCTTCTGTTGGAGATTGAGATCCTGCTATGGAAAGCGAATGAGATCGATGGGCTAGGATTCGAGGATAAGTTTTAGTGGCTTTGAGATATGGCAATGCATTGTAATATGGGTGAATTGTCTGTATGACGTTTAATCTGAGATCATGGATCTCTTGTTAGGGCTTTAGGTGGTGTTTGGATCCAGGGACTTAACTTTAGTCTCTGTATTTAGACACTAATTTAGTCTATTAAATATAGACTACTTACAAAACTAATTACATAAATGAAAGCTAATTTGCGAGATAAATTTTTTAAGCCTAATTAATCTATATTTAGAGAATGTTTACTGTAGCATCACATAGGCTAATCATGGATTAATTAGGCTCAATAGATTCGTCTGGATTAATTAGGCTTAATAGATTCGTCTTGTGAATTAGTCCAAGATTATGGATGTGTTATATTAATAGTCTACGTTTAATATTTGTAATTAATATCCAAACATCCGATGTGATAAGGACTTAAAAGTTTTAGTCCCATCTAAATAGGGTCTTAGTTACTCTTATCTCTTGTTAGGTCTCTTGCTGGCAATAATTTTGTATTAATTATTTTCTCATATTGTTATGGATATTACTATTTGGAAAACATGGTCACATTGTCATGCACATGAAGAGGGTCATTGCTTAGATCTTTTATGTGGCTTTCGTATCGGGGAAAATTAAGGGGCGCAGATGGAGATGGTGTGGGCCGTCGACGGTGGAGAATACAAGTCAAGACTCAAGAACGACCCGTGATCCGTTCTCCATGGGTTGCTCTCCTGTGAAGCTCGTGAGATTCTAAGACGGAGGAGGACGAACAAGTTTTACTCATAGCGGCGGCGGTGATAAGCTGGAGAAAAGGAGGAGGAGGAGATGGAGGGGTGTCGAGGAGATGGGCCGTGCTGCTCTGCCTCGGGAGCGGGAGCTTCTGCCTCGGCTTGCTCTTCACCGACAGGTAACCAATCAATCTCCTGCTCTTCAGTTCTTGCTTTCTCCAACTCGAGGCTTGGAGCTCAGCTTTGGAGGTGTGCTGGTTGATTTGTGCTGCGGCTAGCTCAAGATCTGTGGCATTTGACGGGCCTCATGCATTTGGGGGTCTGGATTACTGTGTGCTCATGGATTCGTGTTATGATTTTGGGGGTAAAATACTGAAATCAGTGCCGCTGTTCTTGCTTTCATGAGGGCATTTGGTGATTTGGTTGCTTCGATTACATCGAATTGGAGTGTCTATGCTCTCTAAACCTCGAATTTATTATTGGGTACCGCATTAGATTATTGGCTTCGCAAGCTGGGCCTTGTGCAAATGATCCTGTGTGAAATATGCACATAATTTGCTTCCCTAGAGGAGTTTCTGCTAACTGGTGTATCTTCAGTTCCTCATCCAACATTTTAGCTTTACCATTCAACTCTCCAGTCACTTTCTTCTTCAGAAATATAAAAATGTCAAAGAACAGAAAGCACTTTCTTCTTCAGAAATATAAAAATGTCAAAGAACAGAAAGCATGTAAAACAACGATGCTCAGGAACTGTTAAATGATTATTTGCTAATATGGAACAAAAATTATCATATAATTATACCATTATATCTACTGTCACGAAGAGTACATTCTTTAACGCCAGTTTAGCAGCAAAGACTTCGCCCCGAGTGCGTCTTAACTCAGTAGAACAACTGATTATTTTTACTATATCCCATTAGTTTAACTGATTTTTGTCTGTCGAGTGCGTTATAACTCAGTTATAACTCGAGCCTTTCCTATATAATATCAGTTTATAGGCAATATGGCCTGAGTTGCAGCATGCTACTCTCATCTCCATATTAGCAATAACACACTTCGGGTGCGTCTTTAACTCGGTAGTACACATGATGAAATAAATATGCTATAACAACTGAGCTTAACAACACACTTCAACTTAATTAAGCTCAGTTTTATATAGTAAAGAACAGAAGCATATATGACGTGCCTCAAGTGCGTCCACTTCAACTTGTATGGCTCTCTCATCGAATGCGTGTGTGTGATACAGTGAAGTAATTTTTTTTTAATTTCTTCTGCTGCGCAATCTCTGCAGGTGTTCGGGTTGCACGCATGAGGTGGATCTGGACAAGCCGCCGGTGCTGCAGGAGGTGGAGAATTTCTTTATGGGTCACTGAGTTGGAGATTTCACCTTCAGCAAAGGCAGACTGGTACATGTAGCTTCTAATTTGTGCCGTTTGGTTTGTGTAGTTACATTGTGCCGAAATTAGTTTAAAGGGTGATGAATTCATGATATCTCAGCTTCAGTTTGGTAATTAGCTTAGCCGTTTTGGAGTAATGTTGTCGTGCATGGTTTTGTTCAGTTTGGGAGTAGGTTTGGCTAACACAAACTGCTGCTGGTGTTTTGAGGACATCAAGCAATGTGTCCACCAGGAAATTTTATCATCCAAATGTAGCCAGCTAGCTGAATTTCTCATTCAATTGTGCAGAGATAGATCGGGATGTCCATGTTCTCAAATATGATGGGCGGTTGTCTGGACCATGACTCAATCATCACGACCAACATTTTTGTGGCGCTGCAATGCATCTGCATTGCGATTGGGCATCTACTGGAAAAGAACTGGTAGGTCAATGAATCCATTACAGTGCTTGTGTTGCAGGGATAGTTCTCTCGCGCTGCACTCCAGGTGTTTGTAGTTTTGCCTTAAGGAAGAGTAGTTTCAGTTCTGCTCCATGGCTTGCAGGGGTTGATCACTAGAGGTGTGATTCATGCTTGTCAGTGCTGGTAAGAAAATTCACACATTCCTGTCATCCTGTGTTTAGTGAGGACTTCTTCATCTATTACTTCCACTGATCAGTCTTCAATTTTGGGCAAGCTTTCTATGTACTGATTGTTCGTGTAGTTAGCTTCCAACCAAAGTGAAATTTGTTCTGTACGTGACAATGTGACATGTCTTAGTTTAATTTGGTTTTGGCTAATTTAATCTTGACAACAAAATGCACTGTAGTAGGAATCACTTGAGAAATTCATTATTTCATAAGTACACATGATGAAATTATTTTTTACAGTTCTGTATAAGATGTTTTTTATATCTCTGAATTTATCAAAGCCACATTTTTAGAACTTTCTCAAACCCATGTAATTTCTGAATGTGAAGGTGCACTTATTGAAATGGATGGATTAGTCAACTACCCTCCCGTTCCTATAAAACTATACTGAAAAATAGATTAAACAATCATGACTGCCCTGTCCCAAACAAATGTTTTTTTCCCTAAAATACAGACTTAAAAGGATTGTATCACAGTACTATCTGGAGCTCTTTTACATTTAGAGGACTTAGGTGCTGAGTGCCAAGTACTGGATGTGAGTAAGCTTGATCATTTAGATTATTTAGAGAATCAACATCCTTACTCCTACAGGAACTGAATTGCCTAATGTAAATTTCTAGGATGTTCGTGTAGTTAGCTCCCAACCAAAGTGGAATTTGGTTTTTGTTCGTGTACTTCAACAATGTGAATTTTTTTCCTGCAGTAACCTTGGTTTTTGTTCCTGCAGTAACTGAATTTCCAGGATGTGAATTTTCAGGATGTTCATGTAGTTAGCTCCCAACCAAAGTGAAATTTGCTTTTTGTTCTGTACTTCAACAATGTCACATGTCTTAGTTTAATTTAGTTTTGGCTAATTTAATCTTGAAAACAAAATGCACTGTAGTAGGAATCACTTGAGAAATTCATTTATTTCATAAATACACATGATGAATTTTTTTTTAAGTTCTGTTATTGGTTGCCCTGTCGATCTATTGAGTTCACAAGGATCTTTGCTTGGGTGAGTATAAATTTTGAATTCTATCCTCTTCGTCTGTTTCTCTTCTCTTGCTCGATTTGCTTTGCTGTTGGTGCCTCTTTGTGACTGTACTGTACCTGCTACTTTTTTTTGTTAATCTTGTCATGGATCTCGGAAAGGTTACCTGATTTCGCATAGATTTTGTGGCTTAAGAAGTAACAATCATTGTTAAAATAAGTGAGATTTGAAATAATAATTATTTCCTAATAAGTGAGATATTAGATAATATGCTGGTAAATTATTTCATATATTATTACTCCTAATAAGTGATATTGTTAATTTTTTCTCACTCTTCGCATTAGCTACGTACAAGCATTATAACAAACATCTCACTTACTAGAACAATAATTTAACATTATCTCTCATCGTTCTGCCATATTTGCTTACTTAGTCCTTCGCTTTCTTTAAATGATTAATAATGTTTTCTTCTGCATGCCAGGCTGTGGTCCAGTATATGAATGATTTGAATGCTGTAAGAGGAACAAACCAGAAGAAAACAGATCGGGGAAGCTTCTGGACCTTGCTCTTCTCACTGTTTGGTTGTTGCAAAAAGGACCAAGAACTGGGATTGCCAGTATAACTCAAGCATTTCATCTGTATGCATGTTGTGAATTACTCAGGTCTGCAAAGAAAGGAAACGTGGGTAATTTGGTTCCTCTTCTTTTTTTGGCTTCCTTTTTTTTGTGTATATATGTAATTTTGTCATGAACCTGTTCCCGCTGCTTCCCGAGGCGTTCAAGGGCAATAAGCAAATCGGAGTGATCGGATGGGGCTCTCAGGTTCGAAAAAAATAAACGCTTTCTTTCTTGTTTTCAGACTTATTTTCCCGTTTCATTTAGATGGCTAGTGTCGCACATGTGACATTTCCAATCACTAATTGATCAATTGCGCAGCAAATTGCTTCAATAACGAACAAATTGATGTGACCAATGTGGTGAATGGGTTGTCAATTGATTTTTTACATGGATTTCTCATGCTACTCGGGTTCAGGACAAGAAAACCACCTGTATTGTGCATAACAGAGTTGCCATTGCTTTTTCAGGGGCCTGCACAAGCCCAGAATCTGAGGGATTCAATAGCTCAAGTGAAGTCAGACATTGTTGTTAAGGTACTCTTATCTTGTACTGTATTTTCAGTTTTGATTCATAGGACATTTTTTTGCAGTACTTTGGTATGCAAGTCGCCCTGTTAACTGAAAGCTCTGAACCATGGTTTGAAGCCTCGATTGAACTCCTAATATTCGTTCTCCTTTGTATATGGCTAGCTTGTTAAGGTGCACAGGCTATAACTTATTATCCATTATTATTTTGAAAAATAACTCGAGTTATACAATTTGTCAATGTGGACATCATAATTCATAAGCCATTATATTTTATGCTCCTCACTTATGCAATTTTGCATTGTTCTGTTAGTCCAGCATTCTATTATGCCCTTTCCTTTCAGATTGGTCTCCGGAAAGGCTCCAAGTCATTTGATGAAGCACGTGCTGCTGGTTTTTCTGAAGAGAGTGGAACCTTGGGAGATATTTGGGAGACTGTTTCTGGCAGTGACCTCGTGTTGCTGTTGATATCAGACGCTGCATAGGTTAACTTCAGGCTCTAGCTGCATGATTTTAGTTGCCACTTGATGTTGTTACCTTTACCAATGCTTGTTTGAATTGTGCTGAATTTCATGGTTCTGTTGTTTCATGGTCTTGTTTATTAAATTGAATCTCCAATGCCACATGCCATCTGCCGTCACACAGTCACTCCTTTTATCCCTTGTAGATGCAGCAAAGCCCACACTCAAAGAGAGATAGTTGGTGATGAATCAGGAGCTGAGCTTGGCGGTGGAGCGCGATGCTTTGCTCCAGGAGGACTCCATCGTTTTTGCGCTCATCAAGCAGCGGCCTACACTCCCGCCGCCGAAGCTGCCAGTGGCCGGTCCCTTGTGGAAATGGTAATTCTATCATTTACCGGTTTCTTCTTCTGTTCAATTGTAGATAGATCCATTGGATTTGATCCTAATCAAGTTCTATTTTTGAACTGTTGCAGTTCTTTCACATGAAAAAACTTGTGGTTATCAAAGCTCTGGACATCTACAGAAGAACAAGGAATCTGGTATGTATAATCATCATGTACCTTTATTTTGTTTTTATTATTACCTAGAGTTACATGCATTTTTTTCCTTCTGAACGAAGGCATTGGGAGAACTGGAGAACTAAATGATCTCTAGAACATAAGACAAAAGGCTTATCTGATTTCTACAATCTATCAGTTTTAAACTCAGTAGGAACTTCCTATTCCCAGTTCTAAGAGAGGCAATCATCTTTACCTTATCCTGTAACTGTTTACTTTTCACCGCTGACAATTTAGATGCCACATAAACACATACATTTCTATCTATTGTTAACTTGAAAGACTAGGCTGATCCATAATATTTCTTATATTATTAATTAGTAACCTGGAGCTGTTGTCATAGATAATGGAGGAGAATGGCTTATTGTTGTAAACATCTTTGTGGCTGTTTGAAATTATCATGTATCTTTTCCTTCTTTCTCACTAACCTTATCTCTTCTCCTCCTCTCCTCCATACATGAACCAGCCACTGCAGTGAAACCAACGGGCGAACGTGTTGACCACCGAAGTCGCCATCATGTGATTTCCACCAAGATCGCCATAAGCCGGTCTTCGCCCAATAACGTTGCTGTAAAACCCCAGGTAAGTTCCTACTGCTTGCCCTAATATCTTTTGCTTTCGATCATTGATCCCTGTCCACACTCTTCTGGGCTTGGGATTTGATCTCTATGTATGTGATGATTTGAATGAGGGGATTCGACTAGGAAAGTACCGTGTGAAGGATTTATATGATATTAGTGGCGTTTGACCTGATTAGATTCAATCTGGCTTTTTTTTATCAACCCTAGGTTTGATCTGTTAGGCTGAAGATTTTGAGAACAAATTATAATGGGCGGTTAGTTTCAATGGTACTAGAAATTTCACCTAGGTTTTGTGTATGGATGATAACTCAAACTTCCCTAACTGTTGTAATTCATTCATGTATTATTCTTTAAGGTGTTACTGTGGTCAAGTTTTTTTTTAAAAAAAACTAATTTGCGTTTAGGCTAGAATTAGCAAGGCTTTTGTTTGAAGAGTTCTAATGAAGCATAATTTTAATTGGAAAATAAGCAGGATAGAAACTAGATTGAAACTTTTTTTTTCTGTTTATTATGGTTGTTTAAATGGCATTCTCATTTTTACCATTCTACTGCCTCCAAACCCCAGTTGCAAGAACAAAATTCAAATGATAAAAATGAAATATTGAGATTAAGAGCACTATATTCTCTCTAAAAATAGATGCAATTCTTCTGAGTCCATGTGATGCACCTTTTGGAGTGATTAGGATTTATCAGTTATACACCTAATTAAATAATCTCTCAAAACGTGTATGATTAATGCAACGAGTTCAATAATTTATCTTGATGCCTAATCTAATCCTTTACTCAATTATCTTGCAGGCAATCTTGATCAATTAATTTTAGAGAAAGAGAGAGAGAGAGAGAGAGAGAGAGAGAGAGAGAGAGAGAGAGAGAGGAACGTCTATGATCAATTGCTCCAGTTTAGAGAGTTTTTTCACTACAGGAAGGTGAGATGACCACCACCAGCTGAAACTGCACTGTGTAGGCCCTTGCTTGAGAAGTAATGGCCATGACTTGAACCTTTGTTCGTCTGGAACAGCAACACTTCAGTATGCAAAAACCTCTTGGAAGTGGCCATATACATTTTGTAAAATATCCATCAATTACTATTATCCCTTTCATCCATCAGAATTGTGTTACTTGCCGTGTACGGTTTAACAGAGCACTCTACCACCAAATTTTGTTGTAAACATGGTATCTAAAAACTGCTTGAGCGATCCAGCTATTTAGCACTCCGAAAATCTACCACTACGTTATGTCAGACAATTTTTTTTTCTTATTTACGTTCTAAGCTTCTAGCAACAACACGGAATAGGAATCGACTAAACAATAACCCCATCAGCTAGTATGTCATTAAGCCTTTCCTTGTTTGATCTGCTGATAACATGAGCAAATTTGTGGCATATTGACCCGCTTTAATATATCATCAATCAATAACTCCCCTAACCCCATCGTTTTTCTCATTTTTTTAATTATTTTTGGGCTATCTCGTTGTTTTACACGTGGCTGCTAACTTCTCCTACTCGTTGCGCGCGCGGGGGCAACCGTCCATAAGAGGTGCGCCGGTTAATTAAAACTAGAGGATGGGGCGCGCCACTGGCGCGCCGCCTGAAGAGAGCTGTGGTGTAATACGGTATTGTTATTTTGGATAGCAGATTGTAATTAGGAAGAGTTCATAAGTAGATGCCACAAAGAAAGTAGTATACGTACATAGCAGCAGATAACATCATCAGCATAGGTTAACTCACTTGAGTCTGAATTACCAGATGAGCAATACATGTATTTAGTAAGTTACAAACCAACAAAAACCGCCAATAAAAAAAGATTACATTCATTTCCAAGCAAAGCAAATCTCAGGAAACACTTCAGGCGAGGCACCAAAACTCTCCAGGAACTACTCCAATCCAAGCATGCAACCTTGCCTAACAAAGAACTTTATGAATCCCAGATTATTTGTAATAACAGATCTACAACAGGGTACAACCATTCCATCAGAGCCAGGAGACAAGATCCAAAGAACAATTGGCACAGCGTGTTAATCCCGCTAATGAAGAGCAGCAACAGCGCCTGGATCACCCGACCCTTTTCCCCCTGATATCAAGACAACAAAATATAAGCCATGTTCATCAATTCTGACATGCAAAGGCATCACAAAATGATAGTAGTAACACACTAAATGTCCTCTTGACATATTCAAATGTACATGCCAACAAACGGAATGAACCAAAGCTAATATAGCGAAATAGTACTTTTCAGGTTATTTTTGGGGAGTAATCACCGAGTGCAGATAAAGAGTAGGGAAAAATGTAGGAAATACACTTTTTAATGCAACACATCAAGACCATTTTGCTCGTGATGCAAATCAAATCGAAAATCACATCTGTTTAATACATAAACCTACTCCTATGGTAAAAAACTTCCTAAACATCAGAATATCAATAAATATAAAAACATATAATCAAATATGCAACCATCTAGCAACAGGATTTAGCAATGGGATGCACAGTTACTCATGAAGCCATGAGGATGCAACAATCTTAATACACAGGTAAATCTAGGCTGCACACAACCTCATAAGGACATGCTTCATTGCGGGGATGGCCAGCCAGTATAATGGAAACTCTCAGTGTAACAACGGCGTACGATCCTTGCATCAGAGCCAGAAGACAAGGCCCGAAGACCAGTTGGCACAGTGTTTATTCCGACAATGAACAGCAGCACCTGAATCACCCGAGCCTTCTACCCCTGATACGAAGACAACGAAATGCAGGCCAAGTTAATCAATTTTGAGATGCATAGCAATCACAAAATTATAGCAGCAACAAATTTGATCTCCTCTGACATCATCAAATGCACATGCCAACAAGCGAAATCAACCAAGACTCAGATAACGGAATAGAGCACTTTTTCAGGCGATTTTTCGGCACAGTATAAAGAGGAGGACAAACAGTACGCAATACACTTTTCATGCATCACATCAGGGCGATTTCGACATAATGCAAATGAAATCCAAAATCACACCTGGCTGATCACATAAACTACATTCTTTCCAGGAAAGCAGAATGAAACTCATGAGCATGTAAAAATCCTAATGCACAGGTAGAGCTAGCTTGGACACGACTCTAGAGGGATTGAATTGTGATCCATGAACAAGTAGGGATAAAAGATGAACATTTGAGGTCAACAAGGGCAAGGAGTCAAAGGATTAGGGAGGATTATGTTAGAATTACCTTATTTAGGTCATATTACTATAAAGTTCTTGAGAAAAAAATGTTTATCAATCATCTATAATGAGGTGGATAGAGCTATGTCAACTGCAGAATTATGTTAAACACCACAGCACACCAATTTCAGGATAATAGCGAGACATTATAGGAATTGATAAACATAAATTGATGTTGGTACACAATTAATAAGGCTAATGGGATATCTTTATTATATGAGGCTATAATAATCCTCTTAAATCTTTGTAATCCTAGCGTAAACTGCGTTGATGCTTTTGGTTCAGCTAATACCGGTTACCAGAGTAACATATTGAGCCTGCATTACAATCATTGTTGCTTGGAAAATATATTAAGCTAAGATTGAGAATAGCACAATAGGGTGCTTCACTGGAATGATCAATTTATATTTTGATTTCACGAAATAGTAAAAACAAAAATACTCCTACAACACATTTAACCTGTCCAACCAAAATAGTGCATTCAGAAACCATGTTTTGCAGAGCAATAGAGCATCATAATTCACCAAATATACTAAACATTTCAAGATTAGCACAACAACAACTAATTTCAAGGCTTGAAGGATGTTCTCTGTAAAATAAAAAAAAACACCTTTTTCTGCAAGGAATAAAGTAAACCATATATGTGTGAGGCTATGACAGACCTGTTCAGCAACAAATAGTTTGGATAAATGAACTGAATTTATTTGGTGGCATGAAGTTGACAGTTAATATTTCGAGTATTGCTGAATGAAAAATGCCTTTAGTTGATCACTCTGTCTAATTCTGACATCAATTAACCCAAACCAAAATATCAAAGTTATTGCAAATAAGGACAAATAACATTTAGCCCTGCTTTTGTTGATCTAAGTCTCTAACAGCGTACAAATCACAAGTGGTAAATCGATTAATTCAATGTAAGGAGAACCATTTTAAGTTAAGCTTGAAAGGAAGAGAAAATTTTACAGGTGCATAACATGGAGAACAACAGGTCAATGATCCAACCAAATTCGAGCAGGTTTTATACATTTTGAAGTCAGCGGAAGTGCATAGTCCAGAACATAGATAACTCACCTTTTACTTGAGTTGCCAAGAGCTCAACAGTACAGCCTCATCCTTGCCCTTCAGCTTCTTTGCTGTTACCATCCTACAACAATGGTATATGTCATGAGCATTTGCTGAACATTCCCTCAGCATTTCAAAACAAGGCTGTTGAAAAGGAAAGAAAGTTGAATACTTAATAACATCAAGATAAATCTTTAAAGTATTCCCTAAAATCTAAACAAAAAAAGTATTTGTACCATAACTAATGTACATAGTCTCCGGAGCATGACGCTGATAATGAGTTATATGAACAAACTAATGTTCAGGAACAAAGACAAGGGAAACAATATATTAATGAAGCGCTGCTACACATTTGTGCTATTTCATAACCATATATGTACATGGCACTGATTGCATGAGAAACTACAAAACTAAGTATGACAGATCTTTCTTAATATCCATAGCCATGATACCAAGTAAAACTTTTTCATAATACTTTTGTATAAACACAAGTAGGTCATATTAATTAAGCACAGAGAAAAGTTTTGCCAGAATTCTATATAGAAACTATTAAGCAAGGAGTCACCAAATGGAAATCAATCATTACGAGAGGATGTATAATAAGCCAACCATGGATCAATAAAAAACAAATCAGTGGAATAATAAGATGTGCCGGCTCAAAGAAAAAAGCACTTGTACCTAAAGAGCTTGCCGCAGCATTTGGATCAGGAGTCTTCAGCATTTTCATACATTTGTTGATCCTATCTCTTTACCTGCTAACTGCCACATCCAATTTATTACTAATCTCCCCACATTTTCCCTTCTATGTTTCTTTGTCTTGTGTCTCCAAAATCTTGCCAGTTTCCTTACATTTGTGCCTCTCAAATGACACCTCAACCCCACATTTGCCTCTCTTTTAACTCCCACATTTGCCTCTCTTTAACTCTTTGCCATTTGTCAAGTCCAAGTTCATGCCAATATCTTCAAATTTGTCTCACGAGTCGGTATTGCCAATCTTAACATTACCTGTTTGATTATAGTATCTGTGCAGCTCTCCGAAAACACCCCAAAAGTAAAACTTATTACATTTTCCTGTTAAATTGGTAATTATACAAAAAAGGTTAGATGATAAATTTGTACATGCATACTACTTTTTAAAATATTTAACAGGGACTGTATAGCTATGCACATGCAAACTCCATGTGATTTCATCTGGTTGTAAGAGAAACTATTGCGACAAATCAAAAACAGGTATTACAAAAAAAATTGAATTTAAAAAATATTCATACAAATAAGATTACCAAATAGCAACTTTGAGAAATGGATGCATCACAGTATCAGTTTGTTTAAGCATACCAAGTCCAAGCATTGTCAGTTATGGGGGGATACATGACATGGTTTGGAAATGGGACATAAAAAGGATCATGGAACATATTTTGGTATTCTTGGGTAAGCAATTTGGATGAAAATATCAGCACCTAGTAGCACCAGCCTTGGTTCGTAACCCAATATGCAAAGAAATATTTTTCAGGAGATGGTCAGAACTCCCGTTTGGTCTGCAAAGAAAAAGAGAGAAAACACACAAATGCAGATAAGCTTCATGCACACAGCTGCATCCTGTAGTTGATAAAAAGAGTTTAAACTCCAAAAGAACTCGCATTCATTTTTTCAGGATAAATTGTTGAATTGGTTTTCAATTGCCGGTAACTGAAATGAATACTCCCCCCGTCCCAAAATATAGTAATTTCTAGCATTCGTAATCCATCCCAAAATATAGCAAATTTACCACCTACATTCTCTCAACCAATCAAAACCTTCTCTGTTTAATTTCTCCCCCTACCTCCTTTTCTCAACAAATCATAACATTGACCCATTTAATTCCACCTACTTCCTTAATACTCGTGTTTAACCCCAAAACTTCTTATATTCTGGGACGGAGGTAGGACTTGTTAGTATATGACAAATGATATGACTGAACCCACTAAAATCATTGGTGATACTTCTGAGGATTAATTTCTATCATGCCACCAATTAAACATCTGAAAACGTCCTTATTTTATAAATAATGAGATGGGTCCACACCAGTAGGTCCACATGCCATTGAGACAAGTGAGAGGAACAAAAGGAAAGTCAGTAGAAGCATCGATTTGAAGGGTCATACCTTTGAAGAGAACTAATGAAGCACAGTCCAATATCTTGTCCTTCTGGAGGTTTCATCTTGAATGTTTTTGGCCACAGATGAGAAAGAGATCTAGCCTGCAGCTTTAATATTTCGGCCATTAGTTTTGAAGGTTCATATACTTGGGCAGAAATTTCGAAAGGGAAATGGGCTTCAAGTCCATCACAAATATGTGTTAGCTCCAGTCACTTCAAATTTACCCCTAAAGAACAGTTGCTACTATATAAATGGAAAGGATTGTTTGTACTACCCGTGGAGATCAAGTTATCTAAAAAACATCTTTGTATGTATATAAGCATTAGTATGACACTTTGTCGTTGTGCAGTTAATTATATGACACCTCAACTATAATATGCACAGTCAGCAAAGGCTTTGATCCACCTATCTAGATATTTGCTTTTAATCTGGAAGTAGTGTGTCAAAGAAATAGTGGAACCCTTACGCAAAGGTGTCATAGCCTTTAAATCATTAACTATGTTGATTGTATAGATGATCTTACAAGCCATAAACTTGAGATTTTAAACGTACTATATAGAACTACTAAATCCATACAGTTGTAGAAAATCCAACAAGCGATGAATTATTGTATGGAAGGACATGGGTTGAATAAATGTAATTAACTTGAGAATCCCATGCAAAAAGGAACCGAACACATTTAATTTGTCTAAAACACTAAATTATATGAAGGACTGAATTAGACAGATTCATTTATATAAACTCGCATTTAACCGGAATAAGGGCCATAATAAATAAACTCAACTTGAAACAATGGGAGCGTAAAATTAACAAATCTGTAGTTCAGTGACCTAATGACCAGGAATACTCACCTCTTGATCTGTGAAAAGCCCAATAGTACAGCCTTATACTTCCGCTTTGGCTTCTTGCATTTACCATCCTACTGCAATGGTAGAAGGGGGAACACTCACAACAATAGTAAAGCATATATACTGCCTTTCATAGTAGTCAATGCTACCTCTAATAAATCAATTTTCTGGTGAATACATTCAGATAACAAGTGCATCCCCTAAAGTAAAAGAAGGAATGGAGGACAAGATATTTAATCAAAACAAATCAGCAACACAAAAAAAATTTTCACACTTACATAATTATTTTATAATAATTTAATAGTTAATTAAAATAAATAAGCAAAATCTTATCAGAGCTGATGGGGAGACCAAGATTAACTAAAGAATTCCCAGAGGATAATTTAGTATGTTGTGGCAGTACATGCACCGATGATCTTGCATAATACAGGTAAGCTAGTGATGTCATTTTATTAAGTATGCGCTTGTTTGCAGTGACCTGATCGCCACCCAAAAAAAAAATCAAAAGGTGTTAAGAATATTTAATATATCACTGCTTAATTTTTTGTCAAATATCTGATCATTGCTTAGTAACATAACATAGGATAATGGCACGAATGTTTTACTGATCATATTCCTCATGTAGAGCTCCCAAAATAGATATTTTTGAGTTGTGTACAGACCCTCAAGCTAAAGTACAATCTGCAGATATAATTGTGCCGTAACGCCGCTTGTTGCAACTAAATGGACACCCACTTGATTGGAAGTAGTCAGTGCCTATCAACAAAGATAATGCAGGCATTAGGTGAATTTACAGATCTGACTGCCAAGGGCAAAATGTGCAGATAAATGAACTTAACACATTAGCAGTATTTAAAAGAATATTGATCTACAATTTTCATTACTGATGAAGGGGAAAAGGGGGGTGTATAGAACAATATATTTAAGTGGATCTGAAACTACTACCTTTCACATAGAGGTACCAAAGATGTGACCAAGAAGCAGCTTCATTCAGTAACAGCTGTGCTTTTTGTACATAAGCTATCCTCCACCGGCGAAGGTTTCTTGTCCCAGCAGACCTGAATATTGGATGGCGTTGACCAGTCCCAGATACCAAAGATTAGGCATCAGAGCTATGATAAAAATATTCATCTCCGAAACTTTCAGAATTTAGACACCAAGTATATTTTTTAGATAATGGAAGCTTCATTGAACTGATCATTAAATTACATCGAGATGATACAACTGTCCTAAGAACAATTCTGACCTCTGCATAATTGAGATGCATACAGCCAAGACACCAAATATTTGGACATAATATTTTAGCAGTCCAAAGGATAAGATTCCTTCACATATATATAATCAAAAAGTCCATGATCGATAAGACATAATGATGCTATGTACGAATTGATTACCACTGTTGTTAGACTTCTGTCCATGCAAAATGCAGGATCATCCTAAGATATTATCTGAAAAAGATGAGCTCTGCTGATATATGACGAGCTCCAAAACTTCTAAATGAACTCAACAAAACAAAATTAGTTTAGTTTAGTATTTTCAGATTTACCCAAACAAATAGTTAAGCAAAGGCACTATCCTGTCATAGTATTCATATTAGCAAATAGTTTGAAAACAGATGTAACAATGATGTAACAGACTCAGCAATTTGTAGGACATAATCATATAAACATAGATTAGTTTGGTAACAAAGATAGTAAGTTTCAAACTTTAGGAAGTGTGCACCACGACAGTTCAGCTACAAATAAAAGATAAACAGATAAAAAATGTTCATGTCGCCTAAGCCAATTGCATGATTAGATTCTGAACTAAAATCTCCTCAAACTGAAATTCCAAGTCAGCAACTCATAAGATTAATCAAATCAGGTCGTATCTGGACCAAGTAGTAACCAGATTTCCTCTTGGTCTTGCCTGCAGTTAAGTCAGGCTAGCTAACAATATTTTCAGGTCCATTTGGCACAGACGACATTGCACCCCATCAGCATGTGTCAAATAGCACAATATTTTACCTCCCTGGAAGTATCACCACCAAAATCCATCTTTGTGGATCAGGCCATCGTCGATGATGGAGCTGCTGATCTTCTACTCCAACTCCAATACCATAAAGTTAGTGACTTGCCCTGAAAAAGAAATAAATCTAGAAGATATAAAACATATTTAGAATAAAAGGATGCTAAAATTTTTACCAGAAAGAGCTGACTTCCTAGGTACAAATGTAGTAGTACAATTTTATTACTTGCAAGCTGAATACTCCTTAACCTCACAATCAGAATAAATAATCAATGCCAATATATTTTGTTCCTCTGAATTATGATCAGTATGTGGATAAATGTATTACCCGGTAATAATCCGCACATATTTACTAACCCACCCGTCATGATTAGTGAAACATCTAGCAACTGATTTCACAATAGATTACTAAAAAAGGGGATATTCCTGTACAGTTTCATCAAGCCACTGAATTATCTTACTTTTGTCCCAAGATAACATACATGGCATCATCTACTAACCACTTATAGTACAAGTGCCGGACAAAATTGAATGTCTAGGTTTCGGTATAAACAAATAAAATGGCTAGGTTTAAGAGGTATAGAAGGATAAGCAGTCAGGAAATGAAGACATTACACCATAATGGAGTGTTTCTTAAGCATTGTATTACTACCTAATAGTTTGTTCTAGAGTGAAAAAACTGTTGTTAGTATCATCTAAAACTTTTATCTGGAAATCATCAATCAAGCAGAAAGCAAAGGAAAAGGCACAAAAATACTTCATCACATGAGCACGTATTAGCTAAGAACTGCATTGATTTATAAAGTGAGTACATAATATATCCCTTAAGACATTAGCTTAATGACTTGTTACGGTCTTATTTGTAATAGGAGCAGTTCTAGGGGCTTCTCTGATGTACATTTCCACTGTTACAAGAATAAAGATGGCGGATGAGAAAGTACATAAAAGATCCATGTGGAATCAGAATTATCGGTGGTCAAACGAAAAAATTACAGGGTAAGGTAAAGATAATTGTCTATCTTAGAAATGGAAATTGGATGTTTCTGGTGAGTTCCAAATCCTTATAGAGATCATACAAATCAGATTAGACCTTTTCTCTGATATTCTAAAGATCAGTAGTTCTCCGTATACACTTCTATTCAGGGGGCGGGGGCGAAGCAAAAAGGAAAATGCATGCAACTCTATAGAAGAAAAAAGAAAATGAACCCACACAATGATTATGCATACCTGGTTCTTCTGTACTTAACATCAAGCTTTTTTCATGTCAAAGAACTACATTAGTTCAAAAATATGATTTGATCAAGATCAAATATAGTAGATCAATCAATGATTCAGCAAAAGAGAAAACTGGTAAATGATATATTTTTACCATATCCACGCAATTTATGATGCCATCATTGACTGCACAAATCTTGAAACTTTCCATCAATGCCTGAGTAAGAGTAATCCCATTATATTGCCATTCATCATGAACAAGAGCAATCAGATAAATGGTTCTAACCAACACCACTCAAAATTCAGAACTTACAACTGAGGTCAGCCATACCAGAGATAAAGCACACTGTATAAGTTAGCTTTTAGATGCTGCACCGTCAGGCTGCACACACAGTTATAACATTAGTAAAAATGAGCCAAACTAATTTAGATAAAGCAGATGATATACCACAAAAGGTTGTGCATACTACCTGACAAGTGACGACCAAGTGACCAACTAACCAGTAGAGCAGTTGACTGTAGCAGTTGCTCCAAGAGCCCTTCCTTGTATAGGTTCTGTCAAAAGATCATCAAGTTATGAGTGTTTTTAACAGTTCAACATGCAAACATTTAAGTATTTAACCACCATAGCATTTCCTTCAAAATATTACAAAATTTTTCCCCTGGGATAGTAGATTTCTTGCTCAGAGGTCCCTTTATTAAGGCTATTATTGTTCATACAATTTTTTGAACTTCTTAGTTCTATTGACATGGACAAATACATACGATCAGTGAAATAAGGTGTAGCAACTCCGTGATGATACAGAATAATCCAAATGCTAATAGCTTAGGAAAAATAGCTTATCCTGCATTAAATAGAATAATGAATTATAACTCACCTGAAAGTGGAGGATTGATGGTTTCACTAATCTAGTTTTGCAGCGAAATTCATAATACTTGCTGCTCTTATCCACTTGCTTGAAAAACTGCATCACTGCATCAGCCATCAGGGGAAAAACAATTTAAATCAAAGGCAAAACATTTAGATCCTTGGGAGGTAAAATTATCAAGGTATTTTTAATCGAATATTACAGCCAAACTTTAACAGTGAAACATAATTGGTTGTTTGCTTAGCAGCCGCATAGAGCACACTCACACAATGGATGATCCTTTTCGGCTCTTGTCACGCATCGATCATGGACATATGCTGTAGGTCGAGACCGCCGCAACTGTGATGAATCACCACACAGACACTGCCTCCTAGTTGACCCTAAACAGCAACAGCTGCAGAAAGAAGACATGAAACATGGAAGAAACATGCAGCAAAGGTGCATCTAAGTTTCTCTAACCATTGAAGCAAGGATTCACACCTCTAGCAACCGTAAAGCCACCGGACCACCGCACTGATCCGGCCGCTGTAGAGCTGCTGCTTCACCACGGTCGCTCCACGGCGATAGCCCGACTCACCTGCAGCCCCCTCACACGTCTTCGCGCTAGGGCCTTGGGTATCCAGAAGTAGCCTCAAGGGAAGGCAGGGTACAAGAACTAAGATCATCACAAGATCAAATTAATACTGCATATCAAAATCTACCTTTTTCTAATTGACTAATCCAGCCAGCAAGCACCAATCTCGGATCACCTAACCACGGGCTCTGAATATAATCGAACTAATTTTCAGTCAAGACACAATTAGAATAGGAAATATTGCCGATCCCTAACAATTTTATCCATGAAAAGAACAACAATGGCAGCCTGAGAGAGAGAGAGATTAATCTAAGGAGAGATGGGAGAGAAAGGGGAGGAAGGCCATCTCTCTGCTTTTGCCTGCCGGAGCATATGCCATGGTCAACCGCCGCTGGCCATGACCGTGGAGGCAGCGAAGACGGTGGAGACGGCGCTGGGTAAGGAACTAACGGCGGCCGCCGGGCATGTTGCCGCCAAGCTCGTTGGCAGATTAGTGCCATTATCAAGCTCTAGCCTGGATCCACGTTGCCGTTGAGGTCGCCATCTGCTTCGAGCCGGCATGGAGCTCGTCAGCCAGACCTGCGCGACCACCAAAATCCACGCCGCCGTCGATGATGGGATGTGGGGCGGGCAACTAGGGATGATGGGAGCGGCAGGAAGAGGTCCCCAATAGATCTTGAAAGGCACATGCCACCTGTCTAGCACCGGAGAGGGCCAACCTAGAACTGCATCAAACAACAATGCATCACAAAGCAGGACATGGCCGACTGAAAACAAAGCGTCACACAGCAATGCATCACAAAGGAAGCCTCTCTTTTTCAATCTGGCCTCTCGGGAGCGAATTGGTACCTCCTGACCACCGAAGAGATTGAGCCGGCCGACCTCCCCACCACTGGCGCTAACCCGCTCCCGCTCCTCGGCATTCTTCTCCAGGCAGTGGTCGACGGTCAGCAGCTACACCTCACCACCCTGCGTGTCCAGGATGCACCGCGAGTCCCCGACTGACTCCACCGTGACCGTGAATCCATTGATGACCACCAGCGTTGCCGTGGTCCCCGACACCTCCCCCGAGATTGCCATGAGAGAGTGCGGGGGTCGTCGCCATCACCACCGTCTCGCTCTCCCGCCGCCGCATCCGCCTCCTCCTCCGCCGCCGCCGTCACCATCGTCGTCCTCTTCGCCGACCGCCATCACCACCGTCTCCATCTCCCACCGCCGCGTCCGCCTCCTCCGCCGCTGCCGCCGTCGCCATCGTCATCCTCTTCGCCGACCGCCACCGCCTCTTCCTCCCTTCGACCCCTCCGAATCCCCGTCGGAACGAGCGGGCGGCGGCGGCTAGGGTTTGGGGGGCCGGAGATGGTGGCGGGGGCGGGCGACGGCGACGACGACGCGAGGCGACGGGGAAGTCGGAGGCGGCAGCGGCCGTGGTGGCGCGAGGCGACGGCGACAACGATGGCGGAGACGATGGTGGGAGAGGGGTGGCGACGGCGACGACGACGACGATGGTGGAGGTGGCGGAGGCGATGGCGGAGGCGGCCGTGACGAGGCGAGGCGACGGCGACGGCGATGGTGGGGATGGCGGCGCGAGGGGTGGCGGCGGCGGCGGCGGCGGCGCGAGCCGCTCGGTGGCGGCGCTGGAGAGGGAGAGGGACAGGGTGCGGGCGGCAACGGATAGGGTTTGGGGGTGTTAGGTAGTGAACGCCATTTTGCGAAAAAGCCCTACATATTCCACTTTTACATATAGGTCCTTATCCGCGGATTCTCCTCTCCAACAACTGTTCGAGAGGGGCATATATGTTATTACATAAAACTGGAGGGCCTTTTTGCAAAAATACACCCGAGCACTGTAGTACTGTACCGAATCGCTGACGTGGCATAGTCGAGCGACCGCCCAGCCCGCCACACTTAATATTTTACATATAGGTCCTTATCCACGGATTCTCCTCTCCAAAAACTGTTCGCGAGGGGCATATATGTTATTACATAAAACTGGAGGGCCTTTTTGCAAAAATACACCCGAGCACTGTAGTACTGTACCGAATCGCTGACGTGGCATAGTCGAGCGGCCGCCCAGCCCGCCACACTTAATAGTTTCTAGTTTCTAATTTGGGCGCTATTGTGGTGTGCATACTTGCCGGTTGGGGTGGAGGGCTGCTCCCGGTGAGAGGGCTGGGCATTTTTGTAAAAAACTCCTCGTGTTTGCACGGAATATCACATACATCTTCGGACCGTTGTATTTTCTCTGTCCCTAAATATTTGATATCGTTGACTTTTTAAAATATGTTTGATCGTTCGTCTTATTCAAATTAATTTAAGTAATTATTAATTCTTTTCATATCATTTGATTTATTGTTAAATATACTTTTTTATACATATAGTTTTACATATTTCACAAAAGTTTTTAATAAGACGAACAATTAAATATGTTTAAGAAAAATCAACGGCGTCAAATATCTTAGGACGGAGGGAGTACGTACAACCGTTACAATGCAGGGAAATCAATTTTGAGGGAACTGATACGTGGAAAGGTATTGTAGCTAGATTTCTGTTGTTGACCATAAAGTTGACAAGTTAGTATTGGGACATATCATCTAGAAATGCATTTACAGGTTGCTCTATTTGAATATATTAGAACAACCTCTACTTACACCACTATTGGAGCAGCTGGCCCACTAACATACGCTGAAAGAGACGAACATGTAATTAAGTTCCAAGTGGCATACGGTGTTTTCTTACAGTAGGTATGTAATTTGAGGCTCGGAGTTCATGTCAGCAAATATATCTATCGTCTACCATCATGAGAGAGATGCCTAGATACTACCCAAAACAACATTGCAAAATCTTTTGTGACGAAGCAGAAGGTATACTTGGTAGCCACAAGGGCTAAGGATGGCCGTGCCCGTCCTTGTTCTTGAGGTTGGCGTGCATCTGCTCAAACTTGGCTTGCATTTGGTCAGTCTTGCTATTGATGAAAGTGTTGTGACTGAACGCGGAGCGTTGCAGGCATCCGCGCACCAGGTTGAGCTCAGCGATCGTACGGCAACCGGCTGCGATCTCGAAGAATGCGTGCAGGTTGGCGTGCACTCCCATCTCTAGCAGTTTGAGAGCCTTTCTTGCCTTGCCAGATCGGCATAGTTGTATCAGTTCAACCGATCCAACTGGAGATATCAGGTGCTTTGTTTTGTGCAGATCATGGTAATTACTTTTGAGCTGCTTGAAAAGCCAGAACGCCTCCTCAAACTCTTCCGCATTGTAGCTGACCTCGATCATGAGAAGCCAAGAGTCAAGGGTACGATAGGCCATTTGATCAAAGGTCCTGCGACTGAACTCGAGCAGATCGCACTTGGGATACATCTCAATGAGCTTGTTGTTCACGCCGCAATCGTTGTGAAAGCCGGAGCACAGGAAGTAGTGGTGGACATCTTTCAATTCCTCCTTCAGTGCTGGAGTCGAGCAGCTTGCGGCGAGCTCTTCGAAGGCCTTGCAATTCCCGCGAGCTCCCTGGCTTAGTAGATGGATCGCTTCATTGACGCGTCCCGCTTGAGCGAGGTTGATCAGATCGGCTGGTCCGGCCACACGTGTTGGCGCCGGTTGGAGTTGGCGCTGCCGCTTGATCGCTGCCGGAGTGGGCTGCCCTGTGCGCTGCTTCATGGGTGGGGTCGTGGCGGACGCCGGCGCGGGAGATGGGACCAGTGCGGCCGATGACGAGTAGGCGCGGGTGGCCGCGGCGGACGCCGGCACGGGAGGTTGCTTCTGCTGCGGCTCGAGCTCGACCAGTGCGGCCGCGGCGGTCGACGACGCGGGTGGCCGCGGACGAGAACGTGCGGCGGTGGCGGACCCTGGTGCGGGGGGCTCGTCCTTGCGCGGCTGGAGCAGTTCAGCCGTGGCGTGGGCCGGTGCCGCGGGCGCGGAGGTCGACGACGAGAAGCCCCGGGTGGCCTCGGACGAGGAGGCGCGGAGGAGGAGGAGGTCGTGGCCGCGCGCGGCGGCGGCGGCGATCGACGGGATGATGCGGACGGCGGACGACGTGGGCACGCGGAGGAGAGGGAGCGCCCACCAGCTTGGGAGCCCCGCCCCAGCCATGGTTTTGGCTTGAGGTAGGCGACGACGACGCAGGCAGGAGTCGCGAGCCGAGGGATTTGAAATGAACCCAAATCTTATTTTGTGGGGAAATCTTATTTCGGGAGACTTCTCGCTTCGATTACTTCGCGTTTAGCAAAATCGTTGGGTATGTATTTTGGAACCAGTAGGCAGCTGTACGCATCCATGGCATATGAGTCGAAGAGCATGGCATGGCAAGCCGAGGATCCGACCGGTCGGCCGACGTACGTGGTGCGTCTTGACGATGTCGGTGCGGGTGTTGGGAACGGGACGCCGTTGCTGGCGGCGGATTGTGAGCTCGGCGCGCGCATGCATGCGGTGCGACACCGCTGGCTCGATCGCTCAAGATCAACGCACTCCTCTCCACTGCCACCGTCGACACGCGGAGAAGGCGGCGGCCTCGCGGGCTGGTCTGCCTTAGTTGGGCCGAGCCCCTGGCCTGTCTTGGTGCTGGGCCGAGCGAAACAATAAATAAACAGAACAAGGCAGGGGAAATAAAAAATAAAAAAACAGACAAGGGAAGGAAACCCTCGCCACCACGCGCCGCCGCCGCCGCCGCCGCCGCCGCCGCCCGCCGCGCTACCACCTGTTGCTCGTACGATCGGATTCAAATTGTCGCTTCTTTCTTCTTCCACAGCACAGGTATGTTTGTTTTGGGAGATCTGGTTTTCAGAAAGATAATATTGGATTGGATTGAATCGAATCGATGTGGTTTCCTACCTAGGACGGGGTGTAGAAGAAGAAGAAGAAGAGCATCAAGAGGATGGGTTCACTGCGGCGGGTTGTGCACCTGGTGACCGCATTGAACGGCAGCGCCAACCTCCGCCACATCGACACGTCGCGTTTCTTCTCCCGCCGGCCGCCGCCGCCGTTCAGCCCGTCGTCCATGGCGGTGGTGACGGAGGAATCCTCCTTGCCGGAGCCCTCCATGTCGTTCTACCCAGCTCCGGCCCCGCCGGAGAGCAACGGCGACATCGGGGTGATGCTCTTCGGCCGCGCCCGCGACAGGCTGCTGGTGACGGACCAGTCCGACAGCGCCGCCATCTACGACGCCGGCACGCACGCCCTGCTCGCGGAGACCACCCCGCTGAAACCCAAGTACTGGCCAGTCTCCGTCCCTGTAGGCGACGACATCTACCTCTTCGACCTGTACCCCAGGGTGCCCTGCGGCGGCCGCCATTGCTTCGAGGCTGTCACGGCGGTGGATTCCTCTTCTTCTTCTTACTGCTCCCGTGCGCTCCCGCCGCCGCCATTCCTGTTTGCCCCGGGCTACAGCCCCAAGCCTATCGAGTCCTACACGGTGGTCGGCGGATCGGAGGTGTGGATCTCCACGGCGCGCGCGGGCACCTACGCCTTCGACACGGTTAGCTGCAGCTGGAGCAAGCAGGCCGACTGGCCGATGCCGTTCGCCGGCCTAGCGGAGTACGTCCCCGAGCACAAGCTCTGGTTCGGGCTCTCCTCCTCCAGGAGGGACAAGCACCCGCTCTGCGCCGTGGACCTCGCCGCCGCCGCCTCGCCGGAGACGGGGCCGGAGCTGACCAACGTGTGGATGGAGCTGTCAGTGCCGAGGGAATGGATCCCGGTCGAGGCCTTCCTTGTGCACCTTGGCTCTAGCAGGTTCTTCGTGGCCAGATTCTTCCAAGAGCTAGTCGAGGTGCGCTGCGACTTCTCGCAGCGGTTCGACAGGTTCGCTGTCTTCACCGGCGTTGAGCTGGAGCGCACCTCCCGTGGTGAGCTCCGGATGATCAAGCACAAGTCGGAGCGTTACAGCATCGCTCACAAAGTCCTCTGCCATAGTGTTCTTTGATTTCACAACGTCCTCATCGTACCTATTTCCTCCGTTTCATATTGTAAGACTTTTTAGCATTACCGACATTAATATATATATTAATGAATCTAGACATATATACATGTTTAGATTCATTAACATCTATATAAATGTGGGAAATACTAGAAAGTCTTGTAATATGAAACGGAGGGAGTATATATATGTCTAGATTCATTAGCATACGTATGAATGTCGGCAATGCTAAAAAGTCTTATAATATAAAACGGAGGGAGTATCTATGATAAGGCATGTAAACAATCAATTATTTGGTTGGTGAAGATGAGTTAGCTGGAGTATTTTGAAATTATGCAATTTCTTGTAATACTCTGTATTTTCAAACAGGAAATTGGAAAATAGATGCTCCCTCTTTAGTTCATTGGCAAAAAAGAAGTGAATATTGTTTTGTTCATTTGGCCTGTCTCTAGACTATAATGAATACTCAGGAGTATCATTCATTGCATTGCCATCGATTGAATTTTCATTACATTGCCAACATTCGAATCACACAACTTTTAAAGTTTGCATGCAGATGTTTTAGCATGGCATTGTTTCCCGTCTGTTACTATTAATCTTGGGATTGAGTTGAGTCTCTGAATGTGGCAATTAGTCTAGAGTTGGTTTTTTTAGGTTCCTCAAAATTGTGTATGTAATGGGGGTGTTACTTTGCTGGTGATGAATACAATGACATATTCACATCCATATAGGCATCAGGGGCATTTCTTTGCTGAGATATATTAACATATTCACATCCATATATGTTGGGAATAAATGGCACCCATGCCAACTGAAAACACCACTTTTTAGGTTAGATTTGTCGCAGTGCATCACGTTTCGTCGTTTCTGTTTGTCTTGCCATTCAAAGCATGCACCTCAAGTTGTTTCCTAGCTGAGTCTATAGAAGGAGCTAGGCAGCTAGCCTATAAAAGTGATTAGATTTACTTTGATTCTTTGAAGAAGACAATCTCAATCCATTTTATTCTCAAGCCGTTGATCAACTATAATTGTTTTTTACATATAGATTGTTCTGGTTCTCAAACTATCCTGAAAACTTTATGCATTTTTTTCTAATCTTAATTAAATCGGTAGCACTCCTGTCTCCCATTGTTCCTTTTCTTTTTTTAATGTCACTACCTAACTGAAGCTTAGGAGCAATAGAACAGAACTTTGAACTTAGGAGCAGTAGAACAGAAGGCGCTGGATGGATAGAACTGAACCGTGAGCTTAGGAGCAATAGATCAGAATGTGCTGTATGGTTGGGCCTCCTATTGTAAGTCAATTTCTTTTAAAAAAAATTGTTTATGCCTTCATCGATTACTTTAACATCCTCTATGCCATCCTGGTTAAAACAGATTGAGATTGTCCGGTGTTCCATGTGCGTGTGCACTGGGAGTGGCTTTGTCAGAATTCTTGTTCGACTTGATCTTTGGCTTAAGTGAATCTAATGTCAAGCAATTTATGTGCCACCCTTTCTCTAACATAGTGGTAGTCAACTTCAACATGCTTTGGTTCTAGTGTGGAATTATTGGATAAGCTGATATAGGTTGCATCAAGATTGTCACGCCATAAGCATGGTGTTCTGTTCAGGTATACTCCAATCTCAACTAGCAAAGACTGACCTGGCTACTGTGTGCTGGTTTCTTGAGCTCCATGAGACCAAGTTTTTGCCAGGAAAAGCTGCAAATCGTCCAGTAGAACATGTGTCATTGAGGCATCTGGATCAAGCTGCATCAGTAATTGCGCTGATTAATTTTGTAGTTTCCTTCTTGTCTGATAACCCATGATATATGATGATTCAGATATCTTATTATCCTCTTTACTGCAGACCAATGTATATGAACTGCAACAATTGGCAACAACGACCCTCCAGTACAGTAACTTGTTCAGGTGATGGAAGGGAAGCTTCTTAGCCCAGTTGGGCAATTTTTCTGAAGTTAACATAGGTATGACGGCAGACCTTTCATATTTGTTCTCTTTATCTTTAGCAGATCAGCAAGGAAAGTAATCATATGATTTCCAAAAGAAATTACAGCATCAGACCTTTGTCAAGAATGCATCATATGCTTCAGTTTCAGCTTATGTAAATGCCATATTCTGTAAACCATATGATGATGAGATTACTTAAATTGTGTTTATCAACAGGTTGGTTATTGAACAACATTCGTCATCCTAACATGGTTCAGCAGCAACTCCACACCAGACAAGACTCCAGTTCTTCCATCCGTGACTCTTCAAGAGACCCAAGCTTCAAACTGCCATGTGAATCGATCGGTCTGTCAACAAGCGGAGGCGTCCATCAACCGTAGGATATGATTGTTGGCTGCAGCCAAAAATTACAAAAAAAAATTGATATGTTTGCACTGAACTGGAGATTAAGCAGTTAATCTGTTCTTCAGATTACTTCAAGCCGGTGAAGCAAAGAGGCAATTATGAATACCATCACATTTCATTACCAGGATTAGTGGTGTGAAAAAATAGCATGAGAGCCTTGCATGAATGATGATCCATCAACCATATGATTGTTGCAGCAAAAATCACACAATTTTGTTTGATGTGTTCGCACTGAACTGTTTGATGTGTTCGCATTGAACTGGAGCAATCTATTATTCAGATTACTTTAAGCTGGTAAAGCGAACAGGACAAGACTTAATCATAGATTACCAATCTTTACTAGTACTCTGTTTTTAAATATTTTTTAATATACTCCCTCGATTTCATTTCAAATTTATGATGCCATTAACTTTTAGTATAAAGTTTTCAAAAATCATATTACCTCCATATTTTAATGTATGCCGCCGTTGACTTTTTGTTTAACGTTTGACCATTTGTCTTATTCAAAAAATTTATTCAAAAAATTTATGGAATTATCATTTATTTTCTTGTGATTTGATTCATCATCAAATGTTCATTAAGTATGACATAAATATTTTCATATTTGCACAAAAAATTTGAATAAAACGAATGGTCAAACGTTGGTCGAAAAGTCAACGGCGTCATACATTAAAATACGGAGGGAGTAGTTTTTTTAAATATAATGTGTGTAATTAAATTTGCCTCGAAAAATAATATCATATTTATTTAATATTAAATACATAAGGGTTCAAAAACTTAATCAAATCATCAAATTACGATTTTAACGTCAAATATTTATGACCGTATTTTCTAAAAGGTCAGTATTCTGTTTCGTCCAAATTCAATTATTAATAACTGGACTATTTTTAGTCAATAATATGAGAAGGACAAAAAGGGAAAAAAAAAAAAGAAAAACTCTCCTCTCGCAAGCGAAGCAAAGCATTTCCCTCCAAATCCGCTGCTTCCCTCCATTTTGGCGCCACAATCTCTCTCTCTCTCCTCCTCCTCCTCGCCGGAGATGTCGTACCCCACGTTCCACGTCCACCCGCCGTTCCCGGTGTCGGCGAGGAAGAAGGAGGATGACGGCGGCGGCGGCGGCGGCAAGAAGGAGGCGGCGGCCGCCGCGATGAGGCGGCTGGCGGAGATGGACCACCGCGCGGCAGCCGACGGCGGGAAGGTGGTGGCGGCCGTGGCCGTCGACGGCGACAGGGGCAGCCAGCACGCGCTCAAGTGGGCGGCCGACCACGTCCTCTCGCTCTCCCACCCCTTCTTCCTCCTCCACGTCCGCCGCAAGCACGCCTCCCTCCACTCCGCCGGTACGATCCTCCTCCCCCCTCAGCTCACCCATCTCAACCCTAGAAATTGATCTTGACGTGATCTTGATCTCCTTTGGGATCCCGGCACGGAAAACGGAGAGATGGATTAGCGCACGATTAATGAAGTATTGGGTTATTGGCTAATAAACTTGAAAAAATGATTGACATGATTGATATGATAGATAATTTTTGCAAAAATACGTATCGTTCAGTATTCGGAAATCGTGCGCGTAGAAAACTAGTGAGTAGAGGTTGGAAAAGGGGAGAAAAGAACCCACCTTAATCTGTCTCATTTGATGTGCATCCAAGTTGCGGTGCTGTTCATGTGATGTGCATTGATGAATTGTGAATTTTGCATTGTATTGTTAGAGTTTATAAATTTTCCAAGTTTTTCATTTATGCAGGGGGAAAGCAATTCTCCCTATTGCACGTGCAGGATGATGTTGCAGCTTCTTCTCCTGATCAAATGGATCATCACACCAAAGATCTGCTGCTCCCATTCCAGTGCTTCTGCAGCAGACGAGGGGTATGCATCCATTTTTCCTACCTCTACCTTGTCACGCAGAGATTATGTTCATTTTGGCGGAATCTAAAATCTATGGAGATATAGAGAGTTTCTGAAAACTACAGACTGGAATGCTCATGTTGGCATGGACCTGAAATCGATCATTCATGTGGCTTTTCATATAATCTATTAAGATTTTGCTTTCCTTTGTTTGACCTGATGATAGCATGAGCAAAATCATGACCCTTTTTTGGCTGACTTGCTTTAATATCTACAGTTACAATGCAGGGAAACCATTCTTGATGGAACTGATGTGTGGAAAGTTATTATAGATTTTGTCCTTGACCATAAAGTTGACAAATTAGTACTGGGGGCATCATCTAGGAATGCATTTACAAGGTGCCGTATTATTTTACAACCATTAAGTCAAAGAAAATTGCAACCATTTCTATTTACAGTTTATTTTCTGAATTGTTTTAATACTTCTCTTTTGATTGCTATATTGATCTCAGTTCTTAACTAGTGCAGGACAATATGGAAGTTGGATGTGCCAACATGTGTCACAAAATCTGCACCAAATTTCTGTTCAGTGTATGTTATATCCAAAGGGAAACTATCTTCATTCAGGCTTGCCACCCATGCAAATGCAAATGATACCAGCAAAGAAGAGCTGGAGAATATATCTGAAAATCGGCCGCTAATTGCAAAAAGTTTGTGTTACTCTAATGCTAATTCCCTTTAGATGATATTCACTCTAGTATACTTGTGAGTTGTATGTTCATTAGGTGCATGTGGAATTTGCAGGTGAACCAGCACCAATAATACATATTGAAGGGCAAAATTCATCTAGGTGAGCTTTGCATCCTCTCTCTATATATATGCTAACATAAATTCCTTGATGTTTTCATGGATACATCAAATATGTGCCCTTCTCATACAAACTACCCAGGTTTTGATAAATGAGTTTTTTTTTTTATGATAGTGCACTTTGTCCTGGCTGCAACCCTTTATCTCCAAACCTGAGTGAAGAATGTACTGAATCAACTTCTAAATACTACCCAGTATGCTTTTGATATTTTCCCCTACTCTTTGTTATTTTGGTTTTGTCACTTGCAGAAATATAACTATTAGACCAACTGCTTTTTGCAGGAAGATTTGGAGGCTGAAATAAGGAAGTTAAAGCTTGAGCTGAAACAGAAAAATGACGATATGCACATGTGGAACAAGGTAATTGTGATACCTTGTGCTGTGTTGCTTATTGTTTATCTCATAAAGTTACTTGTCTCTAATCCCATATTCTGAAAGTATGAATTCTAATGGAAATTTGGACTGCAGTTACCTCTTGGGATCGGAGACAGGAGTGAAAACTCAAATGCAAGTGTTGAACATGAGGATGAACATTTACAAGAATTCACGACATGTTCAACCCATTCCTACAGTGAGAGACCAAATGCAGAACCGAGTTCCGCAGTTCGTGGCCCAAAGCATAAGCTCTTGAAACTCGAAACTTCCTCTTCTGATCAATGCAGAGAGAGAACCATACAGGAATTTAAAGACCATAGTTCCCAGGATACGGTGCATCCGATCTTAAGACGTTTGCCGCCCAAATTTTACTCGCCTAGAAATGATTCTAAGCATGGATGTGCTTCTGAAAAGGCTTACAACCTTGAACTGAAGTGTAAATCTTTGCCAAGGCCAATTGAGACGAAAAGACTACTGGAGGGTCTTCCAACTAGATTCCAATGCAAAATATACACAACAGAAGAGGTTGCAAATGCCACCGATCATTTCTCACCGGAACTGAAGGTAGGGGAAGGAGGTTATGGACCAGTCTATAAAGCTACACTTGACAATACTCTTGTTGCTGCCAAGATTCTCCATTCTAACATAACTCAAGGACTGAAACAGTTTCAACAGGAGGTATGTCCATGGCCAATTTTGTTTGACACAAGTATCCCACCACCACAATCTCTTTAATTTCCAATCAAATGAGAGTGATGTTGGGAACTTGGGATAGATACTGACAGTAAAATGTTTTCAGAGCAGCACAATCATATTATCATTTGATTTTGGTAATATTGTCACTATAGATAGCCAGATACTTCTGTTAAGTCAAAATCATGTAGACAATGATGTGTTTACGTGAAAATTTCAAATTTCATTCACAAAAATGAAAAACTCAACATTCAGTAATATGAAATCATAGAGACTATTGTGGTGCATCCAAAAATGAAAAGGGAAGGGAATCATATGATTTACTTTTAGTCCTTTGCTAAAAAGAAAAACATCATGCATCAGTTTCAGCTATATATAAATGATATATCTGTAAACCATGATGGTAAGAATTTAAATTGTGTTATCAACAGGTTGAGTTGTTGAACAACATTCGCCACCCGAATATGGTGCATCTGTTGGGTGCTTGCCCTGAGTATGGCTGTCTGGTGTATGAATACATGCCGAATGGCAGCCTCGAGGACCGTCTCTTCTGCCGGTCAGGCACCCCACCGCTGCCATGGCAGCTCCGTTTCAAGATGGCAGTGGAGATAGCCACTGGCTTGCTCTATCTACACAAGATGAAACCTGAAGCCTTTGTCCACCGTGATCTCAAGCCTGGAAACATCCTCCTTGACAAAGATTTCGTTAGCAAGATCAGCGATGTCGGCCTCGCTCGCATCATTCCCCGGTCGATGGATGAGACGGTCACGCAGTACCGGATGACAGATGCTGCAGGGACCTTCTGCTACATCGATCCTGAGTACCAGAAGACTGGATTGGTCACCACGAAATCCGATGTTTATGCGCTCGGCATCATCTATCTTCAGATGATCACTGCAAAAGATGCAATGGGGCTTGCTTACATGGTCTCTGATGCACTGGAGGAAGGAACATTTGAGGGGCTCTTGGATCCTAATGTCACCGGCTGGCCTGTGCAGGAAGCTCAGAAGTTTGCTGAGCTTTCACTGAAATGCTGTGAACTCCGGCACAGAGACCGTCCTGACTTGGAATCCGTCGTGCTCCCTGAGCTGATCCGTCTTCACACATTCGTTGCATCATCTGGAGATAATTCTTCCATCGACCAAGGCCACCAGCGTTCAGTCAGCGACAAGGTAAAACAAAAAAAAGGAACCATCTTTTCTCTGCAAATTCTCAAATGAAGGCATCAGGATATCTCCAATATGTGTTCTGAACTTCTGAAGTTATGGGTGTTTCATCTAGACTAATATTGTTCTACTCTAAATGCAGGAGTTGGCTCTGGAAAATGACTTGGCCGAGATTCTGAACGATGGGCTAGTGAAGGGGGCGTCATTTGCAGCATAAAAGTGCAAGGGGCCAGTAGATGTTATTCTGTCAAAGATACTGGAATCTGCAGTAGTTTTGATTTTGCTGTAAATACTACCCTAGCCCAGAAATTTTTGAATAATTAGATCATTTGGGAAACGTGTACTAACAACAACCTGTAAATTGAACACAATCTATAGCTCTCATCTGGTAGCACTGTTCACTTCTATCAACTGCCAATGGGATCAACTGAAACCGATTTGAGCAAGGGCTTGAGATCATGCCTTTATCAGGATCAGGAATGCCAGAAATCTTTTACCCTGATATATCACATTCTTCAAGACTGTTGTATAAAGAAAAGCTTAGTTGTTGAACTCGCAATATCACAATGCATTTGCCAAATTGTGCAGAAAGATGCTTTTACATGATTGGATGACAAAGCCTATTTCGTTTTGTTGATCATAACAAGCCAAATAAACCTACTGTTTTGAATGATGATTAAGTCCACCATCAAATCAAACCATAGGTGATCAATAAATTTTCTGTTGGCGGCCTGCATGATTACATGCTAGTGGTATGGGGGGAAAAGATCGGCGATGGCACCAAAGGAAGAAATCACCACCATTGCTCTGGTCTCTGGTCCCATCGTCCACTACAGACAAACAACTTCCATGTTGAAGGCTTGAAGCCACCGTTTCTCTAGACCAATGAGAAAAAAATGATCAATGAGATTTTTTTTTTCATCACGAATTTATATGAGAGATAGTTTAGCAACATTGACATTTCCTTTCACCTCATTTGATTTTCTAATTAAAAAAAACTGTAAAATTTGTGTTTTCCATATATTATTTAGAAAATCGATAAAAAAAATCTAGCCTCTATATCTAAACCGGATGTACACAGCCAAAGTATTTTCCACATTTGTCCCATTAAAACTCATCAACTTACCAAGAAATGTAACCATTCCCCTTGATAACCACGCCAAAATTTTATTCACAATAGTATGTTTTTCAAGAAATAGATTTGAACCCATTTTTATGTTTCTAAAAAGGGACATATTTGAAACACCCATTTTGTTAATTGTTATAAAGGAAATGGAAAGATGCCCATGCCATTGCCATCCCAAGTGCACCGGTGCCACCTTCTCCCAGCGCCACCACACTCTCCATCTCTTGTCACCTTGCTCTACTCTCCCCTTCTTAACCTCTTCACGCCACCGCCGGCCACCACCACCACTCTCTACTCCGGCGACATCATGTTCATCAACACGGCCAGCTTCGTCGCCGGCGCCGTCGTCGCTTCGCCGGAGCAGCCGGCCAAGCTTGTCCGGGATCAGAGGAGGGTGGTGCCTGGCTCCTGCAGGGCAAGAAGAGGTGCAGCATCCAATGGCTTCAGAACTTACTGCATGCAGGTGAGCAATTCAGCAAACATGAAACTTTCTCTGCATATCTATATGTTACTTTTGTTTTGAGGAGTCGAAAAAGATCAGATCAAAGTGTTTTCTTTTCGGCATGAAATACTTGCAAAATCAGCTTACAGTAAATTCAGCGAGTGATTTAATTTTGTTGTAGACATGGAACCCTTTCACCAACAGGAGGTACGAGGCGATGTCTTACCTGCCTCCCCTGAGCGCGAAGTCCATCTCCAAGGAGATCGAGTTCATCATGTCCAAAGGATGGGTCCCTTGCCTCGAGTTTGACAAGGTACAAACTAAGCATCAAACTTGTCCTAACTCTTTTTGTAATTACACTAATTTTCTCCATGATGAATTTATCCATCAGTTAGTATTTACCCAAAAGAAAAATGTATTGTTATAAGTTTGTACTATGAATGGATGATATGGTGTAGGAGGGGGAGATCCACCGGAGCAACAGCCGGATGCCGGGGTACTACGACGGGAGGTACTGGACGCTGTGGAAGCTGCCGATGTTCGGATGCTCTGACGCGGCGGCGGTGCTCCGGGAGGTGGAGGAATGCCGGAGGGAGTACCCGGACGCCTTCATCCGCCTCATCGCCTTCGACAGCAGCCGCCAGTGCCAGTGCATGTCCTTCGTCGTCCACAAGCCGCCGTCGGCCGCCGCTTCTCCGGCCACGGTCGCCGGAGCTGAATGAACCAAGGTGTTCAGTTCATGTTCATCCTCGCTTCGATGATCATCAGTCACAGCATCCATCCAACCAGTTTCCTTCCTCTTCTTCGGTCTCTTGCTCACTTGCATGTGCTGTACCACTTCTTTCAGTTCAACTTCAACCTCATCTTTGATGACTACTGTGATGTACTAATGTTGCTTCGAGTATAATGAGCACAATGATGATCATAGCATCCATCCAACCAGTTATCTTCCTCTTCTTCAGCATCATCTTCATTTGCAGGTGTTCTATGTACCTCTTCTTCCAGTTCAACTTCAACATCTAATCTTTGAGCGATGTGATGAACTGGTGTTGCTATGAGTATCATGTGCACAATGATGACCATCTTATGATCATGAGTTGCTTCAGAAGTTTACTTGTTCCTTCCCATCAACTCTCTTCACAAATCGAGAAAACAATGGGTCACGGGAGTATCGACCAACCTGATCTGCACATGGCTTTCTGCTGACCCCATGACCAACTGCCGTCTGCCGAGCCAGACAATCAATCATACACCGTACCGTACTTCTACAGAAATGCAAGACAAATAGTATCAAACATCATACACCAGGTACACAAGTGAAACCTGCAGCAGGATCCAAGGTCCAAACCTTTTTGCATGTGCACATAAATTTAACTTCTCAAACGGTAGAACTAGAAGGCAAGAAAGTGCAGTAGGAGACAGTAAAAGCAAGGGTCTAAACCGAACATAACATTAGTGCAGACATTTTGCATCTATTGTCTTAAGAAAAGGAAAAACATCAGGACTCCTCCCATTCCCCATAGAAGTCAGCAGCACATTTGCATTTCTTTCAACCCCAGATACAGCACCACATCATCATTTATCCTGACAAGGCATGGTTAGCTCGGATTCGTCAGTGTCGACACGAAGCCTGCTTCATCCCAATGTTTCCCGGTACATCCTGAGAATCATCCCTCCCTCTCACAGCAGCTAGCAACAGAGCTTCAGGTACCCACACACTTGTGGCAATTTCAGAATGTTCCTAAAGCTGACCAAAAGAGCACAGCTCTTGATGCTCTGTACCAACATGGCGGTACGGATAACAGAACTGTAAACTATGGACTCCTAAGTGAAAAAACAGAAATAAGTTGCTGGATAAATTAAACCTACTGTCATAGCAAATAAAGTAGAGCAATGAACAGATTGTATAAGTTAACCGCTTCAATGAAATTTCCAATGAAGAATCAATGCAACGATCTGCTACGAAAGAATGGGACCAAAATATGCTCCCCTACAAAGAGAACGGTACGAGCTCCCCTCTCTTTAATGCCAAAGTTCCATGCAGAAACCGGAGCGAACAGAAGGTGGCCTTTTGCTGTAGATGGCCTCAGAGAAAGTGTCAGCAAGCTGGCCAGAAAGGCTAACAGGATCATCAATAAGAGTGTTTACGTAGACGCTGACTATCTTCCTGTCATGAGGGGTAGCACGAAGGCTATACCAAGTCAGAAACTTCACTCTGAAGTTGGTCTCAATGTAACCCTCACATTCCAGCCACCTGACCACCTTAACACAGTACTCATAAGATGCTTCTGGGCATCCATCCTTGTGGCCGATTTCCTCACATTTACCTGATGTTCTTTTATTTGAAGAATTCCCTGGTTCCCTTTCAGGCTTGGAAGAGCCATTTTGAAGGATGTTATCACCAGGTTTTGCTTTCAAGCTCCTCCCACTGATATCCTTACCATTTTCCATATATCTAGGTGCAGTTGGTGGAATAGAGCCAGAATATCGAGGTGGAACAATCACCACCTCATTTCCAGCAGGAGCATTTGATGCATCCTGTGATCCAGGAACTTCGCTTCTCTGGTTCTGCTCCATTGAATTTGAGGATTCTCTAAGTAATTGTGTTTGAACTGCTGAATTGGGCTCCTCGTCCAAAGCTGATGCTGAGAGTCCAGGAGCTTCCTCCAATCCAGATACCTCCGTAACCCTAGCTACGACCATCGGCATACTCTGTGAGTTGTTTGTAGGTTCATTGGGGTGATGACTTGCTTTGTCTGAATCAAGTATCTCAGGATTTTCACAATATTCAAAATCACTTTCTGGTGATTTATTGAGATCAGCATACACCGCAGTGTTATTATTTGAGTCCACACCTTCTGAAGAAGGATCAGACTGACCACCACTGTTTGCCTTTGGGCTCCCATTGTTTTGGTCTAGCCCAGACCCACCTGGCATCAAACCCTTCAGATCAACTTCCTTCTGACAGCTTGTCTTCATTTTGGCTTCCCACGATCCAAACTCCTTGTAGTTACTGAAGGCAACTACCTTGAATATATAGCTTGTAGCTGGCACAAGTTGAGTGACCACTAACGTTTTTAATGGTGCAAGTATGATGCCAGTTGGACTTGATGAGAACGAGCCTGTGGCTGCCACTCTGTGCCATACATTAAAGCATGTTACATCTTGAGCAAGTATAGGACCCAAATCCAAAACTACAGTGACAGATGTTTGGGTTATAGCTTCAAACTTTACGAAGTTTGATGGTATCATCCGTGAACCTGAAAATGCACATATGCATGAGAATTCAACACTATTTGTATGTATGTGGTCTAACGTGAAGCACGTGGAAACTTACGTTGAAATTGCAAGTTAGAAGGAGATCCACAAAACAGAGACTCCATGGTTTCTATTGCTCGAGCACAAAGTTTCTGAACTTCAGCACCAACAGCAAGCCGGCTCACAATTCCACGACCCATATTTGCAACTCCAGATATAGGACCAACCTCAGCCTCCAGTTTCTTCATCGCTGTGTCAACAATTTCATGCAAAACCAAGTACTTCTCCGTGGAGACAAGAATCTTATGACTCAAAAAAATCCGATGACACAATACATCCAACCGGCGAGCATCTTTAGCTATCACCAGTTGTTTCTTCCAGGACCTGAACAAGGCATTAAACAGTCAAGTATTGCTCGGCAAGCTAATTTACTGTTTCAATATCCAAACTCTTGAAAGGAGCATAGTTTTGGAAAATGGGCCAGTAAACTTGATTGAATTACTTAAGTGCATTGTGCTGGACTGGCCAAAGAATCTTGAACTCTAAATAACATATAACTGGTTCAAAACTTACTACTACAAGATACTAATAGCCAAGCAGATTCTTTTGAGAAAGACAATTAATCACTTGTCTTGTAGTTCAAAACTTCAAAATGAATCCTATTTCCCAGGTTACTCAAATGGCTTATAAACATGCACAGACAAATTAGAGACTCCTTGCATATACTAGTCTAAGCATTTCTCCATGATCTATTCATCCTTGAAAATATTGAATCCACCTGGCCTCAGTGCCTCACCAAGTTTTACTGGCTTAGTAACTTGGTTCATACCCTGAAACTTGAACTACAAGAACCCTATGGAATGCAACACAAAGACACCAAAATGCAGTCGAAAGCCTGTTTTCGCAGCTCGCAACCTATGAAAATAGGGTTATCCCAGCAAACAAATTTACTCCAGATGGAGAAGGAAGAATCCAACACTAATTCAGCTTAATGCAGAAGTAAGCACACAGACCACAAGCTCAAAGCATGAAGCTGAAGGGCAAAAGCAGCCAACCCACTTCTTAAGACACAATTGAGAAATATGCATCATATGATTGGACCAATGATGATGACACTACAAGGATCTTCACCGAAGAATCCTAAAAACAGAATCAGTAAGGTAATCAAAGTGGCTGGAAAGCAAGAATGCATGCAAATTATCAAAGCTAACTCTCACAAAAGTCAAACTAACATATTTCTAGTAGTTATCGTTGCAATAAATAATGGTAACATTACTTAAGGCAGTAAAAACTGGAGGCATAGGAATAATTAAAACATAATTTCGTATAGTTACAGAACAGGAAAAAAAACTGTGCAAATAATAAAGTTGTTTAGGGAGAATACCCAAGCAGATCATTCTGTTTCCGACAGCGAGTGCAGTAATAACCACCATCAAGTTTCTTGCACTGCCCACTCTGCATGATGCCAGTTCTTCCATCCTTAAGAGCACATTCAAGATGGCACGAAAATACACAAGAATCTTTCTGCAAGGGTTGATCTGAACTACAGAATAACCAGAGGCTAGGATCCTTATTGTCATCGTACTTGAAACAAATACAGCATGAACAGCGTCTGCAAAATTTATCTTCTGGATTAAGAGTCGCTCTGCAAGCTAAATTGTGGCAGAAGCGAGCATTACTTGCTGGCCTGGGTATTTCTGTAGTTGGACTGCTTGCAACAATTGGTAGTCGTGATGGGTTGTCACTCTTTCGCTGCCGTTTCGCAGGGGACTGATGGTTGGCTGTGTTGGGTTCAGGGGTAGGCTCCTTCTCTTGCACATGCTCCACAACGCCACCACCAGATGATTTGCCAGTCACAACTCTGAAGAGATATTCCAACATTCTCTGCTTCGATAATCCAGTGTACTTCCTTTCCCTTCCTAAATCAGCACAAAGAATCTCTACAATTTCACGGCGACTCCAAGACTGCAGTTTGTCAGGAGCACTTTCTGGCCGCTTCGATAATTCACGGACAAGTTCCCGCTTTTCATCCACACTCATCAATCGGCATTTAGCAGGATCAATAGGTACTCCTAAACAAGAGAACACTGGAAACTATTATTATCAATTTGATAAAGTCAGAAATAGTTACAAAATCCAGTCGGACAAGAAGCAAACAACGAAGGAAATTTAGACGTTCATTCATATTTACAGTCCAGAATGGAAAGGTTTAAAGTTCATTAGATCCAGTAGAAGAATACATATTTTGAAGGCATCATTCTTTCTCTTCTTCAGAACAACTATGAGACGGTACTGAGTAACTTAGCGTGCAAGGAAAAACTCAATGAATGACGTTCCAAAGGAAATTAAATTCTCGACATGCTGAATCAAATTAATGTGAGTAGCACACTGTCTTACTGGAGTAGAAGTCAAATTATAATTATAGCACATTGCAACAGAATAAGTCTTAACCTCGGAAAAAAAAGATGATTCGGTCAATAATCTAAGAATTAAAGGCTCATCAACATGTACCATATTGTATAGGACTAAATGTGAACTACAAAGCACAGTTGTGATACCACAAGGCGCAATGTTAACTAGAGCTATCGAAGCTGGCACGAGCCGCAGAAAGTCAACTCTCTACAGACTGTCTAAGGGAAACGAGAAAACTAAAAAGAAATGAGTCTTTCTAATTTTGGACCACTAAACAAAGAAACTAT